TGTCAGGGGAAGGAGTCAGCTTACAAGAGGACCTAGCATCCCACTTCGAAGCAGAACTCCTTCCCCCTTGGAATAACTTTGTATACGCTCCTGCCTCCAGTAATAGGTTTTATGGGGCAATTGTTGCATCATAAATATCATCGAAGTAACCGATGAACACACCGGTACACAAAGACTAACGGTATTTGTTTTTCCTTCTTCTTCTTTGGGGACTACCATAGTGCTTGTGACTAGCGCTTTTTGGGATTAGTGATCCGCTTCGCGTTGACGCTTACCTTGCAAGACCTTGATAAAGGTTTTTTTTTTTTCAACCAACCAGCTCATCTCTTATACAGCTCTGCTATCACTTCAGTAGTTTATTGGCTGCTCTCTGTCACCCGCTATGAGAGAGAGAGAAACAACTTTATCTAAGTGGAAAAAAATCACAGCGCAATGGCGATCAGGCCTTGCCTGGCTGCCACCTCCTCACCCGCCATTAAATACGTATATATACGACCTCACAGGGGGAAACTGATGGTCGGAAAATGAACTCTTCAGTCTCGAAACCATATTGATGGATGGATAGAAAAACCTTATCAATTGCCCAGCAGAGTAATGGCCCGGGCTCAGGTCTCCCACGTCGGGACGTCAAGGTCTTGCCTCCCCGCCGTCTCACGAACTTGCTGGACTGCCCAGAGTTGGTCGGCGAGCTTGGGGCTACGCAGAGCGACTTCCCACCTCGTCGAAAGAACATCGGGACTAATACATCTCATTTTGGCCTAGCATTCCCAGAGCATCTGTTTTACCGTAACTGTGTCGTCTGGCAGACATTACAGATGTTGGTGCTATAAATATCAGAGTATATTTGGTTATACAGCAGTCGGTTAGGATAAGTGTTCGTTTGCTGCTGTCGCTAGGCAAATGCTTGAGCTCTGCATAAATTACCACGAGGCGGAGGATAGCATCGCCGGACCAAGTAGAGCGCCTTGGTCAGTTCGTGGTATCCCGTAAGTATGCGGACCGGCATCGAAACCAGACATGGAATTTGATTTTCTAGAGTTAGGGTAGGCACCAGCACTCAGCCTCTTTTTATACATCACATCGAGAAAGACGACGATCGACTGCCACGGACTCACGCGACCTGCTGCTGCTCGAGATCGCGAGCAGCCGGTCTCGGCATCTCGCGCCCGGCAGCCGCGGTGTCGTTCCACTAGGCCTCGCCAGCGACACGCAACGCAAGCCGGCCGCCAAATATACGCCGGCGTCAGCTGCCGACCGACCACTAAGCCAACCTCGCGGGCCGGCCGACGTCCACCACGCGTCCCCCAAGCAAGGCTCGCCTGGCCGCCGGCATGTCGCCGGCGGCCGCGGCGGCGGCGGCGAGAGAGCACGACAAGAAGCTGCTCTACTTCGCCGGCGGCGCCTTCGTGGTGATCGCGGTAACCACGGCGTTCGCCAGCATCGCCATCATGCGCTCCGCCCTGCAGAACGTCAACAAGCACCGCCGCAACAGGGTGCAGTACACTCTGCAGGCGGCCGACCTCCAGCCTCTAGGACACCGCCAGGACGCGGCGGTCCAGCACCCCAACAAGATACCGGCGCTCTCAGCATCGGTCGCGTCCTCCGGCAAGCAGCACAAGGAGGCCGCCGCTCGCAAGGCCGCTCGCAAGGCGGTGGAGCGCAAGCGGTCGACCAAAAAGAAACACCGTGCTACGACCAAGAAGGCCAAGAAGCCGGCCGCCACCCACCGCAAGGCTGCCAAGACCGCCAAGATTTCCGGAAATAGCAAAAAACGCTCCAAGAAGCCCACGACGCCAGAACCTGAGGAACAGGAGGAAGAAGACGAGAAGGATGACGAGTAAGCGCCGACCGAGCGCCATGCGTGGACCGAGCTAAGACTGTAGACGAAAGGGGGTTTCGCTGTTGGCGTCTAGCTTTGAAAGAACGAACTCTAGAGTCCGCGTGAAAAGTACGGACTTGATTCCGGTTTGCGCTTGTGCGGCTCGGGGTGTGCAAACAATGAGATGCTGGAATGTGTGTGTCTTCCTTTTGCGGGCTGGATATCTTACTCGTGTGTACTCAAATGGACCACGAGTTTGCTCCCCCGCACATGGCGGGACACCTGCCGCACGCAAGCAGAGAGCGGGAGAGCGGGTCGGTGGCGCTCTTGCGTCCTCCGCTTTCGTGCGGCGGGTCCCAACACGCGTGGTGCGGCCCATGTCTTCGTGGTTTCTATAGTTCGCAGCTTCGTGCGTTAAGTCGTGCAGATTTTAAAAGCGCGCTGAAATAACCCCACGGCATGACATAGGCATGCAGTCATAGTGACTAAATGTGTTTGCATAGCACAGATGGGTTCATAAGTCCAAGTATTCAAGCAGGCATGCACCTCTTGCAAGCACATATACGTTACGTTTTTAGGCACACATCACGACTCAGTTTCAAGAACGAGTTCAGTGTTCCCGTTCATAGTTCTCGTGAATAGACAATCGCGCATGGTCGAAAGTTTCCAGGACACACGGTCATATGCATCAATATATTGAGTAGTGGCTTCGGAACATTTGACCACATTTGTTAGTAGTCACTCTCGCAGAAGCTAAGCAGTTGAGTCGAAACAACGCTTGCGCCCCTTTAGTAAGGGTACGTGGGAAGGATTCGTCCATCCTAATCCGCTGAATAGCGGCAGCTGCGAACACTAACACACACGCACACCGTCAACGTGAACCAGATATATCCAAAATAAAGCTGCTGGGGCACTCGGTCTACCCGTTAACTACTAAAGGTGCGAGGCAAGTGATGAGTGGCCTCCTTGGTGGGAGCCCAATTCATACATCTGCCGGAAATCAGTAAAGTTGAATATTATAGTTGCGCAAAAAACCCCAGTGCGTGCATGAGAGCGTGCGGGCCACAGAACTTGAGCGAGTCTCGTGTATGGACTACTGGTCTACTGGAAATTACGTTTGACCCGACGCTGATAGACGCCAAAAGTACTTGCAATAGGCAAAAAAGAAATGATTCGCATTTAATACACTCCTAGTGATACCGCTATTGAATAAAGTTAACTATTCTTTAGAACCCAATAGTGTGTCTAGGTCCCCGATTTATCGAAAGTTGATAATCAGAAACTATAGAATTATCGTAAGCCCACCCGTAGTCACGAATAAGCTGAATTATGTAGAAAGATATGGCAGCATATCCACGGAGTGAATGATGGAGAGTGGGGCGAAGAATTCGTCCGTCCATTCGTTCTTGCTTCCGTGCGTCCGTCAGTGTGACCGTCCATGCGTCCATCAGCCCGTCCGTGCGTGCGTCCGTCCCTGCATTCGTCCATGCAGCCGCCCCTGCGTCCGTTCATGCGTCCATCCATGCATCTGTCTATGTGTCCGTTCGTCCATCTATTCAACACTCCAAGTACCACCATCTCACACCTTTTCATCATATATTCCCCATATAGAAGCACCGCCATCCAGCGGACATTCTAAGGACTAAACGAGATATGGCACACGCACACTTTCTTACGGCTTGCGCTTCGGGTCCACTTCCCACCTTTAACCACCTCGAGTTCATGGTATATACTAGTTCACTGTATTCATGTCACTGCGGCCGAACGCTCGCTAAACCTTTCGAAAACCAAGGAGTTTACGCCCAGCGAGTATGACGTAGCAAACTTCATCAGTGAGATAGTGCTCAATGTACATGCCAATGGCTGCTAATGGGAAATGAGAGGCGGATCTAGAATTTGGCTTTTACTTTCTTACGGCTTGCGCTTCGTATCTACTTTCCATTTTTAACCACCTCGAGTTCATTCATGGTGTATACAAGTTCATTGTATTCATGGCACTGCGGCTCAACGCTCGCTAAACCTTTCTAAAGCTAAGGAGGTTACACCCAACGAGTATAACGTAGCAACATTTTCTTGTCAGATAGTGCTCAATGTACATGCCAATGGCTGCTAATGGTGATCGCAGCCTGCGCGTTAACTGAAAGCCGAATGCTCCTCTCTCTCATTTCCCATTAGCAGCCATTGACATGTACATTGAGCGCTATTTTTTATTGTTCAACAACGCACAGAAGAAGTCTCTCACCGGCACCACCTTAGAGGTCAAAATGTTATACTTGTTACAGACTACGAGGGACGAACGGGTGCCGTTATAAAGAGTTTTGTCCCTAAAATGCCGCATTCCAACGGTCTACATAGAAGGAAAAAACTAGATCGTTTTGTGCCCTCACTTTGCAATTCACACCATTTATTCGCTCCAGTAAGTGGAAGTTCTTGGCAGCTGTGTTTGGGAGCGGGTCCACTATTTTTTTTTCCCGCCTACTGCACTTTCAAGTTATCACACAAGGTGTATTCAAGGTCGGCAGCCCGTACCTTGAGCCCCCCGTAACTTCATAACAGCCGGCACAAAGGAACTGCTAGAGCGTAGCGAAAACCGGCGCAACTGCGACACGCGTGCATCCAAACTTCGCGCGTTTGCGCCAAACTTAGCCCCGCTCTCGGTGTAGAGCGGCCACACTGGTACACTAAACAACGCCTACTTTACTGAGATGCCTGACGAATAACTCAGGTTACTAGCGGAGCCGCCCTGCATTCAGTTTTGAGTAAGCGCCGCGCGATGACGCTCGCCGCAACAAAGTTATTTGCGACAAATTTTGTCAAGTATTGCGAATAGGTGACGTTATCCGCCGCCCAATCTAAAAAAAGCCATAATAGTGCACGCATTTATTCATCACAGTGTTTTTAGGGTGTCAGTTGAAAATTATTTGCAATTTGCATTTATAAACAACAGTTTCTGAGGCTATGCAAATTGTCAAGTTGTTGTACCGTCCGTCACAAATGGCGCTAGCGACCGACACTAATCAAAAATAAAAGAAGAGAAGAGTGTAGCAGTTGTTTTCGTTTTCTTTGGCAGGCATCTAAATAAAGGAGGCGCTGACCGAACCATGGACGAACGTCTCTCGAGAAACGCCAGGCAGCGCTCGCATCGCAGGCCGCACGCCAGCAGCCGAAAAAAGCGCACAATACACAAGTCCCATGCGTGCGCGCCGTTGCCGTATGCGCGACAGCTGTGATCATCGCAACGTCGTCTTGGGAGCCGTTATGTCGACCACAGCGAGAGCCGACCCTTCGGCCACTCGTCTCTGTGCTGTGCTGACCAGTCTCGCAGTGTTTTTTTGCCACCAGTAGTGTCCGCGAACTTCAACGGGAGTGCACCATGGCGTCAGTGAAGGTTGCCGTGCGTGCGAGGCCCTTTAATCAAAGGTGAGACAGTTTCGCGTCGCAACCGAGTCCAGAGTGACTCACGCTCGTGTCGCTCCAAGAAAACCAGCTGCTCTTGAACCTCTTGTTTTTCTTCCTTTGTGTGCGTGGTGTTTGTAGCGCTTTGCTTTCTTCTTGAGGGGGTGGAAGCAGTTTCGCTTCTGATACGGCCCTTGAGTAAGGGCTGCTCTTGACATATAACAAAACACCTTTTTTTCCTGGGAACGGGGCTTTTGCGCTCCCTCGGCTGCGCTCCCGATTTCAGCTGTTCGCCTCGCCGCTTCGGGGGCTGCCGTGTTTTTTTTTTTTTTTCTTGCTCTTTGTATTTTACCGTTACCCGGGCCGCCCGCTCTGTAGACTGCGTATGGCCTGTGTCAACATTAGACTGAAAGGATTGCGCTTTCAGATTTCGTGGTCGAGCGCGTGATGATACCGCTATATTCGGCGCTTGCGAATGAAGTGCGGCTGAATTGCGTGCGCCCGGTTCCAGGTTATTCGGCAATCTTTGGCGATGCGGCCAAGTTTGTTCGTTTCGCTGTGTGCGCTCGCTCTCCGACTGTGCTCATCGGAAGCGTAGAATGCTTGAAGTGCCGCTACACTGCCGATGATTCATGATTTGACGAGACCGGTTTTGTGATCCGCACACAAAGACGTTCGAACACCGCACTCTTAATTCAAGAGAGTACTTGAACGCGAGACAGACGAGATCGCTGTCAATGACTCATTGGTTTCCCTGACATCACAACGACACGTCCATCGCTGCCGCTTCAGTAATTCGTGTGCGGCCTCTCTCAACTCAGAAAGGCTATTGGTTCATTATTTAGATGTGGTTCATAATTAAATTCACACACGTGCATAATTCGCAGGCATGTAATTTACGGTTTAGAGGCGTTGATCGTTCACGAGAGCACACTCATGACTACTGTTGAGATAGTGCTACGAATAAGATACATTCGCAAAACGCATGTTGGTGTAATCAGTTTCCTATTGAGGTAAGCCGTTTGTCGCCATAAGAAATGGACAACACAATCGTACGTTGAAATATCTTCTTGCAGAAGCAAACGCTTTTTATCTCTGAATTCTGTTGCTCTGGACCATACGCTGCAGCCAGTGAAAAAATGTTCGTAACAGTTTAGGAACTTTGCTTGAATTTGGAAGAGCTTGTGGAATAGTAGTGTGAAACTTGTAAATGATGCTGCTGCACGAAGATATGCTGAAAACAGACCTAAAAACAACACTCTTGAAGGAACCAAATGGCAGAATACCAAATGCAGAACCAAACGGCAGAAGGAACCAAATGGCAGGGCAATGCATAAGTGTCACCGCTCTTGTGTACATCTGTGTGTTGTGCTTTCGTACATTTTGCTTCAGGCTCACTAACAATGCTTAAAAAGTGGACACAGGTGTTGCTCTAGCTTTGGAAAATGCTGTCATCCTGCTTTAGTATGTCTGGCATTTTTCTGTGTGGCATGGGTGTTTGCAGGTAGATAATCACATGCTCACGCTTAGATATCGCACACTTGAACCACGTGTGCTGTTGTTGGAACAGACGGTGCATATTGAAGCACTTTCTAGTGCAGCGCAACGTGTTGTACTGCCACGCAGTTGCAGTGCGGTCCAAGTTGAAACATGTTATGAATTCTGTAGCACAAAATATCATTTTTCTTAGCGATATAGTGTGTTTCGCATTCACATAATTTCAGAGTTTAAAGAAAATCTAACCAAAAAAGCTTTGCACACTTCCTGGATCCTTCTGACAACATTTATTTGTTGAGCACAAATTGGTTATTTGATTGGCATATCGAACTTAAAATAATAAATGAACAACACATAAGCTGTCTGTTCTATTCATCAGCATCTGCTATAGCTTTTATCTGTCAAACAAACCAGGTGATCAGCTAGAATATCTTATTGAGCATTATTTTCAACCTTCGCATCACAAGTACCCTGACACGTGGGACATAATTGGGATAAGGTTAATTTAGCATGAAAAAAAATGCAGCAAAAAGCAAGGTAACATAGGCATAAAAAATTTACTGGGCTTGCATGTTTCGTGGATGTTTCTATTACTAGGCACAAGTCCGCTTAAGGAATAACTCTAACCTTCACAGTACTTGCTTCAAAAAAGTCACAACCAAAAGAATATTTTTTCTAGAAGATGCCGTTTTGTTTCAACAATCTTTCCTGCACTCCTGAACTTTTTATTATAGCACTTAATTTTTAACTGAAGTGAGGCTCCTGTAAGGTAGACAAAGAGCAACATAATTCCAGTCCTTACTTTCATAACGTAGGCATAGAAAATTTACTGGGCTTGCATGTTTCGTGGATGTTTCTATTACTAGGCACAAGTCCGCTTAAGGAATAACTCTAACCTTCACAGTACTTGCTTCAAAAAAGTCACAACCTAAAGAATATTTTTTCTAGAAGATGCCGTTTTGTTGCAACAATCTTTCCTGCACTCCTGAACTTTTTATTATAGCACTTAATCTTTAACTGAAGTGAGGCTCCCGTAAGGTAGACAAAGAGCAACATAATTCCAGTCCTTACTTTCATGACCTTGTTCAAGTATTTCACAGCTGGCAGAGCAGGTGAAAGTCTCAGAACACAGGAATGACCTGTTTTCCATTTGAAAGAATAGTGTGCGAGCATTGTCTCATTGCTTCGTATTCACATTTGTAAGGCATGCTTTGGAGATGCGCAGACATGTTGGGATCACAGTCACCTTTTACATTTCTTATTTTTGATGCCATCCTTCACTCCTTTCCGATTTGACTTTTGGGAAAATTGTCAGTAATGGTATCAAATTTACTCAGCATTATTTCAAGATGCTCAATGCTCTGTTGCAATAAAATTATGTAATAACAACTCGATTCATATGTTTCATAGTTGTTAGTCTAAACTAAAATATAATTAAAAACCTACTTATCCTAGTAGTGAGGAGAATTGACAGACAGTAATGCCAGGAAAGTGAGGGGGATGTTATTACAAGTAATTGTAATGTAAATGGGAAAAAAAGAAAACTGGACGGAAAAATAACTTGTCACCAGCAGGATCCGAACCTGCAACCTTTGAATAACACATCCGATGCTCTTACCACTGAGCTATGGCGGCTGTCATCCCCCCGTCCATTTAGGGTATTACGTGCATTTAAATGTGGCAGCGTCAGCAGCGAGGAAGCGGCAGTAGCATCAAAGAGTGTTTCACACTAGCCACCATAGCAACAGGTTGGTGATGACTCCCCTATACTATCCCTGGTATTATTGTTTGTTAGTTTGCATTAATCTTGTGTTCAACATAGGAAATGAGCCCTTTCATTTACACATTTACTTATCCTGAAGTCATTCATGTTCTGTTTTTACATAAACAGAATCATGTTTCCAGCTAAAAGTAGCACAATTTCATTTAAAGTTCTGTAAAGAGAAACTGTACTTCTTTGCATAGCTTGCGGCAAGCCGTGTGCTGAGAAGCTTGTAGAATATGGCAGTGCCTTCAGCAAAGTGATCAAATGCAACAGTGTACTGCAGAATGACACGCTTGTTATGCAAGGGGCTCAATTCACAAAGACATCATTGTATATTGCTCTTTCTTAGCCACTAGTTGACACATCAAGCCAAACCAAGCAGTGCCTACAAATGTCTGCATAGCGTCTCAGAGGGTTAAGGGACAAGGGGGTAGCCAGGGGGTGGCACATCGAGCATGTGCACCTCACCCCCCACTCCCCCGAATTTTTTTTTTTTTTTTCACCATAGCATAGAGAGCAAAAAATGACCACTTTAGGGGGTGCCCCCACCCCTGAAAAACATTTCTGGCTACGTGCCTGTAAGGGACTGACAACCAATTTTTATGGCAACTGTTTCCTTTAATGCAATAAAAAGGCTACTGGAGTTACCGTCTAGTTACTGGAGCACCAAGAAAAGGTAGAAAGGAGAAAACGGAAAACAGCGAAAAATTTCGTAAACCAAAGTTGTGCGCTCGAGTCAGCATTTTAACATGTGCCACTTGTCGTCCACCTGTTGAAACGGCTCGAGCAAACAGTCTCTGTTTACGAACATTTAATTACAGAGTAGTAATGCAGAGAACCCTGTGGAACATTTTTATCTGAATTTTTCAAATGAGAATGCCAACAGTCACACATGCAGCACACTACTGCAAACAGGTAGGTAGTTGGTGAGCATGATAGGGGTTTGCGTTCATGTACTGCGATTCGTTGCACATACGTTCATGTCAAGTGCATTTGTCGTGGCTCGACACTGTTTTCACTAATTGTGGCAAAGCCAGTGCCTCTTCTGAAGGTCAATCTATTTTACTTCATGATAAGCATAAAATAAGGTAGGGTTGTCTAATTACGCACCCACTATTTTTAAACTTTATTTGTGGTGCACAACAGCAGATTACGCGCGGCTATACGAATGGCCATGCCTACTTCGATTTGCCCATGTACCAAGTCTTGTCATCGGGTCACGAGGCGTATCAGTTTTTATGACTTTCAAACACAATTTCAGTCTCATCCAAATTGCGAAGAGAGTGCTTTATTCTGTCTCTATCATTAACATTTTTTCCACTTGCAGCTGTGTTTAGTAACACGCTCTAGCTGATTGTTAGTACCTTCAAAGAATAAAAATTAGCTTTTTCCACTTTGGCCTATTAGTCCTACACAGTCACACTTTTCACAGCATTTTAGGTTTCAAATCTTTACCCATAGGATGTGTAAGGCCAGCTTTGTTAATTCAAATATCTTGGTGATTTTACTGGCATTTATAGCTGCCAATATTCGTTATAGAGAACTATTAAGTCTGTATTTGAGAATCTGGTAATGCAAGGCAATTTTTGTGTCATGGTATGACATCAAAAAAGAGAGAAAGGTTAAGTGAAACTCGGAGAGGTTAACCAGAGGAAAAGTTCCGGTTTACCTACCCGCGCAACATCGAAGTGTTGCAAGTAAATGTGGAATTATGAGTATGTGCACTTTGCAGCTTTCTTATGTAAACGTTATATCTTGAAGAGATGTCATTATGTTTTGTGTTACAAGTTTAGCAATTTGTCAGCAACATGACACTGGAGCCTCGCAAAACCCTTCGAAATGTTTTCAAAGGTCAAATATTATGAGTGACTGGACTGGTTCATGGAGAAGCTAGACAAATAAATTGAAATATTAATTTCATATTTTTTTCTTCCGCAGGGAAATCGACATGAAAAGCAGTGAGATTATTCGCATGGATGGTAACAAGACATGTATTGAAAACCTGAAGGTATGTGAGCGTCCATTTACCTTGAATAAGCTTGGAAGTTAGATGTGCTCGATGACATTTATTGCACTTCTGTACGTTCCTTGCACCTTATGGTCTTCTACTTGATACTCGTGTCTGTCGGCTTGATATGACTTAGAGTATATGGAATGAATTTGTTGTAGCAACCTTTTTATTGAATGTGAACTTGCAGCTCCTCATTTCACATTTTGTGTTTCTTGGGAATGAGAATAGTTTAGGCTCCTAACTACATTGTTTTATGCACCCTTATTATCTTGTAATTATGTGCATCACCAGGCAAGGTTGCCTGTAAAATTTAGTTGTTGAGTGCTTCTTCAGATGTTAGGAGTTTTCTTTTTTTAGCTTTTCATGGAATTTATGCAGTCTAGTGTTTCTTTGTCTTTTCTGCCCCATACTTATGAACACCTAAACTTAGAACTCAGACTGTTGTGTTCTGGGCTTCCTGCTTAATCCTTTTAGCTCAGGTTAGCACGATATGTTTACGTTAACTAGCAGTATTGGCACTTCAGGAAACCTTCCTGATTCTAACGACTGCAATAGCTTTCAAGAATTTGACATGTTGATTACTACTTACCTTGTCTTATAATGCATGCACATATTTTATCTCGCAATAGCTCTTTAAGTATCAAAACTTTAAAGTATGTATTCATGGCATCAAACATACGGCCTATGCAGGTCCTCTTTGCGACTAGAGAAATTTCTGTTTTCAGTCTTAGCACCATCGTCAAGAGGCCTCTTGTGGAATGAATACTTCTAAAACTTTACTAATCATGAAATAACATAAGTAATACCGGCCGGTATCAGTTTCTCACATTTCTGTGAAATTGCTCTTATCTTTTATTATTGTTTAATACTTTTTAAATTCTTGTGTGCGGTCGTAGGTGGAATCTCGTCTACATGATCGTCACGAAATATTAGTGAATAAAACACGTAATCTGAAAATAGTATTATGATAACTAAGCTCAAGAAACTCGGGTACAAGTGTACTCTGTTACACACTGAATAACACTTGTTTGTGGGGAGCTTTAAATCAGCGAAGTAACAGAGAGTGTCTCCATTCTCTCTCTGTGGTCATTTCTTTGTCATTCTGCTGCATAATATTGGGGGGTTTTACACATTAAATGGTTGTTTGAATGATATTTAAGCTAGTACACTGGAATATAAATTATTGAGATTAGGAAGTACCAAGGAAAGCCCATTTTCTCATTTAATTATTCAATTTCGGGTGATGACACATTCCTGTTCCATTGTTTGAGAATACATTGCTCGTATGGGATGTTGGTTGGGAAATCAAAAGTAAACTAAGCATATAACTGAAAATGGAGAGTCGTATGGACGAGATTCCACCACAGTTTTCTTTTTTTTTTCCTTTCTCGTGCATCACAACCACTTTATTTTCTGCACCGTACAGTTTCAGAGTCTAATCTCCTGCCCCAATATCATAGTGAGTACAGTGCTTCAAGCCTGTCAATCTGGTGTTGCTTCCTGTATTTTCACTGTGGAGTTTGTGCCAGGCTGCATGTTTTGTTCTGTCTACATTTGTGTTGCATGGACATCTTGTGGGGATTCTGTGTGCATGATTAATTCTTGCACAGGAGCATTTAATTAGCCAATCTTGGATTATTACTGTAATATTTTGCGAAATACAAATTTTCATCATTCGTGTAAGGGCACGACTTGGATGCATGAGAAAACTGCTTTCTGGCATCACACTTAGTTCTCAAAAAGAAGCTAATCATTGTTGTCAATGCATTCTTTCTGGAGCAGCAGTACACATTAACTACTTGTCAATTACCAATAAATGTTTGCTTATATTTATTCATCTTCCCAGACTGTCACATTTAATTAGTCCTGCTGTATCAAGTGTTTTGCAGCCCGACAGAAGCATGACATACATAATTTGCTTTCCTAATAAAAATAGGCAGATTAAGAAAAATGTGCACATATAAATATATATTTGATTGAATGCCACAAAAACATAAATCATTATTCTTGGAAAAACGACTTCTAGTTGTGAAAAGTGTGAAAAATTTGTGCGTATAGCTTTCCAGCTGTTTTTTTTTTTATTTTGTAACTGTGTCAAACTATAATGACATAATGTAGTCATACTGCCTTCTCTCTTAATGGATAAGTTTAGAGTAATATATAGTTGGTTAAAATGAGTTCTCAGTCTGTCACATAACATTACATTGTGGGTTTCAAGCTTCATGCATGCTTCAGCTTCATAACATTTAAATAAAATGTCTTGCTCAGCATGAAAGTACAGAGCATTCCAAGTATTTTTAGTTGTCAATAAAGCATCAAAGCGTTTTACTCCACAGCTAGTTTGGAAAAAGAAGGCAGGAGACCTTAATTATGTATTTTGAACCCTCGTATAAATATTGTACTGATCTTAAACGTCTTCCAATTGGTGGCATTCCAGTATTTTTTTGCTATCATTATTACTTTTTATGGCCATTTTTATGTTGTGGACCATTATCAATACGCGGAGTACATCAGATATTCCTTATTTACTAGTCTATGAAAATTCTCGCATTGCAATATACACACAACTGCCTACTGCATTGCTATAATCTCACAGTGTGTCGTCTGCTCTTTCTGGACAAAGGTGCCAGTCATTTATTCATTTATTTTATTTCTTTATGAATACCGCAACCCTCAAATAGGGTTTTAGCAGAGTGCATATACATTTGTTAAGTTTACGAAAATTGCAAACAAAATAAAAATAAAACTGGTAAAGAATGTACAGGCTTTCATAAGCTAGGAAAAATAAAGACGAAAGAAGACGATTCGAAATTAACAGGCATGGGTGCATATAATACGATCAAATCAGCACTGCATTCAAGATGGCCGCTAGCATAGAATGAAACGGGTAATAAACACTACAGCGATTAAATAGAATTCCCGCACTATCATATTTTACTCGAGGGCGTTGGCTGCAGTCGGCGGCAGTGACAGATCGCAAAGCATAAGCTCGGCATTGTGTCGGCACCCATTTGTGCAGTTATCCTTATCACCACTTCCGCGGGGGCAACATGATAGCGGGAACAGCCTTGGGTTCAGTTTCATGGTGGTGTATATCTGATGCAGATGCTTTACAAAAGTTTTCTTAAGGCATGTGTACTCACACTATGGGTAATAAAAGTTTATAGCTAAAGGAACTGGCCTCTCGAAAGTTGTCTGAATAAACGTGACTGCACGGGCGCGAGCATGCGCGTGTGACTCATTGTGCCAGTGTCTGGAGATATGACATCTGTCGCTAAAATTTACGACTGCGTGACGACGCAGTCTTTGTAAATAACTCGTAAGTGTTTCTGCGGAATCACTCGTGAGCTTTACGGCTGGTATTCTGAATTGTCAAGTAATTTTCAAAGGAAGGCGGTAGTTTTCGCTTAACTCTTTTTTGTATTTTAATTTTTTTATTTTCTGGGTCATTACCGGGTAACCCATTTCAATTATTCACAACAATGCAGGTTATATTTTCAATGTGGTGTTATTTGTCTTTAGTTTTTAAGCTTCACCTTACTGTTGTTGTGGCTTCATAGGCCACAATGTACTTTTTGAGTGTAATTGATTAGCACTCTATCTAGGGAATCAATGTATATTGTTATTGATATCTTAATGCCACACATTATGGAATGTACGGGTATCATTGGTATAAAATCATTGAGCCTAAGGGCAGCAGGCTGATGTGATACTATTGCTTCCATTCTATTTAATGGTAAATTGTAAACTATTTTCTATTGTTTTGCAATTTTTGCATAAATGACGAATCTTTCCCAAAAGCTTCATGTTTGCTATCTTTGGCAGCCTGCCAAAGTGTGTGTTCTTTCTGGCTTCTTTATGCAAGTCCACACTGTATAGCCAGTGTTTAGAAATATTATATTTACACAATTTCTCTAAATTTCTCAGGTTGGACTTCTTCCTGAAAAATTTGTCCCTTGCGAATTTCACGCTCTCGTGCATATAATAACCTATTCTTGTAGTTTTCAAACCTTTGTGTCATCAATCTCACTGCAAGTTTCTTAGGTAGAGAACTTCTTTGATTACGCCACTTGGCACTGGCTTTAATACCATGAGCAGTTTTATCAAAAAACCTTTGTTGTAGACTTGCACAGCACTGCAGACATCTGACTTTTTAAACCTTAGACCGTAGGGTGGGTGATATGACAAGCCAATATTTTATCAGCTTAATACTGTTATAGACAATAGAACACATCTAGGTCAGAAGTGTCAAGATTGTATTGCCCTCAGTCGCACAGTTCTTTCATGCACTATATTCTAGCTTTGTACACTTGCACTGACAACTGGTGCACTCTGGGTTACATGCATGATGAAATTTATTTTCCTTCTGTAATGGGGTGGGGGCATGTTATCCTTCTGCTCCTCAAGCAACTTCTACAAGGAAAATAGAAAAGAAAAGGAAAGATTATACATTATTCCAATATACCTAATAAGGCATATTAATATATCTAACAAAGTATATTAACGGAACTTTCAGTTCCATTAATAAGTTGATGCGATGGTTTAATGTCATTTTACTGCACATTTCTTGTACAATAAATAACATACAGGCAAATTAACAATATTGTGCAATGTGCTAGCGATGCTCTGTTTGGGATAAATTTTGCTCATTGATAAGCATGATGCAACTCACACCACTGTAATTTAATCATTAACTGATTCATACAGCTTCAGATCAAAGGCGGAAATAAGTATAATGGGGCCTTATCTTCATAAGCCTAGAATAATGAGCTGTAACTTCATACAATAGCATTCGTATAATTTTCACTTTTTTCTGCTTTATAGTCCTTATTTTTTATTGCTCTATATATCTTAGATACTCATTCGTTGATGTTTACCCACTAACGTAGTATAATATTCTTGTGCACTTTTATCTTTATTTCTTTTTTTCTCATGATTACTTGTATTTTTTTTACTGCAATGCTGCTTGTGGAGCCTGTTACATGAATAAATAAATATAAATGCTTGCTTATTTTATTTGCTGACAAGAAAAAGCCGCTGCTGTCCAGGGCTGCACCCAGAAATTTTTCTTGGGGGTTGTTTAGGTGTAGAACGTCTAACTTTGACAACTAATAGTTGGTGTGAAGGCATGTCATTATCCAGTAAGTTGAAGCATTAAAAAAAATTTCGGAGGGTGTCAGGACCTCTGCAACTCTCCCCTAGTAACGGCCCTGCCGTAGCCTATTTATCTGTAAAAAAAAAAATATGCCCATTTTTATGAACTAATTTAACTGGTAATCTAGTTTTCATGGTTATTCGGTAAAGAATATTTGTTTTACTTTCGACACTGTAGTGTGTGATGTTAAGTCATTTTCCATGCTTCAAGCAACTGCACATCAGTTAGTTTGTACACTACATGGAACTATACTTATGCAGTGCATACAACTGACATTTTTGATAATGGGCATTTGGCTGTGCCTATACAATTTGTCCTGTTGCTTTTGCAAAACAACGCAATGTTCTCTGTGTGCCTCTTTGTCATCGCAAGTATGTCTGCACGTAGCGTCATTCTCTCCAGCACGTTGTGTGGACATTAACTGTGCCTTTTTGTCCATAGGTGTCGCCGCAGGGTGGAGCCGAAGAATTGGGCCGGGAGAGAATCAAGGAGTTTACGTTTGACTATTCGTACTGGTCTGTGCACCCAAGTGACGCACACTTTGTGACACAGGAGCAGGTAATATCTATAGTTCAAACGACGTTTCTCTTTATTGACAGCTCAAGGTTCTTGGGTGGTTATTGTTAATTATAGTTGGCGAGCATATGTGTGTTTGTACAAATTTAGAGCCTTAGGTCAGACAGTATGCAGTGTCAAAGTGGTTGTTTTTATTAGCATCTGAAGGTTATGTGGCCAATAAAAATATTTTGCAAGGAAAGATAAACATTTTGATGTGAGTGGTTTGATACCTGAAATCTGGGTGAACATTGTACGTGAAGGCCACAAGGTACAATAGTTTATAATTGATTGCACTTGAGCATGGTTTCTTTATTTAGATTGGAGGCCTGAGTTATGAGGTTTAGCCGCTGTTCTTGCGGTGAGTTAGTAAGTCACTGCATTAGATCCTCTTTGCAACTAAGTATATCTGCGAAGTTCTGACTTAATATGGAGGTTTGACTTGCATGAAGTGCCAAGCTAAGCATGGCATTTTGGCTAGGTTTGCCTGGTCAGCTTGTTGGTTATCCGTAATATCCAATATATAGCAAATCTAGGACAGGACAGAGCAGAAGACGCTTAACACAAATGGCAGCGCAAACTTTCAACAATTCAGTTTATTCCGATCATCGCCAAGTTTGGTAGCATGTGCATTGGTAAACCGTCTGTATCATATCAGTGAAAGAACTAGAATATTTGAGTACCACATGATGGATTCCTTTTAATACACAATTTCTGGTTAGAGCACGTGACTTCTTGCGCGCCATATCGGTGTATGTGTACTGTTTATTCTCGAAATAACTGCATAGTTGAAATTTAGCGCTGTGTTTGTGTTATGCATCTTCTGCTCTCTTCCATCCTTAATGCGCTATACATCGGATACTACGCATTTTGGCATCAAGGAACCATTGTTTATGAATCACTTGTTCACTTTTTGAAAATGGTGATGAATTCTTTGGTGCAGGTTTTCAATGACCTCGGTCAGGAGGTTGTGGACAATGCATTTGAAGGCTACAATGCGTGCATATTTGCCTACGGTCAAACTGGATCAGGAAAGACATTCACTATGATGGGCTCATCCGTAAGTTTGTTTGCTGTAACTTGTTAACCCACTCATGCCTTCCAAATTCTACAGGTATTGATGGTTATAGGCTGATAATTATATGAAAAACAGGGTTTATACGTAAACAATATTGAATGGGCCTTTAACCAAATAATCTGGTTTCATACTCATGAAAACCTTTTGACATTCAGCATAGTTGTAAGGGGAGTGTTTGAACGCACTGCTAGGCTGAGCTGTGCGAGCAGGTAGCGTAGGCGAGATAAGCCACACATGTCCCAAACAACAGGACTTTTATTTTTCTTGAAGTGTATGAAAAAAAGTCGCATGGTTTTTCATGCTTGCACTGTTGGCATTTGCTCACAGAAGCGCCGGTTCATGGTGCTATGGGAGTATGTAGCATATCTAAAAAAAAAAAGTTATCTTAAATTCATATTTGATTTGATATGTATGAAATTCAATAGCAGTTTGATTGGGTGAATAGTGAATAAATTAATAAAAAATTAGTTTTTCCTTACATTTTAGTGATGTAAATGTGGGAATAGTGAAAGCTGCCTTCTTTACTTATTTGTACTTTTAAATTTGCACTTATAAAATATCTCTGAAAATGCAGACTTATAGTTGATATTGCAATCTGTGCTATGGCAGATATTAATCTTTTTCATTGTTGAGCACTTACAGAAACAAAGATTGAGGATAAAAGTTCCAGTGTTGTTCCTTGCTTTGTGATGATACTTTGTGCCAGTTTGCAACGATAATGAATTTAGGCTGCAGATATTTCCAAGTCATTTCTTTAAGTGAGTCGAAAAAGCCTTCTGTATTGAAGACAGTGTGACATTTATCACCTCGCTCGGAAAAACTGATCATATTTTGTGCACATCACATTGCATATTTTGTTATGGCTGAGAGATCAAATGTATCTTTAATTATTGTATATGGTTCAATCCTTCGGAAGGTTCTGGACATTATAAATTCAATAATATATAAGTGAATACACTCGGACATTATTATAACGAAGTTTCAACTTACAAGAATAATTGACAGGCACAACAAGCGGACGGCGAGAGAAATAATGAAAGCGTATAGAATAAGGAAAGGAGGGGACAGTTGGGTCAGTGAAACGTCAGTTCTACTAACGGATGCAGAATTTGCGTTTTTGGACGTCACATAACCCAGTATTTTTTGTTTTTTTTCTGTTTTACGTTTTTCCCTGTTTCTTCTGTTTTACGTTTTCTTTTCTTAGTTCTTGACACGTGCTTGTTTCCGGTTGTGTGCCATCGATTATGGGAGTGCATATTTTGTTATATCACATTGTTGATGATGACAGGGAAAGTCGAGAATGACGTACATGCGTGTGATGTATTTATTAGTGTTCGCTTCGAAATAGAATTTTCAGTTGCTAGTAAGCGCTTGTCTGTGTCCTCTCTGAGTGTGTGTATTTTTAGCGCTTGTTTCATCATGAACCTTTACCAAAACGCCCAACTGGCAGTCATCCTAAAGAAAATAACTTTCTTTGTATCCGAAAATTCATTAGAAAGGTTATTTCTAATGCCGTATCTTTTGCAAGACTATTTTTCATTTTCTTTGTTATAACTGATATTGCGTTATATTCATGTTCGTTATATCGAGGTATGAGTGTACTTATGTGTAGAGTCCCACTGACAATATTCTAATGGACACTGATTCTGTGTTGCTCCTGTGTACTGAATGTCAGCTTACCACTTACATTGAGCTTTGGGTATGTTGCCTGTCATTTAAAAGACCTTCAATTTTTCAGAACAATGAAGGGCTTATACCACGTATTTGCCAAGTAAGTGTGGATGTCATCTATGTTCATTGCTCTGGCCATAGTAACTTTATTTCCACATTGTACAAGAATTCTGAATAGTAAACAAATAATTAGGTTGTAATTTTTTAAGAGATATTGCCATAGGCGTGCGCAACACACTGTTCCAACAAGTTTTTCCTAATCAACAAGTTTATTTTATTCTCACATTGCCAACTTTGTTACAACTTGGAACTTGTCTAGTGTTTGATGCCACTATGTACGCATATCTATTTGCTTGTTTGTTTTTTCTTCTATGCTAGGCTATGTACACTAGAATGAAGTTGGGTCAAAATTCTGGCACCACATTTCGTACAGAGGTTAGGTAAGTTCCATCTAAACATTCTGTATTAACTTTCTTCGGATGTTGGAAATGCGTAGAAACGGGGGTTATTTCGTCACAAAAAGTTCACAACCTTTTGTTTGTTTGTTTGTTTGTTTGTTTGACAATGTTCAGGTATTGCTTTAAAATGCTTGATCCATTCAGAAATTTTATTGCTCCAATCGATGTAAACCACACAAGTGACAGTGCTCATTTCTACATTGTTACTCTGAACTTAACAGTTGTGCGGAATAACTGGGCAACATTGTACATATATGCACTGTTGAAGAACAAGGGCTTAAACATAAGCAATGCACGATTTTGATTTTTCTTTTTTTTATCATAATTACTTTAGCAATGTTTGACAATTCTAAACTAAATCTAAAATTTTAAGGTTGGTGTCATTTATGTAAAAAAGCATTAAATAAATGACATCATTTTTTTTCTTGTTCTTATATAATGTTTTATTATCCTTTCAGTTATCTTGAAATTTACAATGAAAAGGTCAAAGACCTGTTAAAACGAGAAAGCACTCAGCACAATCTCAGAGTTCGAGAGCATCCAAAACTTGGCCCTTATGTACAAGGTGAGTTTTAAACCTATTTCTTAGTCCGTGTTGTCTTTGATTGCTTTTTATTATGTGGCTTGCTCGAATTAAGCATTTTTTGTTTTCTTCCCTTCTCTCTCTCTATCTCTTATTTTTTTATAAGTCTGATTCTGGTGCACACAGTAGTGTTTATTGTATTCTTAACCATGTTACTGAAATAATCTTCAATGTTAATGTACAGGCCATCTTCATTTTGTGTAATACATGTGCATACTATATTTTGTGAAAACGATGTCTCTGAATTACAGTTTTGTGAGCTTAAACATGAAAAAAAAAAGGAGATGCAAGTTTTGTAGCAAGTTTTGTGACCTATAGGAAGCCAAAGCAACGCATGGTGGGGCTGCGACTCTGGACAGGCAGCGCCATCTTTGGTAGAAAAGTAGAAATCCAGGATGTATATCGCGCGTTTTCCCTTCCAGCCAATACGCTGCCGCTTGCTTATGTGCACGTGCAGAGAGAGCGCACTGCGTTTGAGTCACCTCACAATGTATCGCCTGCAGTGCGGCTTCATAAAGATCTCTGAGCTGGACAAGCACTTCCGAGAAGCGAATCTAACAAAAGGAGTAAAGCTCGTTAGTCAAGTGTATGATGTGCAGCAGATGACAGAAACGAGGATGCCTGAGTCACTGTGAAATGCATTTCTCAGGTCCTCCGTGATAATACCGTGTACAACGTATGGCTCGGGATAAGTCTCATTCTGCTGACATAAAGCCATGTACTCTATCGAAGTGCTGTGTTGACATTTATGGAAATCATACAATTGTTGTTTTGATGTGGTATCTAGCAGTAGCAGCCGTGTACTGTCATTTGCAAATGTTTGCAGCATGCTAAAAGAATAAAAACTAAAGTAATACGGTCATGGCATTAAAGTGTCCGAGAAGTTTTAGAGTCATGTCCTCTGTGCCATGGGCGCATGACTCGCTGATGTCGCCGCGAAGCAGCAAGCTGAAGTTTAACCACAGTGAGTCAAGTTAAAGTGCTCGCCTAGATTTTTTTTTCCCCCGGCTCTTGTGTCATGCTTGCTCTATCTTTCGTAAACTCGGCTGTGTTCCCCGGCTGTGATTTGCTAGGAAACTGATACAGCTTTACACGTGAAGAGCATCCCTTGGTTTGCCTGCCTTGTCGTGTCAGTTCACAACACAATACTTCAGACCTTGCCGACGCTTCCGTGGAGTCGCTTCTTTCATCGTGGAAAGTCAACTTCGCACCGCGAGCGTCTCGTTTTAGCGTGCCAAGCTGACGGCACGGCGCCCGCACCGACTGCAGAAAGCATTTCGGGCCTGTCACACGCGCTCCCATTTCGGCGAAACATACTGACGCGCCTGCGACCTCTCCCGGGTCTCTCCTCAAGTTTTCCAGAGCTCGCTGCGTGCCAGGCCTTGGCCCGGCATTGTCGTCGCTCAGCAAACTTGAAGTTCGGTTTTCTATAAAAAAATCGAAGCTGGCAACTCAACTCTGCGAACTGGGAGCGTGAGAGGAACACACACACACGAAGCAAAAAGGATTGCTATCTTGTTACAACTCAACTCTGCCATAGAGCCTGCAAAAACGCCAGACCTATTGAAGATACAATGTTTCCAGGGTAATGTTCTGGCTGCAATATATAGATACAATTTTTTGCGCCACTATAATTTATCAACAGCATCTTTCAATGGACCTGTAATGATGCACCCATATGAACATTTGAGTTCCATTAGCCAACTCAAAATGCAGTATCTTCGAAGTGTATTGTGCAACAGGGCCAAACTTTTATTGCAAGTGATTGGCAGGCTTTCATGTCTATGTTGCGTTTTGTTGTGATATTGCTATCCCACGTACATTTTCTCTAAGCAATAAGACTGAAGTGTACAGACTTCTTGAAAGGTAGTTGTCATCCGGGAAGTATCGAGAGGGTACTGCTGAAATCACAAGTGATCACTTATGCGCAGCTCCTATCAGGGCATGATAGTCTCCGATGGGCAGGCCAAGGTTAGGCTTGCTGGCACAAGACGAGAGAGTCGTGTAGATTTCCGGTCCGATGTTTTCAGCGGACAAGTCAAGGATAGCTCTAAGATTAAGACACCATTTCTTGGCATCTTGACTGATATCTTTACAGGCCTTATCTTCTATATGATGGTGTGTTTGTGTCAGCAAGGTTTTATTTTTGTTCTTCCATGTTATCTGCCTCTCTCTGCACTCTATTTCAGGAAATGTTGTTTCACAAAGGGGCATTCACCATATTGGAATTTTTAGCATTTACAACAATTTTATAAAGCTTGAAAAATGTTATTGACCATGTATTCATGTTATCTGTGAAGTAACTGGTGCAGCAACATAGCTTTTTTACAAATGCTAGACAGGCTTGCGCAATGTGTCTTATTTTGCTGAACTTCGTTTCAGGAAAAAGAACTAATAACGATGTTAATATGTGACTCAGTTTATTGCCAATAATTCATCCATACATCCCCAATTTAAATACTATTCAAATATATGTTGTCAAGTAGGATAATGTCTGTTTCAACATCTAGGTTCACTTAAATTAACTTTTTTTAGCTGTCTGCTATGTATTAGTCAGAAAAGTTTTGTAGCTTTATTAAACATGTATATATTAGTATTTCCACAGTAAGATTAAGGTTTGTGTCCATTTGTGCACAACGGTTCAACCTAAAGATGCACTAATGTGGTGTAGCACGTATTTATGACTGTTACCCGCCACAATGGGCGAGTGGCTAAGGCACTTTGCTACTAACCGCAGATCGCGAGATCGAAGCCCAGCCGTAGCAGCTATATTTTCTATGTAGGGGAAAAGGCTCGAGGCCTGTATGCCTAGATTTAGGTGCTGATTAAAGAACCGCAGCTGGTCGAAATTTCTGGAGCCCTTCACTACGACGTCTCTCATAATCATATGGTGATTTTGGGATGTTAAACCCCAAAATTTATTATTATTAATTTTCCTATACAGCTACATTTAATAGTCAAAAGAAAATGACACTTCTAACGTTTGAAGTTTTTGTGAATTGTGTATGGTTTCCTGTTCTTTTGACCACTCAGGAGGTGAGAAGGCTGCTTAAAGTTCAGGGAAATGTGACACTGGTAGTTACGGTTGTTACTGATGCAACACACAGATGACAAAACGTATCGTATCATATTTTAATACATGTACACGTCATGTAGTGTCTGGCTAAATGTTCTCAAGATTGCAGTTAGGTACAAATGGGGCAACTGTATTGCATCTTGCGTCACAACGTTCTTGCCTAACAAATGTGACAATAATTTCGCCGTTTAACTTTGGTGATGATACTAACTACCTGTTACAACAACCATCTGTAATATATTGGGCATTATTTCTGCAATTCACGCTGCTGCACCAAATACCTGTCTGTACATGACACCGTTACAAGGCTTTGCCACCCTTAACACTGAACTGGCAGATGCGCACTTTAATTAACTTTTAAATGAATTTGCATTTGTTTGCTTCTCTACAGACTTGTCACGTCACCTCGTCATGGACTACTCTGATGTGGAAGAACTCATGGCACGTGGAAACTCACACAGGTGCGTTTTGTAACATGGCTTGTAAGGCTTGATTAAGTTTGACCTTGAGTGTCCCTGAAGCTGTGATTTATTGCTCTTGTATGTCTTTGTTCTCACTAGGACGACTGCGTCTACAGCCATGAATGATGTTAGCAGCCGGTCGCACGCCATCTTTACATTGAATTTTACTCAGGTACGGCTTTTTCATATAATTTTCTGTGTAGAATGGCTGGTATGTTGTAAGACGGACATTTTAGCTGTTCTTACTATAGTGTAATTTGATACACTTAAAGTGAAAATTAAAAGTGCCAGAAAACTGAAGTGAATGACAGGTGTTAACCTTCTGTTCCTCTTGTTAACCTTCTGTTCGCTTAATGAATTGTTCCAGATAGTCAAAGCAGAGTTGTGAGTAATAAAAACAGTTGCTTTTATTTTCAAACTTGATATTATTTAAAGCACAAGTAATCCTTTGTGCAGGCTCGATAGTTTCCATGTTCTTCTTTATCTACATAATTGCTGGCTTTTTTTTATGTATTCCAGGCAAAATTTATTCGTGACCTCCCTAGTGAAACAGTCAGCAAAGGTGAACTTGGTGGATCTTGCTGGCAGGTAATGATCTCTTGATGTAGTGCTCTTCTAGCATTTTGAAGATTTTTAAAATGACTGCGATTTAACTTGTGTAACAATGGAATCACTTCTGTTTTACATTGTTCAGTGAGCGAGCAGATTCCACCAAAGCTACTGGCCAGCGACTAAAAGAAGGTGGCCATATCAACAAGTCCTTAGTCACCCTTGGAACTGTCATATCAGCGTTAGGTAAGTAGGCATTAGTGCTAAGCTTTAAGCTAGTGTTGTGTGTGTGCTTGAAACTGCTGCTGTAGTTACTGAGCCTGTGTGTGTGTCTTCGGGGTGTCTCAGTTCCCAGCTAACTAGGTAACTAGGACCATTATTTTTTTAAGACAGTGTGTTTTAGGGAAGTCCTACTTGTATATCGTTAGTAGTCATGTGTACATAATACATAGAACCTATGGCTGAGTGTTAATTAATTAATAATTAGCCAACTTTTAATGTTGCTCAAATCTGAAATATTGACTTTATGTTCTACCTCGCCTTAAATAAACCCAAAACCAAGTATTTATTCTTTGCAGAAGTCTACATGTTTTTTTTTTTTAAACTAAAGCGTCTGAAACTCAAAATATTAAATAGACACACACGGCTACTCAAGTGCTTCCTAGCGTTTTTCAATTGATACACTGCTGCATTCATTGGTCACTGCATTGTACAAGGCCTCAGGCTCGAAGATGGATGCCCCAGCAACATTTTTTGATGTGCATTTATCATTGTTGGGTCCTGTACAATGACTGTACGCAGCTGTGTACAAACTAAAGAATGTATGTAAGCACTAGAGAAGAGGCGCGAAAACGCGCATATATTTCATATTTGATGTATTTCGCTTGCTTTTGTTTTTTCTCCGTAAAAAAAAAAAACCCAAGCATTTCTCCGAGGGTGAACATGGTTAAGTGCGAATGCACGGGGTGATGCTATGAGGGGTATTTATTAATTCGCACTATTATATTTATTAATCACGCTATGGTGCCTTTATGGTGTAATGGTTCCTGGGAATCGCAATTTGATCACACGGGGGAGTTTACGTTAACTCACTGGCGAATGCCAACGGATTTTAACTTTACTCCCCTTCATAGCATGCGAGCCCCGGACGAGCAAAGTCCAGGGCTCGCACCCTCTTCCGCGCGGCACGTTCACTGGCTCGAACGGCTTCGGGAACGTCCACTCGCCGTTAACGATTGCGAGCGGCGTCTTGACGCCGGCCTTCATCGCCCTTCTCTGCCTGACGCTTGCGTTGTCGTTCCGTTTCTTGGGCCGCGTTCGCGGCTCGATGCTGACGCCTCATCTCGGCCTCGCGAGCGCGCAGTTCACCATCCGCTGCACGCTTCGCCCGCTTGTCCTCGGCCTCGCGAGTGCGAAGTTCGGCATCCTCTGCACGCTTTGCTCGCTTGTCCTCGGCCTCCCGAGCGCGCAGTTCGGCATCCGCTGCACGCTTCGCGCGCTTGCACTCGGCCTCGCGAGCACGCAGTTCGGCATCGTCCGGGAAACGTCGGGGAAACATTGGGCAACGTCGGGGAAACCACCGCGGTACCGTCACCTCCAACGACGGGTGCAGTGCTGGCATTCGGTTGTACTGCATTTGTTGTTGATGGTAGCGTTGCCTCCGGGACATCCATCGCACGACCCGCTCTCGACGGGAGACTGAGAGAGAAGGCGGGCGCACGAGAGAGAGGGGTGCGCGCGCAGCTGCAGCGAGCGAGGAGAGCGGAGGAGCGAGTGAAGGGGGATATCAGCATCGCGTCCGTGGCTTATTCGGTAGAGCGTCGCGCTGCGGCCCGCCAAGTCCTCTTTCTTTTAAAGATAGAGAGAAGACTGCGGACGCCGCTGACGGCGGTGGATGGTTTGGGGTCGCTTATAAAGTGTATTCACACTTAAAACAAGGGGGCAGATTTCAGCAAAAAAAAATACTGCATTTTGGAGTTATTTGAGGCAAGGTACAACATAAAGTAAACTCTTACCACTTTGAGCAAGAATAAAAGTTGGCTAATTAATGTGACTTAATTAGCCTTTAGCCACTAGAGAAATTCATGCTGAATGTACACTGTACACACGACTACCACTAATGTATGATAGGTAGGACTTTTCTAGAGCAAACTTTTTTTTAATCTTGGTCCCAGTAAGTTGGCACACCCAGTATGTGTGTGTGCTTGTGTGCATACATATACAGAGACAAGCTTACTCATTCACTTATTTACCAATGCACCATTAGTGACTGAAATTATCCGGCCTGATTATCACCCAATATCAGTCCAAGTTTGTCCATGACATGTTACTGCTTCTTATTGTGTTTTTATGTGTTGATGCCTTACACTCCTCATGCCTTGATTCCGTCAGCAGTATGTAATTATAAAATTTGAATACTTTGTTCTGCAAATATAGCTTATGACATTCGTCTCCCTTTTAATTTAGTTGCTTCAAGTGCAACTCATTATTGATTAAGAAAGCTAAGTGAATGCCCACCTTTTCAATATGCATACAACGTTATAAATTTCATTATTTTATTGCGATTTGTGATTGATTGAGGAATCGAAGTAAATGCCTGCCTTTTCAGTATGCGTGCAACTTTATAACGTTGTTGCAGTTGCACATTTGAAAGCATTGCTTGGTGCACTGTTTTCGTGGCTCAGATATTTTTAATGGTACCATTACCATTTCCAGCCGAGCTGTCTACCAGTAACAGCCGGAAACGCGTTTTCATCCCCTACCGGGATTCTGTCTTGACATGGCTCTTGAGAGACAGCCTGGGTGGGAATTCCAAGACGATCATGATTGCCAGTGAGTATCGATATATTCGAATTTGGCTTAATCGTTTAAAGTTAAAAGTGTGCACAGACAAGAAACATTTGTGCCAGTCTCAAACATCAAAAGCTACTCTCGTGTGGCAGTGAAACTATCTTGTATTTTTTCATAAAATCTTTGGCTATTTGCTTAATTTAACATGTGTTCTCTCCTTACAAGTTAAAATGTCATTGGGTGTCGTGGCCAGCTCTGACAAGCATGTAATTATTTAGTCATAGCTGATTCCAGTCACTTTTGGTAGTTGTAGTGCTCGGTGGAAACACAAGCTTCGTTTATACAAAACTGTTCGAAACTTGTTGTTTCATATAAGTAAGCCCAACAATAGTTACAGCAAATATGAGTGAGCGTTCCCTGCAGCGAGAAACATCAAATGCCTATCTAGATGATGGGGGCATTTTTGTCTTGTTGACTATAGGCAGCACATAAAGTGTTGAACTGAACAGCTTGTCTAGTTTTTATATTTATTTTCTATGCTTAACATTTATTATGTCTCTTTCGTCATAACTCCAAAATCTGGCATGTACGTTGCTCTTGCATATAGACAACAAAGGAAGCACATTAATGTATTTATACGTACAATTGCAGGAAATCACATACACGAGCTTTCATTGCATAACTCTTGTAGATTGTGCCGCAGAACGCCTGTGCACTGCGTTTCGTGTCTAGAGTTTTCAGTATGCATTATACGTGGGAAAACATGGTACTCACTGTTAACTCGTGTCACACGCAGCCATCTCTCCTGCGGAATGCAACTACGGAGAGACACTGAGCACCTTGCGCTATGCAAACCGTGCCAAGAACATCATCAACAAGCCGACTATCAACGAGGTCAGTTCACACATAATCTTGATTTGTCATTGTAAATTTTGAGTGCAAATTATATAGTTAGAGCTACTAGGCTAAAAAAAACTCGTTAATTAAGGTCATAGAATGGCATTAACTTTTTCAGGGAGACACAGGACACAAAAGCACCTCTTACAGTCTTTAGGGAAACAATGTTATTAGCTATATGGATGTATCATGATGACCAGTATATTGATTTTTTTTTATTCATACTATGCGGGAACTTTGTATTTCATGTCACCTAATAAATATGAAAGTATCCGATATTTGATCCATTATACAGGGGATATGCTTTCGAACTTTCCTGCTTATTCAGTCAAGAAATTTCACCATGTCCGCACCCCTGCCGACTTTCATGTATAATCCGCACAAGATATACAGAAAATTTGGAGCTTAAAGTCAGGGTGCTTGGCTGTATGCAAATTTTGGTGTGGATATTTGCGTCGTAGCACTGCTGGACAGTAGTACAATAAAGATGGCGTCATGGCTATACGTAGAGAACATTTATTTATTATTATTTTTTCAAGGTTTCAGGATGGGAGTGCGGGTTCCGTGCATGGGCAGGTTATACGTGATAAGTTATAGTCTTTCACATTGTGGAGGGTTTACTTCGGAGTATTACAGTACACAGGATTGTTCTTTATCAACCATGGTTGGAAAATCGCAGTCCCTTAGTGTTCAAAACATCTGCACACAAAGTTATGTGAGTTGCTGTTAAACATGGTTATAATAGGCAGATTCAACATCAAAGTACCTTTATTTATAAGATGTTTATGGTAAGCATGCAAGTATTATGCCCTCATGTCAATGAAAAACTTATAATAGCTTCTTTGTGTGGGACATTGGCATCGGGACTGAGCAATTATTGCAAGGATAAATTTTTATTTTCACTGTAGCACAAACACATTCAGAGACTTCGTCAGCATCAGTCGTCACAGGATTGTTTCTTTATTTACAGGATCCAAATGTCAAGCTCATCAAGGAACTTCGCGAGGAGATTGCCAGGCTACGATCAAGGGTTGGAGGTGATGATGTAGGTATCAAATCCTTTGCCTCAATCGCACTACCAAGACTCGCTGCTTGCATGAACTAACCATTTAAATCGGCTGTCCTTCTTATTTCAGAGTAGTACACAAGTCATGGAGAAGCTTCAAGAGAATGAAGCAAGGGTAAGCTTTCATATTTTATTTAGGGGTGCAGACATGGAGTAAGCACATACCACGTTATGTTCTCCAACTTTTGTCTCAATTTTGTCCTTTAGGTGAAGTTCCTTACAGAGGAATGGACAGAGAAATGGAAGGAGACGCACAAAATTTTGAAGGTAAGCTACAGTTAGTAAGACTGTACTTGTGGAATAGAAACAGGCAAACAAAGTTTTAGACAGCTTTATGCTGTAAAAATAGGCTTGTATGAATGGCAAATTTTAGGTTCGAAGCAAACAGTGATTTGGTGAAATAATTTCGAATCTAATTTAAATCATGTATCTCATGTATTATAATGAAAAATAAGCATATTTGTCATGACCCAACTAACAATATTTAACAATGCATGTGCAAAGGTAATTCTTTTTTGTTCAAAGGAAGTGGAAGCAGCTTTGAATAGGTAGCAGGATTTCACTTTCGGTACAATGCAAATGATAACCTATAAATTTCATTATTTTACAAGTTGCTTTATTTAGAGCATATAAGCTGGTATAATAAGCCTTTCAATGTAAGAAATTATGAATCAATGTGAGATTGATATGCCCGTTAAACCTTGAAGTAGGGCTTTGTGGCAGTGGGGACTTTCTTTGGAAAGGTGTACTTGCGGTTTAGCATCCCTCTACTGCAGTGAAACAACTTCTACAGGAGGGTTACATGTGGATTAATATACAGTTATGTATGCCGAGCGACGATGTACTCATTGAGGGCCGTGCTGGAATGGTGTGGTAGCGTTCCAATGTGGCTTTGGCCCGTTCCTCACACACACTCGCCCAAACATGTACTATTACTATCCTGGCTGGACAGGAACGCAAGTAGTGTCGTCATCATCATTATTTAACATCACTATCGTTTCCGTTTTATTTATTTCCTTATTCATCCCCCCACCTCTAGTCACATGATGTGCATGACTACTGCTTCTACTTCTACAATGATGATAGCACAGCGTAGTCTTAAGACAGCAATGCTATATTAATTGCAGGCAGGCGGGGACTCGTGGCAATTGTGTTTGAAAGTCCATCATTGTTGCCATGAATCTGTTGTTAGGCGTGACGACTATAGTGGTGTCTTGTGAAACTGAATGTAGTACGCTTCTTTCTTAGGAGCAAAAAACCCTGGGCCTGCGGATGTCTGGTCAAGGTGTGGTCCTCGACTCTGAGCGGCCACACCTCATTGGACTGGGGGATGACATTTTGAGCACGGGGGTAGTCCTCTACCACTTGAAGGTGAGGGTGCAACTTGAAAGCGTGTGAACTCTGTAATAAAGTCATAGTCTGGCAAATTCACTGATGAGCCAACTTGCTCAGAATCACTCAGACTCGAATAGAGCCATGAGTCTGGGTCAGTTCGAGTAATATTTTGGCAAGTCGCAGACCAAGGAAACCTCAGTGCAAAACATATTTAGTGAGCAAGTCTGAGGGAGCTCTGCATTTTTTGCCAACCTGTGAACACAGCAGTGCAGTTCAAAGTAATGATGTGGTGCCTTGTGTTTCTACAGGATGGAAAGACCTTCATTGGCACTGAAAATGCGGACACCAAGCAAGATATTGGTGAGAACTCATTATCTAGTTAATTCATATCGTGTTTATTATTTTTTTTTCTTGTGATAATGGCAGCAGTCTAAAGGAATTTTACATTGTTTCTGCTGCCTAGTTCAGACGATGATTCAATATTTTTGCTCTTGGGCTATGTCATACAGTGTCCTCTGAAGTTTCACTTCCGTACGAAGTTCAGGGATGTTGTCCTACAAATCTGAGTTTCAGGTGAATTCTTTGAGGCATAGCTGCCGGCTTCTAAATCAGCAAATTCAGTTTTCATTTTGGCTGGAGCAACATTTATGAAACCCTTTCTGCTTACTTTGTCTCCCAGTTACTGCAAATACTTCATGTTTGAGCTGAATTCAGCCGAAGATCGGGGCCATCAGGGTCTTGCATCTTAATCGCTGTGTCAATCTGGTCATGACGCAGTACTGTCTGGACCTGGAATCCAGGATGAGCATTGCTCCATAGAACTGGTTGATGGCGGTGCCACGCTCTACCCTAACCAGAACTCTGAGTGCTGCATCAACACAATGCCTGTGGACAAGCCAACAAGGCTCACCCAAGGTCTGTAAAAACACATTCTCATAGCTTTGCCTTTCTTTCCCTTCCTTGCACAACTATTTTATGTTGTTTTTTATTTATAATTGATGATGGCAATTATTGGAGTTTTTCTGAGACAATTATGGCTTTAGGGTTTCAAGTCAGAGTGATGAAAATAAAGGATTATTTGTGTACTGGATGGAGATAAGACTAGCGTAAATTACTATTGCATAATAAAGTTTATTTCATTGTGGTGTATATAATAAGGGCTGTGTGAAGTGCTGTGTGAAAATGAAAGCAATGTATTGATGGCAGTGACAGAATAGCACGCCCTGGCCTTTTTCGAGTGATAGCAGGTGTGAGCAGTTGAAGCTGAAGTTGAAGTTTATTGTGACATCATGAAAATACAAGTTACATGGTTCATAAGTATTACAGAAGGAGGTCCCGAAGTAAACACTGTCAGGGGGGGACCTCCTAGCCATAATGTGTTGATTGAAATACAGGGCAGGCAAATGTCGAGCAAAACAAAAGCATATTCGAAACACGGAAAGCAAAAAAAAAATACAAGAAAAAACAAAGATAATTCAAAAGCATGAAGTGCAACAATAGTACAGAAACCTATACATTAGTACACTCTGACACAAATCGCCGTGAATTCTAAGTTAACAAGGTGTAAAACAATTGTCAGGAGTGTAGTCCTATAAACCTGATGTTTTTTTCAGGCTGTGTTGTTCTGCTGGGAACAACAAACGTGTTCAGATACAATGACCCTGCTGAGGTGCACAAGCTTAGAAAAGAGAAGGAAAGGAGGGTAAGTCATGTGACCTGCACAATCCAGCATTATCTTGTTGCTGTAGCAGTAATGGGAATTTTCGTTTCATCAGCTTTTTTTTTTCTGTAGCTTTTCCTTATGCCTCACAATCTATTGTTTTTTGCAACAATAGCAGCATCTCTTTTGCAACCTACTTGGAGCCTTTCTCTACCTATGTAATGTTAAACACTGCCTGACAATTTGTAGCTGATTTAGCATGCCATAGTTATAAGGAGCATGCACCTAATCATATTTGACGGTTATAGAAACTAGTGTGGTGTGATCTAAGATTTTGGTGACTTGCTTTGGATCGCATTACAGTTGACTCTCAGTAAATGGATAGCTCTTGAATGGAACAACTGCTTCTGTCGGGATTTGTTTTGTACTTGAATTCTGCACCCCTGTTTGTTCAGTAAATGGAGGTCCTTTTAAACTGAACACATTTTTCTGGTCATTTAGGTGCCGTTTAAAGAGAGTATACTGTAAATTTGAATTCAGCTGTTTTTACAGGGATCATTCCCTGTGATTATGCAAAAGGAGAAGAAAGAAAGGGGAGGAGATTAGTTATGGAAATGGTTCTTCCTTATGGAAACGTGTTTTGGAAATTGGTTTCCACACAGCCATTTAAATTCGTGAACTATGTCGCACATGGCATAACTTTGAGCCCATTCTCTGCTATCACATTGCCTGCATGCTAGTTCAAGTGAAAGGCCTGTAGTTTGCCCACGGCCTAACTTTGAGTTCATCCTCTGTTATCGCATTGCTTGCGTGCTAGTCCAGGTAAAAGGTCTGTGGTTTTTAACAAGTCATGTACCATATAAAGCAGCGATGAATTGCTACTGCCTGCTCGTTTGAGTTATCGCTCTCAATTTGGAAGTGTTGCTGTGCCCTGCCAGGTCATACCTGCTTTGACGTAGTCTAGAGAGTGGGAACACTGTGAGTATCTGAGTAATATGCATCACTTTTTTTCCAGTCACTCATGAACCTGTCCCACTTGTCCTTTCTGAGCCGATCGGCAGGTGACATGTCAAAGTCCACGGAGAGCATCTGTGGAAATGGGTGCGTTACCATACTGCTTTGTACTTGTAATTATTTGTGAGGGTTCTTTCAACATTTCCAATGAAAGGCTTGTATTGTGTGTGCTCTAAAAGCACGTACTTGTCTGTTTTCTTTTTTTTTAATGCACCTTATTGCACCTTATTTTTGCACCTTATTGCACCTTATTATTGTACCTTATGCACCTTATTTTTTGTTTTGAATGCACCTTTGCAATAAAATTCTGCAGCTGTCGTTTTCGTGCATCTGCGGCAAATATTTTGGTGTATTTTTGCACTCATGCTAGCCCCTCTGACAGTTCGCAAATGTGCAATGTGCTGAAAAGTGATTTGATTCACCATTTCCTCACTACTACATTCCCTACAGTGATTGTCATTTAAGTTAGTGATAAAAGTGTCAGGTACAGCAGCTCATATGGGGGCTTTTGTGGGGAAAAGAATCAGCATTAGCCCTGAAAAGTGCTCGCCCAAAAAATTGTTCTGGAGCAGTACTATTAAGCGCTCATTTTGAGGCACTCAATCACTTTTGTGGGATGGCGGCACTGTAGATGCGTCGAACTATGCATGACAGTTTTTCTGTTGAAGTGCAAAGGCTGGACCAGCAATGCTGCCAGCCTTTTGTGACATTGTATTCACCGCCAAGTTGCACAAAAAGTCATGTCTGTGCCCTGAATGTGTTCGCACGAAATTACTGCTTCCCCGAACTCTCCAGTTATTCTGTTGTCTAGTGTTTCTCTCCAAGCACTGTTGCTGTATATCTCGTTACAATATAGAGCGTAGAAGTGTTGGTATGTTCTAAAATCGGACTAAGTATGCTCGATTATTTATTCTTCTGCATAGGTTTGAGGCTCATGAAGATGGAAGTGAAAATATTATGGATTTGAGGTGAGCTTGAATTTTGGTTGGTTGGTAGCAACTTTATTGGCAGTCCAGCAGAGCTTTCGCCAATCGGGCCTTAGGTCTCCCACGTGGGGACGTCAAGGCCTTGCCTGTTCGCCGCCTCGCGGGCCTGCTGGACGGCCCATAGTTGGCCGCCGAGGCTCGGGCTGTGCAATGCAGCGGCCCACCTCGGCGAAAGAAAGCGTTGCCAATTTAGCACCTTGCTTTTTGCCAAAAAAAAAAAATTTTTACCTATTGTGCAGAGCTCTAGAAGTATTCATCGTGTGTTTGTGCTAAGCAACAAATAAAATATGTCAGATGGGGAATGGCAGCAATGAGCAAAAGACACGCTGAGTGGAATACGACAGATGAGTGGAATAGTTGGGGCAAAAATATATCAGTTACTTGACTGGTTTTAGGAAAAGTATGAAAAAGCATCTTTTGTAGCAGTGTAGTGGCTAAGGTGCTTGGCTGCTAACCCTGAAGACGTGGTTTCAATTTCTGGCCACAGCGTCCACACTTTGACGCAGGTGAAATACAAAGGCACCCATGTATTTATTTATTATATAGGTTAGCAATACAACTGGATAGTGGCCTGTCAGATAAAAATGTAAGTAAATGAATAGTATCACTGAGTAAAGGATACCGTATTTGCACGATTTTAAGTTGGTTCGAATTTAGGTCGACTCTCCTAAATTCGCTCGAAAAAAAGAAACACAACAAACACATGCACATTTCATGCAAAAATTTGATACGATGTCAAAATAAATAAATAAATATTCGAATTTTGGTGTGTGAAGGTGGCTTCACGGCAGTGCTTAAAATTTGTGCAGAAGAGCTAGCTTTGCAAGAGTACGCTGGGAATGTATTTAGAAAGACTTTAAAAATGTAACCAGTTTTCAATTCTGGGTCGGCCCCCAACTTCAGATTTCAAGTTAAGACACAATGGTTCGAACTGCAATCATGTGAATGCGATAATGTGTAAGCAAAGTGACAATTGCACAAAAATAAAATTGGTATGTACATGAAATGACAAGAATATGCACACAGTTCATTAGGAGAAAAAACTTCCGCTCATCTTGCAAAAAATAAGAAGAAGAAAACCTTTAAATGAGATAGTTTGAGCCAGAGGATAGATCGCCACAGTTTAATAAGTTCACTAGAAAGATGGGATATAAGCTAAAAGTTGTGCGAAAGTTCTTGCATTGGGTACAAGTGACATTTCTTTGTGTTGAATCTGGTGTACTTTGTGAGGTTTCATATACTTTTTTATAGTAATCCTGTTAGAAGGACCTGGAGAGTTATTCTTGGTGTGGCCACCTTGTGGACATCTCCATTTTGGCAGAGCACAATCAGTTACTCAAGAAAGTCGCTGAATAGTCACATCATGGCACTCTTTGACTGCATTGATGCACCGAGCCCGCCAGTACTACCTCGGCGTAAAGAGACAGTGGACGAAATGTACAGTAGTGGGAGATTGAAACAAACTTGACAATTATGAACTTGCAAATGAGCATGGGTGAACGATGCGGAGTATCTGTGTCGACCTTCCAGATGCGTTAGGTGGGCGGCGATATTAAGCGATTCGAGGGCTAATGGGATCAAGTTTATGCGTGACCTCTGAGAAGTGTGTCCGAAAGCGCATCTCTTGGGTCCTGCACTCGTTATGGTGAAGAGCATTCGGTCTTTCTCATTTGTGTCAAGAGTTGTGAAAGCGTTGCGATGTTAAAATTACAGTTGTGAGAAAGGAACCAAAAGATAGGTGCACTGCTTGCTGAGCTCCTGCAAATCAGCGGTAGCCAAAGTGGACACATCGAAAATGGCTCGCCTGCTCTGCTCCTTGCTCTGTTATGAGTTCATTGCAGTGTCTCTTAACTCTTCTCATCTGGTGCCTTGCACACTTGACAACAGCATGCGCAAGCTGCTGGAAAAGCAGTCTGGCAACCATGACGAGCGCAACAACAATGGCAGCACTGTGGCTCCGTTGAGCAAGGAGCAGGAGGCCGTGGAGGCGCAGCTGTCTCAGAAGCGCGAGGAGCTCAGGCAACTGCAGGAAAAGACCGAGGAGCTCAAGAGGATGGCCGACTGAGGTAACGAGCACCCCGTTTCACAGCCCTTCCACATGGCCACCTAAGATGGCTATTTGAGGGGCAATCCAGATTAGGCTCAATCGTAATCAGGTACTGTTACGTAGGCATGTTCGATAACAACTAGGCCTAATGGGTATCAAGACTATAAGGATTTTTCTGACCTTTTGCCAAGCTTATTATGGATTAGTATGGACCATGTAGCAGTGGTCATCATTGATACAAACGAGAAATCCTCTCTGGATCTTCTCTGCTTGCAATCAAAAGTGCCCATAGTACACTATTATTATAACTGTGAACCTCTGCTCTAGTTGGTGCTACGTTCTTATGTAGATGAACACTGAAGTGCCATGAAGAAAAAGATTTGGCTAGAAAAGGAAACAAGTAATGATACTCAGTGGCTTTCTTACCTAAGGTCACTGGTATACAGTTCAATCTGAACTGGATAGAGTTTGTTACATACATCAAGCTAATTGCAGTCAGGTAGCCAGATCACAATAGTTTTGATCCCGATAAGGCCTTATGAAAAGTGCTTTTATGACACTGGTATAGGTCCCTTCTTTACATTGCACTTTAGCACTCACCTTTCAAAGAATGGTTACCCATTATGGATAGACACCTTGTATTGACTACAAACAAAAATGTATATTTATTCACCAAGCTTACTGGTATAAAAAAAAAGTCCATAAGTGCTTAATGCTTCATAAACAACTTTGACCATGAAGGAACTTGACTTCCTTAGTCTGATGACTGAGAGCTACATATAGGGAAGAATGACAGGGCACATTTGAAACGATCAAAATGTTGTCTGTGTTTCCATGTGACTTGCAGGTGTAATTTTCTTGTAGCCAGGTAAGATTAAAGTTGTCCTGTTCTTTTGGACTACTTATATGTGGTTACAAGAATCAAGTGCCGATTATTACATGCAGTGTGCAGTGGCTTACAAAGGGTGAAAATCAACTTAACTTGTTCCCTGAATCACAACACTCACGACTATCAATGGATGATTGCTGATCTCTTGCTTATGCTGCTGGCAGCTGACAATGTATTTTGATAGCTTTCATTAGATTTATCACGCTATTTTGTACACGTGTTCTTGAGTTGGGATCTCTTTTAATGCACCCCTTGAAAAATGACTATAGCGGGTCATACTTTTTTTTTTTTTTTTGCGAGAACATACGTGGCATGATTTTCAAGGTCTCACACGCTGTCTTTGGCAAACTTCAACTGCTTTTTCTTCTCGCTTTCAGGCCCACAGAAAAGCGGAGGAAGAGCAGACGAAGCTTGAGAAAGTCACAGAGGAGTTGCGAAGGCATCTGGAGAAGCAAGCTAGCGAAGAGCAGGTAGGACTCATCAAGCGAAGCTCGTTACGATTCACAGACTTTGGCGGTGGCACATGGGAAAAACGTAGTGCTGGTGTGTGTACGGTAGTACAGCCTTCAATGGTGCACCGGTTACGTGAGAATTTCTGTGCGCTGTTTTCCCTTAATTGATGCTCTCTATTGTGAGCTTGTAGGCTATCAGTCCATTTACAATATGTCAATGTGATCTTTTATCGAGGTCGCTTGTCATTTCATGTGGCCACAGTTCATTGCTGCCTGGATAACTAACATAATTAACACATGGTCGTTCTTGTTGCCCGTGACAACTGCAGTGTTACACTGCTAAACATATAGATAGAGGTACCATTCCCCGGACAAAGAAAGAAAAAGTTAGAAGAGAGCATTGTATAATGTGATAGAAAAAAAGAACAAAACAGAAGTATTACACCTAAACTTAGATATAATTAACTCAGATATAGATAAATATCGGTTATAACAAAGTAAATGAAAAATACTTGCAATATATACAGTGTTAGGAACAAACCTTTATAACCAATTTTTTAATATAACGAACTTAATTTCATGTCAGATGCAATTTCGGTAATATGAGGTGTTGTTTCAAGCACACACACACCAAGCTTTGCTTGCCTCCATTTTTTTCTGTAGGGGAAGGGTTTCAGACTTCTTAATTGCCATATTAGAAATGATAAGAGCATTCACTCACATACATAACATTTAACTTCAATTACAATACTATTTGATCATGACTAAAATATGGGGCCAAACAGACTTGTGTATATGCTTAATAAGATGGGCATTTCTGTGGTAAGCTCCATTCTAAATTGTTTAGTGAACATTTGCTAAAACATTGAACAAGTGTTAATGGAGATATCTTTCTTGTATTGACCTGGTTACTGGTAAAAGTACAGTCGACTTTCCATTTATCGGACGGCCCGAAATTCGGACATGCCCGATTTCCCGACTCATCTGTGGCACTGTCAATTTCCCCTAGAGTCAATGTTAAAAAGTCCGAAATTCCAGACGCTCGTAGTTTCACCATTTGATTTTCCAGACTTTGTACCGCTAAACGCAGATTCAAAGTCCCTGTTGATGCCGCCATTTTGGTTGTTTTCGTGCTCACCACGCTGCGGCTGCCGTACCCTCAAAACTGCAAATGCTACATCCAGCGCACGCGAATCTGTTGCCATCCGTAGCTTAGTCAAATCTGCGGCCATAGCCGCATGGTGCTATGCGACCTGTGCTCAGGCAGTTGGCAAAGCTACACTGTTGACCTAAGGTCTGCCTTCGGGGTGCTTGCAGGCACGAGGAAAGTGGTCACGCAACAAATCCCCCGGAACTTTTTTCGCTACGCGAGCTTCATCCTTTACGCAGATACAGCCATCTCACCGGGAGTTGGTAGCGTGTGCGACAAACTTTCACCCGCAGTCGTTGCCTTCAATATTCTGCACGCTGCCAGTGTTTCGATTCGAGCCGGGATAACCTTCGAGGGCTTTGCTGACACTGATAAAGACCTCGAGCTGTGTGCAGAATTGATAGATAACTAAATCATTCGTCACGTTATTGAGTATTCCGACGTCTCCGACACCAAGGCCGAAAAGGCAGCGCCTACGCAGCCAACGCGCTCGGAATTGACGCAAGCACTGACACTGTCATCGGTGTACAGCGACAGCATGACATTAGCTGAAATTGAGGCAGACATCATCGTGAGCAAGTAGAACAGAACACCATGCTAACGAAAATAAGTGCTCTTCTTTTTTTTTTTTTATGCCTAAGTGTTTACAAATGTGGCAACGCTGGCTACATCAGATTTTTTTTCCATTCTTTCTTTTGTTGCCGCGACCCTCTTCATCAGCAAGAATGCCTATTAAAAGAGTGTGTTTTCGCTTGCATTCGTTTTTCCGGACGTTTTCGCGGTCCCTTGAGGGTCTAGGAAATTCAATAAGTTTTTGTAATACAATAAACTGTACTTCAATAAATTTTTAGTTCTTGGTTTTTGCACGAGGTATCTATAAAAAATGTGCTAGTATTCACATCTCCAAAGTATAAGATGAATGAGTGTGTGTTATTATGTGATTGCATTTCTCTGCTGTCTAAAAATGTTTGTAACCTTTCTTTTATGTGGCCTACATGTATGAGACTTACTACAACAAGCATTCAGGTTTTCACAAAAAGAAGTGATGCAAAATTACTAGCTATAAGCAAATCTTCAAGAACAGCCATAATTTTTGTGCTCAGCCTGCGACAAACACTACTGCTTGCTTTTAATTTTCAACTTGACTTCACTGCAGTGCAGAGTGCACTGACATGAAGCTACATCGCAGAGTTAAAATGCTTGAATGAGACCCGCCCTCATGCTGCGGAATACTCTAAAATTGCTTTTAATATGTCTTCCTACCTTGTCACTCACTCTTATGGCAGGGCTCAGCTCAGAGGATTGTACAACTCCAACAAGAGCTCCGCTACCTGACAGCAAAAGAAAAAGAAGTCCGGGAAAATTTTGAGCAGCTCAAAAACAGGCTTCAGCAGGTATGTCTGCGAGCACCACTTATAGCTTTTCTACCAGCATTGTCAATACGATCTATCTTGCATAAGATCAACATGGTACCATCACCGCCTGCACAGGTTATATGAGAAGACGTAGCTCACTCGATGTATTCTTCAAGTCTTGGTGCAATCTAAAGGACCATCCTAATTTTGGCACTTAAGGTGCGTCACGAGTCATGTCTTGAGCCACTAAACACACTTGAAATATAGAGTATTTCTTGTTAGCGGGCTATTTCACCATGGAAAATATCAAAACTGACATTGGATTAACTTCTCTTTGTTATAACTGATCTATTGTTAACACCGGTTTTATCAGGTTCAAATGTGTCAAGAAAGTCACCCTAGGTCACGCCTTGTGTGTGACGTCGACTTTATTTTAAGGGGGACGAGGGTCTTGAAAAAAACTTTTTTATTTCTTATCCTACTCATGAAAATTATCATGCATGCGTACCATTGAATGTATATTTCAAATCTGCAAGCAGATTTCATATCTCACTTAAAAAAAAAAGTTATGACAAATTTCCACATAATTAGGTAATTTTTTACGGGTCATTATGGTAAATCGCAATAAAAAAATTAGTTTTCAAAACTACATGTTTTCTCTAAACATTCATACCACAGGCTTAAGCAAACTAGACCTAAAAACGGCAATTTTTTTATCAGATATAATTCTTAAACCATATAATCAAAATTCTATCAAGGCTGAGAGGAAAAGAAGAGCCTTAGCCTGTAGTTCAAGTGCTGTGAAAAAGAATGGTACCAAGTTTGTTTAGATATCTTCACAGAAACTTGCTCAAGACTTTCGTAAGGCAGATTCAGTTCAGAAAAATAACAGTGCCTAGAAAATTGCGCTTCTTGTTTTAAAAACATTTGTAATTTTATATATTAAGCTCTTAACAAAAATAAATTGTATTTCGCCATAATATAAAATTTTTCCAAAACATACTTGCTACTATAAGCACTTCAAATTGCAATTTTTAAAGTCAGCATTTTTTACAATTTTGTGCTATTTTAAGTCCCTCGTCTCCCCTTAAATGTGAAAAAAAAAGAAAGACATCGTTGTACAAACTTAATTGGCAGTAATTCTTTCAAATATTGTCTAAAAGTTGTTTGGTAGTGTAGTGACTGTAAACCTAATAATTGTTAATTACTAATTCATAAAAATGAAGTATTTTTCTCATGTTTAGTAAGTTGATGAAATGAAAGCTAATTTCATCTCAAAAAGCTTTACGTGTGTGTGTGTGTTTGTGCATGCACTGCACGTGTGTGTGTTTGTGTGTTCCACATGTTCGCTGCGACACCCGATATGCTGGTCATGCGAGCGTAGCTGTTCTGGCTCGTGTTTGTTTTCTTTGTCACCGAATTGTTTTGACTATCTGTGGATGCCCGAGGCAAAGGGTTTTCTCTCTCTCTCTCAGTCCTTTACGTTCTTTGTTCTTTGACCGTCCAGGAGCGAGTGTACGTGCTGAGCAAACTCGAGACTGAGCAGTCGCGCCTCTACGATGAAATCAAGAGCCTCGAGATGAAGGAGCAAGACTTGAAGGACGCCATCGTCAAGCAGCAGCAGGAGCTGGCTCGCATGGACGAAGAGGTCAGCCAGAAGAAAGAGGAATACTCATCTCAGGTGAGTGGCCATTTTAAGATTCTATATTACTCTGTTATTTTTTTATTCTTAAAACTTGACCATTTTTTCTGAAACCTGAAATGTTTAGTATTTCAAAAAAGGCAGGAAGTTCAAGGAAAGATTGAAGCTTGAAGCAACACGAAATTCTTCGACGTTAAGCGTTGCCGAAGCCAATGTTTAGACAAGTCGTCTCGTCTTCCTCGGTGCTGCAGCTGAAGAAGGTTTCAAGGTTGCACTCTTGAAGAAGACAAGTCTGCTTCTCAAAACAATGGCTACAGTGGCACCGCATGTTTAGCATCTATCATCATATTTATATATTTTTTGCATGCCGATTAATTTCTAATATGCAATTTTTTCTTGTAGAATGTATAGCTTTTTAAATACTAAACATGTAATGCATTTTGCTGGCAGCAAGGTTTTTCCTAAACTGAAAGAGCTACATAGATTTGCATATTACAGTAATCTGTGATGAGAACTGTATGCAGAAAAAAACAACTAAAAAGCTAATGCATGTTTTGAACACATTTACACAAGTGTTACTGTATGCTAAGCTTGTCACGCTGGGATTTTGCTCATGAATGTTCAACATATCATAACTTTTGTTAAAATTGCTTGAGAGAACATTCATTTAGGTTTTATCGAGCACAGTATTCATTTTAAATTATTGTGATATGTTTGTTTGCTTTGTAGCTCTCTCTCTGCTTAGGAAAAAATCTTTCTCCCAACAGGGGACATGAAATGTTCGGTATTTCATTATGTACATGTTGTGCTAGAAAAATAACCTCATATTGAAATCTGCACACAAATATGCATAAACTCTGCAAGTTATGCTAAAATGAAAAAAAAATGTAAAAAAAGGCTTTTGCAGCACGATGTCATATTTTTATAGAGTAGTCATCTGATACCTTTCTTTCTTTTTTTTTCTGTGTCACATGGAAGTCCTACACCCTAATATCCTAGAAAGAGGGCTGTAAAAACTCCCTTCCTCCTCCCCAAATAAAATCCGGGCTATTTCCACGATGGGGGAACACTGGTACATTGCAAAAACTTAATGACGGGCCTGTAGACGCTAACATGCTGTTATGGCTGCCATGTCATGCAGACGAATCTCCTGCAAGAGGAGATACGTCTTCTGAGAGACGAACTGGAACTCTCGACGACCCAAGCATCGGAGAACTGGCGATCCCTCCTGTCACTGATCTCTGGAGCTCGTGACGACCTTCCGCTTCCCAAGAACACGGGCGACCTGGAGAACATTGTCGAGAGCATCCGGCAGCAACTCGCCGACAAAAAGCACGCACAGCTGGCCGAGATCCATGAAGAGCGTCAGAGTATCGCGGGCCAAATCGAAGCTCTCGCGGAGAAGCAGAAGTTGCTGCAGAGCTTTGAAATGTCGCCCGAGGAAGACGGTTCGGGCGACGGCCAAGGTCATGAGGCAGAAGGTCACGGTGAGAGATCGTCGGGCAAGGCGACTTCCAACGAAAAGGGCGACAAGCTGTCGTCTGATGAGTCCGACGGTGAAGAAGTGAGCACGCTCGTCAAGGGGAGGCTCGCTTTCGTAGGGTGAAGAGGTGCGCAAACTTCAGGAAGAAGAAAAGGCACTGGGCAGGAAGGAAGAGGATGTGGAAGTCGGCTGGCGACACAACCTAGACACGCTGGACTCGCTGCTTCCGCTTCTCGAGTCCATGGTCGAGGACCTGGACAAGTTGGAAGGTAAGACTGCAAGACTTGAATGCGAAGGGTATAAACACAGTTTTTTTTTAATTATCAGGGTACCCAGCACCTTACAGAGAGCATGGGCTATTGTAAGGAATATGTCAGTCTGATACCATAATTTTGGGTGCATAGGGTGCACTTTTTTTTGGATATTTTTGCTGGTGTGTCTTATGGAAAATATAAGTGAAAAAGTCGTTCTGGCAGAGTTAATGCCTTCAGGCTGTATGCGAGAGATTATTGGTCAGCTGCCAGCTCGTAATGAGATCAAAAGCTGCATGATGTCAACAGGCAAAAAATTAGTGTCCCACACTCTTCACAACGGCAACAGGCTGCACCGACTGATGCTCCCTTGTTTACATACACATACATATCCCATAAAATGGACAAGGGGATAAACCCCTTGGTAGCTCAGTTGGTAGAGCATCAGAGGCGTTATTCGAAGGTCGCAGGTTTGGTCCCTGCCCACAGCAAGTTATTCTATCATCCACTTTTCGTTCTTTGCAGTTGCATAACAATTACTTCTAATAACATCCTCTATACCTGCCCCACTGCGGTGGTTTGTACTCGGGACAACTTTCTGTGGCAATGAAGGGAAAACTACGGGGGTGGAGCTACCGCTCCTGTACACCTCCCGTTCGACTTGCATTTAGAATGACGGCCGTGTTCAGGCAATCCCACTGCACACAATTTTATACGTCTGCTTGCACAGCTGTTTGTGAGTGAAATTTGACACAGGCTCCTTCGGCGAGTCGTCTGAATAGCTGTAGGGCGACGCGTGCTTACCTGAAGACGTAGGCACCATTTTGACTGTGAGGTGCACGTAAAATGTGCGATGTTTTGAGACGTGCAAGAACGCGAAGCGACTCTTCAGAAAGCAACAGATATTATCTGCTCGGCGCATGCAGCGTCTCTTTATAAACAGCATCCAGTAGAAAATAATGTTTTTTATTATTTTCACGCGGAAAACAAGGGTGCATTTGTGGCACTATATTCTACAGCAATGGTACACACCCCTTCTGGTTCCGTAGCCTTCCCTTCGTTGCCACAGAAAGTTGTCCTCGAGTATAGTGACTACGGTACTCAGCTGCTCATACACTGATCGCAGGATCGAATCTCAGCTGTGGCAGCTGCATTTGCGATGAAGGTGAAAATGCTTATGGAGCTCTCCAGTACGGCATCTCTCATAATCATATGGTGGTTTTGGAACATTAAACCTCACATATCATCATAACATCCCCTATACCATTCTTGGCATAATTGTCTGGCAGTTCTCATTAATAATGTGTCTAACAAGTAAAAGAGGTCTTGAGTTTGCCTTTCTTTTTTTTATACAAAAATACATCTTATAAATGCAGAAAACCATACAGTTTTGAGAGACCAGTATGCCGACATTTCAGTTCATGAGAACAGTAAACTGAGCGCAATAGTATTGATTAAAAAAAAATATCTAATCCTGTCATAACAATGAAGCGGTTGTGGTCTTGGTTGTCAGCTACTTCTCACGCCACTATTGTACTGTTCGACTTTTTGCTTTCAAACAAATCATTGAGCCCATGGAACTGAAGCAATAAATAAAAAAGGGTGCTGCAACCTCTCATTGCAACGTTGCAGTGCCCGTACCAGTTAACCAGTTGCAAAAACGAAAGTACCACTTTTACATGTTCAGAACCATGCAACACAGTTAGTGGGCCAAAACAAAAATGGCAGGATTCATCACTTGCATCAGCATGGCTGACCCTCGTTCTGTGTTTACCAAAATACCAAGAAATTCATGATGAACTGAATGTCTGCAACATTCTTTACTGAAATGTCTAGCATGCCTTCTCTTAAACTTGTCTCGCTTAACTGAAAGATTAAGCCTCAGTAATGGTCTGGTCATTATGGTGCTCGATCGCAGACGCAAAAGATGCGAGTTTGAACTCAACACGGCAGCCACATTTTGATGCTAATGAAATGCCTGAGGCCTGTGTGTTTTAGATTTAGGCGCTCAATAAAGAATCCCAATGGCCAAAATCTTCCCAGCCCTCCTTTATGGATTCCCTTGCAATCATATTATGGTTTTGTGGTGTAAAATCACGCAAGTAGTTACTATAAATTGAGTGCTTGTAAACAGTAATGTTTGCTTGATGCGTAAAAATCACATCATGCTTTCATGCAGCAAAATCCTTCGAAATATTATTAACTGAGTGCTAATAGTAAATTATAATGTTTGCTTGATGCCTCAATGTATTTTTTTATTTTGTTTTAGGGTGTATATCAGAAAAGGAACAAGATGTTGCTGACATCGAAAGTTCAGTGAACCAGTGCGACAGCAAGCTGAAGGGCGTTGCTACCGAGAAGGAAAACCTGGAACAGCAGCTTCAAAAGGTTATTACTTACTGGCTCTTTCATGCATTCAAGGGAGGTAATGGCCATGCAATGAATGCTGTTTGCAACATTCCTGCGCACAATTGTCGAGGGATTTAGAAAATGAATGCATGAACAGCTGAAGGCACAACATCAAGAAACAGAGAATCGTATGGGCTTTGCAGAAAAATCAGGAAGTCATGATGCAAGAGTCTAAAAATATTCACTATGATACACATTGCAATCTACAAGGAGATCAAGGAAATGTATAAGAGTCTGAAAGAGAATAAGAAATCACCACATGAACATTGTCAATTACCATAAATACTCGCGTGATGAGCGCACTTTCTTTATCAAGAAACCGGAGCAAAGTTGGAGGTGCATTTATTATGGGAGGCAAATTTATTAAAGGTTTTTTGGGGTGAGCGAGAAATGCAGTAATGCAAAAAAAAAAAGTTAGGTCACTTAGCCCTTCGCATTTGACATGTGCGTGCACTTTTTGTAAACAGCTTCTTTGTTGCGCTTCACTTATCTTCGGTGGTTGAAGGTGCTGTCTTTTGCAAGCTGTCCCTCCATAAAAGCATTTCGCGGCTTTCTTTTCTCACAATCGTTCAACTGCAATGCTGGTGTCTGCTGTGATCTCGAGGGGCGCCCAGAAGCATGCGCTACGACACACTTTGCCAGCTTCGTGGCAACCTCGCACGACGACCGCGACACCGTCGTTGACATAGCACCAAGCTATCACCGAAGCATCAAAACAAACTGTCGATAACAAGATTAACGACAAAATACAACTGCCAGTTTCGTTGTTCACACGAGAAGTTGCTGTAGAAAAGATAGCCTACATCTTGCATTCTCTCGAATACGGATAACAATCATGATGAACAAATTGCAACCGAAGCAAGAATCGGGAGTGCTGTCCATGTTTCGAAAATCTTCACAATCTTTTCTGGGCGACAAGCGATTTTTTCGGGTTTTCCAGAAACCTGCGATGGAACAGCGATGAATGGCCCTTCATGACAGCCTTGGCGAGAGCAAACCGTGTTGTTGTCTCTCTGAAAATCACGGGCGAGTTGGCTGGGCTCTATTTGCAGGGAGCGACCGCTGGTTGGCGCAGGCAGTTTCGTGACCTTCGCTCACTGTGCGCTTGTCAGCTGCGATGTCTCTACATTTGCACCGTTCGTGAACCCCGCTGTGGGGCATGGATAATAAAAAAATACAGGATATGTGCCGCGTGCAGATATAAAGAACAACAATACGGCGTGCGGCAGTGGGCAAAGGGGGGGGGGGGGAGCGAGCCAAGGTGGCTGAAGGGGGTCGGCATGGAAAGAGATCCAACGGATAACAAGGCGCCGGGTGTTGGTTAGCGGGACTGCACCAGATGAATTTAGGGGGTGGATTTATTACGTGGGAGGAAAAAAATTCACATTTTGACAACTGAAGTTGTGGGTGCATTTATTATGCGAGTGTGTTCATTACGCATGTAATACGGTAATAAAATCATCATAAATCAAAGTATCCAAAGTTAAAGGGACACCAAAGAGAAACAATGACTTTGTTTGGATTGACAAACTGCACTCTGATAACTCAAATGCTGTATGTTCCACTATCATAAGTTCATTGTTAGCGGAGAAAACTGCAGTTGAAGTTTTATTTTTAATTTCACGCCACACACTCCTCGCATGACGTGGGAAAATTCAAAATGTATTTTCGGTATTTTTGTAGTATTGGCTCGATTAAATTTTTTTAAACATCGTATGCTAAGTTTATGGCACCCACAAATTACAATTTATCGATTTGAAGCTACGTAGGACCCAGTGGACGCCTTCAAAATTTCTTAGATCAGAGTGTTAGGTGCAGGAATCTCAAGATGGCATCACCACCCACATTTTCTTTTTGTGCTTTTCTCGCTCACTAAGCGTCATGTTGTGGTAAGAGTGGTGACTTTGGAATTGTTAAATTGTTCTCTATTTATGCGCGAAAAATCGTTTTACTTTTTTGTCCCTTTAATACATACACATGAAAGGTAATACAAATGAGACACGAAGTACAGATGGTGCAAGCATTGGAGGGGTTAATGAAAAACTATGTAGAATTTACCACGTGCAAGCTGGCACATTCAGATGCTCTGCAGGTTTTCATTTTACCATGGATGTGTGTACTCAACCAGCTCGGAACCACATTTGCATTTCGTGATGAAACGATTCGTGTTGTGCTTGATCATTCAACATGGTGGCCAATAGAAGGCATGCTGTATGAATTTGCCATAATAATTAACCCTTTGAAATGCTTTGTACACATTTCTGTGTTTGCTAGTTATGTCAATTTGTCTCAAGAAGCTAGGTACAGTGAGGTTTAGATGAATTTAAGCTTTCGCATTATACATGTGCCTTCATTTAACTTCATTTTACAGTGTACTTTTGCTTAAGATCATTTTTTTTTTAAAGCAATACCATGTTCGATGAGTCGTTTAATGAGCCTCGTTGCTTGAGATTCATCATAATTATAGTTTTACTGTGCTATAAGCGAGCATAACCAACAATAAAGTTGCGCTATATTTTTATCTTGACATTTCATTCAATTTATGCAAAGGCAAGGCTATGGTGACTTTATTATAAGTAGATATTTAATTATAATTTCATTCATAATAAATAGTATAAAATACGTAAATCAATGTATTATGGAATGTTTCAGTTAAAATAGGCTATCGTGGCCCTTGAAGTAATGTGTAAATTTGACCCGCTTACACACAGCCTTCCATAGGTCGGTTCTAAAAAGGTCAAGCATACCCAGTTATTTCATCAATGAAGAACCACTAATGTTTTTTTTATAAATACATTCACACCTAATTCTAACAAAGTCACATCTGCCTCGAAAATACTTCGTTATATCCGAAAATTCTTTATACACGGTTATTCGTAACACTGTATTTATGACAAAGCTATTCTTCGCTTACTTAGTTATAACCAATCATTCGTTGTATCCAAATTCGTTATATCGAGGTTTGAGCATATACAGTTGGTCTCGCTTTCTTGGTCTCCAGTGCAGAGATTAGCATCTAAAGACAAAGCAGGCTTAGAGTCTCGATGACGCGCAGGTGCAAGATCGCAAGGTGGATGCCGACACGGAACAGAAAGAGCTCAAGACTTCCCTGAACAGCCTGGATGACAAGATGACGTTTCTGGCTCAACAGGAGGAAGACATATTGAGCACGTTGAAGAACAAGCGGCAACGGTCAGTCACCTGGCTTTTAACGTGCTATGTTTTCTATGGCACACGGGGGTAGCCTGTATTTTAATTGATACTGTTGCATTCATTCCCATGGTGATCAAGTCTGACTCTAGACTAAATCCAGAGTAAGACTGGATCTAGTCGGATTCTCAATCCAGTCTGACAATTTTGGCATAACCAGCAAAGACGTGGTTTATACCAAAGCCTGCTGGTAAGCTATGATGGGCTCTCTTCTTTCTCTCACCATTGGGTTATATCATTTTAACCATTACAAAAATAAAATGTACGAGTTATGCAGTCTCTGTCACAGGCCAAATAATGTATAATGCTTTATCTATAAGACTTGTACGAATTCCACAGAGGAAATTGTTAAGCACTTAAAAAATGGGTGTGCTAATAAAAGTTCTCGACAAATTTCCTTTTCCGTGTTTGGTCATTAAAATTAACCATAGTGCTACAGAAAGGAAACGGAAAGCGAAGTGACCACAGTGAGCCTTTTCGATTAATCCCTCGGGCTGCCAGACGGCAGCCAGCGGACAGGCCGAAATGTTCGTTTTTGTCGGGCAGTGCTCGGGCAGCTTCGAAGCTCCATCCAACTGCCGAAACGCTGCCACAAATGCGTTCATTTTTCTCTATTCGGCACAGCCAGCAAGCTTCCCGCCGACTCGCTCTTCTACTGGAACAATTTTGCGCTGGCAGCGAGCAGACGATGCACTTTTGCGTTTTTTGTCGCGTCGTCTCTTCAGAGCAGAAGTTTGGTGCTCGGTTCGATTACCTTTTTCGATTCGCTGCTTTCACGTTTGTTAGACGTGCACTTTTTAGTTGTAGCCTTACTATGTTTAGGATGGTGTCTCCTAATGCCACGATGTATATTTTTTAATATGCAGATCGAAGTGTACCCTTTCTGTAAGAACGAATGCTTTGTGCTGCCCCATAGTAGCCCCTTGTATGTTAAATAAAGTATGACATTTTATTCGTGCGAGTAATTTTCATGTTGTCTATGTTTCATTCTTGCCCTCTCGCAGCAATGAAGCTTGCCTTGGTTACAGCTCTCCTCCAATTCTGTTGGTTGGTGTAGATAAATTTGACTGCCGTCAACGTCTTTGATGTCATTTTGCGCACAGACTTCCATCGCTTGGCGTTAATACAGCACACAAAATGCCCACTTGTTTCGTGCGGTGTTGTTGCTGTCTGGCTTCTTGGTCTTTCTCACACTAATGTAGCTTGAATGCCGAGATAGTTCAGTTTGATCTCCTAGTCTACATACGCTGGCACAAGCCGCTGTGCTGTTCTTGCCTCATTACTCGGGACAACAGGCTGATGGTGTGATGCTCCCCTCCATGTTCTTCAACCACGTCATAAGCGTGCAGCATTGCAATGGTCTCGTCCACCGAAGCCTCTATGTCTACAGGCCAATGATATAGCAGACGACATGGCAAACGCAGCTGCGCTAGCATGACGGTGATGATGATGCTTCGGGGGCTGCCCCAGGTTGCCTGACACTTTCGCTACAATTTCGCTTCACATCACAGTGACGCGTGGATGACTTCATTTCCTGTTCGAAAGGAGTCCTCGGGCTGCCCAAAAAGCGAAAATCTAAGAGGCTCACTGATCGCTGTGTTCTCCTTAAAAATTCATTGATATGCTTTTACACTGTCCTTAATAATGAATCAACACTGATGACCACAGCTTTGGTTTTTGGGTCAAAACTGTTTGATTTCTGTCTTTTAGCTTCCACATTTACAGCTTTGTAATATGGGGGCCAAAGTCAATATCTAAACTCATTTGTCCTAAGCTCTTGGTGTTTGTTACCCACACACAATCTAGTAGAACAAAGGATTGTCCAAACAGTGCTGTGGTGATTAAATGACTTTCCATCAACAGCTCTGCTTGTGCTTAATGAAGCATCTAACTAGCTGTGTTTATAGAGGAGCAATGCAATGTTGCAGAGTTGAGGAGGAGCTTTCCAAGTTCAGCAATGGTAATGAGCCATTGCTCGACGCCCTAAGCAACGCTAGCCAGGTGTCGTCCCCAGTGCACAACGAAAGCTTCCTGTTGCCGTGCTCTGACAACCTTGGACCTCTGACATCATCTCCCTTGTCCAACAAACTGCATCATAGCAGCTGGGTAAGTACAGAGCTTTCCATATACACTTCAGCGGCCACGTGTACAATTGAATTGTACAGATAAGTTTTGGAGGTGCAGCACGCAGTGCGCACATTAGTTCAGGCTTTCTGAGGGGACAACTAGCAGTCATTCAACTTCATTCTGCTGCATATTGCTGCTGAGTATCACTTTGCTGGAGACACTACCTTGTTCGACGAACGTGGTCAATGTGCCATGTTTCAAAACTAACATCAACAGTATTTTTTTTTCTCGAAATAAATACAATCAAAAGGTAATGCATGCATTTTGGACCTAGTATTTGATTATTTCTGTGCAAGAATTGAAGCCAAATAATTGCTGAACAATGAAATTTTTAATTATGTGCTAATTAACAATAACTACTGAAACTTGCACAAAACACCGCATTCCTTCATTTTCTTTCTTGTAATGTAATACTGAGTGCCTTGGATTCATGTCATGTTAGTTTGACCTATTTGCAAGACTGTTCAGCATAATTTGCGCCCAAATGGGATATAATTGTTTACTATCGTGGCTCAAAAAAACGAACTGGCAATTCCATTAGCTGATGCCACGAAAAGCACAATTGAAAGCCTATGCTTCCACGTTTGTTTCTTCTTTAATTCACTTTAAATCTCTTCAGCATTTGGTAATCATCAATTCACATTTGATAACCCTTTATTTAGGATTAATTTACATGTGATTTATATTAATTCACCTTAATTCATCATTAACTTCTTTAGTTCATCTGAATTCACATTTGATTCACCTTTAGTTCATTTTAACGAGCAATTCGCATTTTATTGACATTTAATTCACACTAGTTCACCTTATTCCATATAGTCCACCATAATTCACACGTGATTCACTTTTAATTCACTTTAATTCTCTCCTGGGAAATGTGGGTATGCACCGTGCTTGACTTTTTCACCATTCATTGTGACAACACTGGTCACCGAATTTTGTTAATAATGGGCCATATCAAGCTTTTGCCTTAATCACAAATTCTAGGCAGTGTCAAGAATTGAATGCAAGTATGTCATATCTTTCATATTTATTCAAAACGACCATTTAAATATGCAGTCAAGCCCTAATATGCTATAGTATTTGTCGTATTAAACAGTTATGATAACCCTTGAAAGTGTCACGCTGTAATATAGCACTTGACCATGCGTACAGTATGCAACCTGAAGGGACCAGGAAAATATGTTCCATTTAACAAGAGTTCTGTTACTGAGAGATGAAAAAGGGTAGAGAATTGTCTGTCTTGGTCGAACAGTGGCTATGATGCTCGGCTGCTGAACCAACAGGTTGCGGGTTCGAACCCAGCCATGGCAGTCGCGTTGTGATGGAAGTGAAATGTTGGGGGCCCGTGTACTGTGCAATGTCAGTGCACGCTCAAGGACACCAGATAGTCAACATTTCCGGTGCGAGTGTTACGGTGCGAGTGTAGAGATATAGCAGCTGACAAGCACACTGCGAGCGAAGGTCACGAAACTGGATGCGTTAACCAACGGTCGCTTCTTACAAATACATAACTTTAAGACTCAACCACATGCACACAATTTTCGAGCGACAACGACACGATTTGCTGTCGCCAAGGCTGTCACAGAGGGCCATTTGTCGCCATCGCGCCGCAGGGTTCTGGAACACCAGAAAAAATCGCCTGTCGCCCTGAAAAAAAGCATGATGATTTCCGAAGCGTAGTGCCACCCCCGATTCTCGCTTTGGTTGCAACTTGCTCTTAGTACTTGTTATCCACACGTATTTCAAGCAGTTCAAGATATAGGCTACCTTTTCTACAGCAACTTCTCTGGAGGACAGCTAGGCGGTGGCTGTATTTCGTTGTTGATCTTGTTATTGGTGGTTTGTCTTGATGCTGCGGCAGTAGCTTGAAGCAATGTCAATGGTGTCGTCGCGGGGGTCGTGCGAGGTTGCCACAAAGTTGGCAAGGTGCATCGTAGCGTTAAAGCGCATGCTTCTAGGCGCCCCTCAATATCACAGAAAATGCCACCGTTGCGGTTGACGGGAAGAGAAAGCGTCGCAACGCTTGTATCAGTGCATGGGTTGCGCAAGAACAGCTTGCAGAAAATAGCGTCTTCAACTACTTAAGATGAGTGAAGTGCGAGAAGCTGTTTTCAAACAGTACCGTAGGCATATGTAAATTGCAAAAGGCTAAGTGACCTGACTTCTTTTTTTATGCATTACCACTTTTACTGCTCATCCCGAAAACGTTTTCATAAAATTTGCCCTGCAATATCAACACAGCTCTAACTTTACTCTGATTTTACGTCAAAAAAAGATGAGTTCGTTACGCGAGTAAATATGGTAATAGTGGCAAGTAGTCCAATGAGTTGGTTCTTGAGCAATTTATGTAGCCAAAGGGTTTGCTAAGTCAAACCACACTATAGTCCGTTACAACCTAAGAATAAAAATCAATATACAAATAAAAATACAAGCGCCGTCCCCAAAACTGCGACTCACCGTCGATTCATCTGTGAGGGAGAGTCGTGCTACGTGGTTTCCATTGCAACCATATATATTTTTACGCTTCTAACACAAATAATATGTGGAATAAATGATTAAAAGTTCGACATCTCTACTTGAAACATTACATTTTACAGAGAGTGATGTCGAAATCTTTGTGGAAGTTGCGCTGGAAGCCAACTTTTTTTTTTTTTTTTGACCGAAAATTAGTGGCACCAACATGTGTCTTTATAAAAAACACCATCATTCTATAATGTGTTAACAGTACTTCGCGCCGCAGAAATGAACAAATATGATTTGAGGCATATTTTCTCGTGGTGAGAGAGGTATAGCTGTAGATGGGGCTTACATTTATTCTAAGGTTGTAAGCGACTGTAGAAGTGCTGACTTTGTTTTGTTTTGTTTTTTTTTTTTTTTTCAATTAATTCTAGGATCTGCGAGGTCTTGAAGAAAGGTACCTGGTCATTGAGAAGGAGCTCGAGGAGCGACGGAAAGCATTTGAGTCCGAGCAGGAGGAGGCTGAAAATGACAATGTCTACCTTAAACAGGTCAGGCAGATGGAATACCAGCATCAGGAGAAGTGAGTGAATCAATTCAAATAATTTATTATTCACACGAAGATATTGTGGAAACATCATTTTTTATAAAGGCAGTTCGCTATATCCATGTTATCATCTCTCCCCCCCCCCCCCTTTTTTTTATGACCTTTGGCTCGGCATTGCACATAACGTACACTATTCGTTACCTGATGTTAGGCGTACAGGAACTCTGCGTACCTCTGCGAGACACAGGTATTAAAAAATGCTATTTTTGCAGTTTGATCAACCTGAATGAAATTTAATTTGCTTATTCAGTTTTTCTGCAGATTGCAGATCTTTTTGTAGATTTTAATGACTCCATTAGAACAAAAGTAATGCAATTCCTCAAATGTTTTTTGCGTGTTTCTTGCATGATTTTTCCGGCAACATTGCTTTGTGAAATACAGAAACGAATTATGTTTGGAAAAATTTCTAAAAAGGTCATCTAGCCAAGGATGCTATTTATGTTCTTATAATGTTGTTCACCAAATTATAACTGATTATATTGCATAATACGCAGCAAATTTTTCGCTCGTGGTTGCACCTGCTTATTCCACAATCAAAGTTCGCTGCAAACAATCAAATCGGCATTATTAGCCGGCCGATTCTCTGCTGCTTTTGCCCTCAAATCGTGTTTTTTGTATTGGACAATGCAAAGTTAATTTCTATAATTCTATAAGAAATATGCTAAATATGTCTTTTAGGCATTGGACACTTTTTGTTCTAATACAGCTATAAAAATCTACTTAGTGATTTGGAATCTGTTGAAAAAGTGAATGAGTGTATGAATTGGCATTCTGTTTACTTTATTTACAAAAAAAAGTTTTTAAGCTCCCAGTTTTGATCGATTTAGACTTCCAAATAATTTCCACGACATTTCTCTAAATACAAATTTTTTAAATGTTAAACTTAATTTTATGCTTTGAAGAAAGTATAGTTATGTCACGACACTCTTAAGAAGAGATGCTATTAGAAAAAAAGTTGAGGTAATCTATAACCCAGTAGGATGAAAGTTTCATTGTACTTATAAGCTTTTATGCTGTTTTTGAATACGTAATAAGTTTTATTTTTTGTTTTATACCATGACAATGTGTAAGGTATGTTAACTATAGTTTGTTTTGGATAAACTTTTTATGCAAATAAATGTTTATAGTTCTAAGCCATTAATGGCTGATATTGCTCTTCATGAAGTAAAAATAATGCAAATAACTATTCAAGGGGCCCTGAAACACTTTTCTGAGTTACTATGGAAATAATTCACTGGAAAGGTGTATTACCTCGCAAATTCAACGCCGCAAAAATTTTAAAAATCCGTCCAGTACAAATGGAGTTACAAAGATTTGTCACACGCTGCAATTGCATTCTCTCTTCTGTCGTCCCGGACGCTAAGCAGGCAGGGATGGGAAGGGTCAAACAAAAAAAGTCACTCGTGCCTAGTGACCTTGAGCACTTCTTGCTTCTTTTTTTTTCGAATACGCGGATTTTTCAGTGCGATCGCGCGCGCTGACAAGTGACGGCTTTTTGCGGCGACATCTGTAACAACCGAGCGAGCCATGTTCAAATCAGCCAATGGCTGGTAGATGGGCTTACTGAGCTTATTTTCTGTGATTTGTTGCGAGAAGAGAAAGCTATTTTTAGCTGACTTTGATCATTTATTGTGGATTTCAGGCCACGTGATGCGCGATAATGTTTGGCTCGCGTGTTTTCGGGAGCCTCTACTACCAATCGGCAGCGTTTTCTGACCATGCTCCCAAAGTTTTGCAGGGCCCCTTTAAGAAAGTGGGTATAAGGCATTTTAATAGACAATAAAAATTATAATGTGAGAACTGTTAGAATCCTCGGCCCATACAAATTGCTTGCTTTAGGTTCTTCCATATATTCTTCAAAAGATATATTCTTCAAAAGATATATTTTTCAAGATGATTTCTTCCATATATTTTTCAAGATGATTTTTTCAATCATGAGAGCTTAGCAATCAGGGGTATTCTGAGCATATGGCTTTAGTGAACTGCTCATGCAAAATACAATGGCAAGCAGCCACATGACAATTTTCAGGGGACTCTAGACAATGAGCTCTATTTAGTTTTTAGGGGCCATCTTGGGCTCTTTAAAAGCGATTTTAAGCTACTTAAAGCCCCGTCACGGTGGCCTATTGGCTAAGGTACTCCTGATCCGCAGGTCGCGGGGTCGAATCCCGGCTGAGGCGGCTGCATTTTCGATGGAAGTGAAAATGCTGTAGGCCCATGTGCTCAGATTTGGGTGCACATTAATGAACCCCAGATGGGCGAAATTTCCGGAACCCTCCACTACGGCGTCTCTCATAATCATATGATGGTTTTGGGATGTTAAACCCCACATATAAATCAATTAATCAATTAAACTACTTTAACTTCAATTACAATCTTCAGTTTTGTTTTTTTTTTGTGTGTGTGTGTGATAGTAAAGAAACTGGACTAATGAAAGCAAATTAAAAACGAAAAATGTGTAATTCTTGAAAAAAACTTGTGTTTTTAAACTCGCATCTCCCCTTAAAATTATCGTACAGCAAACAAATCAGTTCACATTTGCTTAAACTCACTGTGTCTCACTGTGTGGTGTCGCTTATAGAGGGATTTTTCCTGTTTCAGACTACGGGATCTCATAAAAGAGAGGGCAGAAGACATGAAGAGGCGCAACTCATACCTCCATCAGCTACCTTGTGATAGGTTTGTTCGAGTCCTCTTATTTTCAGAGGTCGCCGTTTCCTTAGCCCTTCCTACCATCTCCTTCTTACCGGACTGGTTCTTGCACATAACTGTGACAACTTATTGGGCACAGAAAACGCCACCAAAACCCCGGCGCTCTGCGCAATCTTGACCAACCAGTCTGGTAAGAAGGCCTCCTAAAGAGTGTAAAATTAAGCACTGAAGTGAATTTGTTCAATGTGTGAAGAGTAGTATTTAACATACCTTTCACCTGCGGTCAAAGTTACGGCAGACAGACAGGCAAACGCCTCAATGCGCAATTTTCTTGAATGCAGCCAGAAAGTAAAAAAGGGCTCTGACTGTTTTCTGGCGGCTCATTGTGCAGAATGCAAATTCGGGCTAGAATTTGATAAAACAACTGTGTTGTCTGCTTACCCAGCAACAATAGTAGGCCCATCATTGAGGCGGCAGCGATAGAAAATCGAAGCTGCGTCAACAAGCCATGTATTGCCGTAAAAAAAAATATATATATAGATTACTTGAATTCACCAGCACAAAGTTTTTTTACAAGAAATTCTCTGCCGCTTAGTTCTATTTTGTCTTCATCTTTGTGCATTCATGGATATGACTCTGATGTCATGTGACAGGTATATAATATCTAGTGGCTAAGGTACTCGGCTACTGACCCGCAGGTCGCGGGTTCGAATCCCGGCTGCGGCGGCTGCATTTCCGATGGAGGCGGAAATGTTGTAGGCCCGTGTGCTCAGATTTGGGTGCACGTTAAAGAACCCCAGGTGGTCGAAATTTCCGGAGCCCTCCACTACGGCGTCTCTCATAATCATATGGTGGTTTTGGGACGTTGACCCCACATATCAATCAACAGGTATATAATATTGGTGCTTTGCAATAAAATTTTAGTTGGATGTTAGGGCTTGGCCTCGTTGTCCCCTTCATCCACTGTCTACCTTTTTCGCGCTCCAGCTGTAAAAATAAGAAATATGAAAAAAAAAATGGAACACCAACTAGTAGCCCGACCCCACACCTTGCTTCATAGTCTGCGACTGAATTGAAACCTTCAAGCATCAAGTAGTGAATTAGCCCACGTAACAGTTTGCTGCTACTGCAGTTGAGGAATTTGTAAGCTTCTTGAACAGTTGTGCAATGCTTGACAGCTGTTTAATCACTCCGACATTGCGGACACTTTGAAACCAACAATATCAAATTTGAGCGAAACAAGTAAAAGTTAGGAGAGAATAAATGCGTGAGAAGAAGGGTCATCCAGGGCACTAAGCCTGCCTAAGCTCGAAAGACCTGAAGTTCGAAACCACACAGGGGCGGGAGTGAACTTTCAAACAGTTAAGAAAAGAAGGGCAGGCGAGCTACGAGTCAGATTAAGTTTAGAGCTGACAGGCGGTCAAGTGGTATTTTACAGTGCTAAGAAAGGCCAACAGAACCCCCTTACTTGGAGATAGCGCAGCAGCATAGCATGTAATGACAAAATCTGGTTCGAATGCAGATGCAGGACCATTCCCAATCATATATTTACTCAAGACAGGTGATAAAGGAATTGTTTAAAGAAAAACAAGAAGTCTGGGGTGCAGCTTCACTGGCGACCGCCTGCCAGAAATGTACTTCCTCACCAGAGCAAGAATGGCGACCCTGGTGCAGTACATGGCCACTATCTCTCATGACTACAGCAATTAATCCTTGTCCCTCAGTCCCCAGCGGCTGCGAAGCAACTGTCCAAGGCGGCGGTCAGGCCTGCGACGCAGCGCAGGTTGCTAACAATCTCTGGGTCTGGATGGACTGCCATTGGAATTTCGAATTGGCTACCTTCAATGCAAGAACACTATCTAGTGAGGCTAGTCTAGCTGTCCTATTCAAGGAATCGGAGGGTGTTCAATGGGATGTAGTAGGGCTCAGCGAAGTTAGGAGGACACGTGAGGCTTATACAGTGCTAGAAGAATGGACACGTCTTACGCTACCGTGGATTAGTTGACAGAAAAGAACTAGGGGTGGGTTTTTTTATACAGAATAATATCTCTGGAAACATAGAGGAATACTGTAGCATCAGTGAGAATGTGGCAAGTGTCATAATCAAGTTTAACAAAAGGTACAAAATGAAGGTGGTACAGGCCTATGCGCATACATCAAGCCATGAGGATCATTTGGTTGAATGCTTCTATAAAGACGTAGAGTCAGATATTAGTAAAGTCGCAGTATAATATTCTGATGAATGACTTTAATGCCAAAGTAGGCAAGAAACAGGTCGTAGGCCATGCAGTGGGGGATATGACATCGGCTCTAAAAATCCCAGAGGGGAGTTATTCGCAGAGTTCGCAGGACGTAATAATTTATAAATCTTGAATATTGTACCTTCTTCAGAAAACGAGCTAACCATAAGTGGACGTGGCGAAGTCCTAATGGCAAAACTAAAATGAAATAGACTTCACTCTGTGTTCACACCCAGGCATTGTACAGGATGTTGATGTAGTTGGCAAGATTCCATGCTGTGACCATAGAATGGTAAGAGCTCGCATTCACCTAAATTTAAAAAATTAAAGACAAAAACTGATACGCAAGAAGCCAATTAATGCACTAGCGGTGAGATGTAAAGGACAGGAATTTAGGGTTTTGCTTCAGATTAGATTCGAGGCACTAAGCAAGGTAGCTGACGTTAGCATTGACACAATGAACGATAATCTTACTACTATCATCAAAGAGTGATAATCTTACTACTATTATCGAAGAGATACAGTCACTAGACAGGACACTGGAAAGCTATCTCAGGATACGAAAAATCTTATCACGAGACGACAAATCATGAAAGCCTCAATTGCAGCCGACAAAATAAAGCTAGTGGAGCTTTCGAAGTTAATCAATAAACATAAGGTAGCCGACGTCAGAAGGTATAACATGGAGAGAATTGAGCAGGCTGTAAAAAGTGGCAGAAGCCTAAAAGCTGCAAAGGCAAACTTGTGCATAAGCAAAAATCGGATATATGCATTCAGGAACAAGGAAGGCAATGTCATAATCAATATAAATAAGATAGTCGAGGTGGTGATGGAGTTCTACAGAGAGCTGTACAGAAGCCGAAACAACCAGGATGACATCGTAAGAAGCAATGAAAAGCAGAGGAGTTTGACATCCTACCCGTAACAATAGGGGAAGTAAGGAAAGCCCTAGAAGGAATGCAAAGAGGCAAAGCTGCTGGTGAGGATAAGGTAACGATGGACCTGCTGAAAGATAGTGGAGAAATTTTGTTAGGAAAAACTGGCCACCTTATAAACGAAGTGTCTCTTGACAGGAAGGGTGTGTTCGTTAAAACATTTCTAAAGAGTCAGTGAGTTTATTTTGTGTGGATCTCATCTTGTTGAAACTGTTATTTGTCAAAAGCGCCACAACTTAAATGAGCTATTTAGCATACGTTAAAGCACACCAGACCGTCAAACGTTCTGGAGGTATGCACTGTGGCATCGCTCATAATCGTATGGTGGTTTTGGGACGTAAACCGCAATCATTATTATACTGAATCTAAGCAACACCTGTTTAAATAACCATATATTCTATTTCTTATCTTGGGGATAACTGAAATGGGATGCGTTTATCTTGCCGCGAATTCTTTTTGGGTGTGTCTTCAGTGTCAGATAACATTGATAGTTCAAGGAACTTGAGATAAGAAAGCGCAAAAAAAAAGGAAGTCTTCATGTTGCTTTACACTATTCTTTTGACTTAAAACTGTTCTGTTTGTTTCCCACTGACAGCAACTCTTCCACTCTACCCGGAAGGAGACAAAATATCGCTTCTCGATCTCTGGTAAGTTGTGCAGTGTATGCGCATGCATGCCTGCTTGTGTTCAGGCATTGGATGAATCCAACAGATAATTATGCTGAGGAAAGCACAGGAGATGTTAATTGTTGTCTTTAGCTGTAGTATAGTAATTTAGACGAACAAAGCAAGTTGGTATTCAGTCATCAGAAAAACTTGCGCAGCACAAAGAATGTACAACGTGTGAGCTTGTTGAAGCTTATTTTATTTTCAAAGTCAGAGACAGTTATATTGCCAAACCCTCTGTTAGGTTAACATAAAGCAGAGATGGTTTATCGTGATCTAGGTTTTGTTAACGGTGGTGAAATGTTTCAAGAATTTGTGGCCGTCATTTTAAGTCCTCAACTTGATGCGGCGTTATTCACACCACAATTTATCCTCAGCAGTTTTCGCATCATCATGATGCACTCTCTCCGTGATGGTGTCTCTCGTAGCCAGAATCACTTGGAACACTAACACCCACAAGAAAATCGACCGACGATCTGGCAACCTTTTCTTCTCCTTTGCAGCCCATTCTCCCAACGCACCCGTACCTGTCGTTCGAGCGAGGCACCGAAGAGTGCCCCATCAGAATATCCATTCCGTCCTACACACTGCGGGGAAGTGGCTCCAACGCTCACATCGAATATGAAGTCAAGGTAAAAAAACAATTCACTGCCAAAAATAGTATGGCCTTTGCTCGGTCAAAGTAGGCAATACATGTGACTCATGTTGCATAGCTACATACGTGCATCCACACACACACGCATGTGTTCCCGCAACCATAAGGTACTTCCCCCATTCTGTGCACGATTAGCCACACCTTTACGATGCAAAGTTATTGACAGCGTTAACTTAGATCAAGTGCACGTCCACCACAATGGACCAGCAACTGCAATGCTTGGCTGCTCACCCAAAGGTCACGGGTTCAATCCCGGTGGTGGCGGTCACATTTTTGTGAAAGCGAAATGGTGGTAGCGGCCCGTGTATTGTGCGATGTCAGTATACGGTGAAAACACGAGATGATCAAAATATCCAAAGCTCTCCACTGTGGTGTCCCCCATAGTTCTATTGTGGTCTTGGGACGTAAAACCTCAACAATTACAATCAGACCTTATTGACTTTTTATTGCGTTATGTCTTTGTGGTAGTCTGTCATGTTTATTATTTAGTCCTTGCCTGCTCTTACACCTTTATACTTCGTGCAGCCATGTAATGCAAAGTCTGCAAAAAGAAAGTTGATGGAAGCCAGTTTCAGAGAAGGCCCTTAATCTGTTGAGGGAGCAGCATTCTTACGATGGCTAAATCCAGAAATGTATGTATGTCGAACTGTGGATGTTTGTTGGAGAAACCAAGGGGTCGAAAATAATGTGGGGCAGACCTCAGTCTTCCTGTCATACCACCTTCGATAGCCATGTTGTAGCTGAGAGACATAAAACTTGATCATCAGACTTTTCTGTAACTGTGTGCTTCTTTTTTTTTTTATTCCAGGTGGTGGTCATGGACGACAGCTGGACCTTGTATCGGCGATACAAGCGGTTTCGAGAGCTCCATGACTACATGAAGTTGAAGTATGGACGGAAGGTGAGACTGCACAAGAAAGCAGGCAGTTGTCTATCTCGTTACAGCAACTTAAGTGTAGTTCGTCAATGGCAGGTTATGAATTGCATGTTATTCGCTAGTCACTGTCGGTCATTTGACCACTGTCAGTTGCCAGAGTGAATTGCCCTTAAACCTTATCATTTGCTTTCACCTGCTTATAGACCAGTGAAAAATTGTTTCTGGTGCCCCACCGCGGTGGTCTAGTGGCTAAGACACTCGGCTGCTTATCCGCTTGTCGCGGGATCGAATCTCGGCTGCGGCGGCTGCATTTCCCATGGAGGCTAAAATGTTGTAGGCCCGCATGCTCAGATTTGGGTGCACGTTAAACAACCCCAGGTAATTAAAATTTCCGGAGCCCTCCACTACGCCATCTCTCATAATCATATGGGGGTTTTAGGCTGTTAAACCCCACATATTAATCAATCAAAATTGTTTCTTGTGGTGGCATGCTATGCATCAATCAGTTCAATTACCCTTTATTCTATTGCAACTGCAAATATAAGAACGCATCGTGCTCATTTTTGCAGTTGTCGTGAGGTTCTGTATAAAGTTCAAGGGCGATAACGTCACCCTGGGAGTCGGTTGTTCTATGTGCAAGTGAAAGTGCAAGGGCAGTCAATGATTGTGGCTCAAAAGGGGAGGTAACATGCTCGCTTTATTCCATTACACAAGAGGCTCATAGGGGGCAGAGGGAGGCATGGCTTTGGCAAAAACTCTGTTCTTTGAGCGTTCGGGCATGTTTGTGTGGGCTGTGCGTTTACAGAGATCAGCAGACAGCTTATACTTTTGTATTTGCTGTGTTCTCGCTGCTCAGTTTGCATTGAAGCGATAGACAACATGAAGGCTACTTAGCTCGTTGCTGCTGTAATGAGTGAAGCAACCTTCACGAGCTGACACCTAGCGTTTCATTTGCGTAAGCTGGCACCAACTTACACCAGCCATTGCTTCAGATCAAATGCTTAATCAATTAGCTGCTGGCCTTACTTCATATAGCATTCCAATTTGTGTTATTGCATTCGTTCGTTCACTCTTGTAGCAAAACTGTGACTCTTCAAAGCAATTATCTCTGTTTTATTTCTGTGGCAGGTGACACTACCGTACTTCCCCCCGAAATTGCTGTTCGGCAACAAGTCTCAGCGACTGGTGGAGGAACGCCGCAAGCTGCTCGAGGTTTACCTCATCGAGCTCGTCAACAGCTGTCGCCGCGACCTCTCGTGTCCCTTGCATCGAACAGTGCAGGGCCTCTGCAAACAGCACATGTGGGAGTTTGCACCGTTCTTCCGCAAAGGATGCTTCGAGACGAGCAAGCACAGCACCGGCTGAAGGCATCACCACGTGACATGGGAGACGTCTACACCCGCTGCTGTGCATTTCGTGCGACAGCATCACTTGCACTGTGCTTTGCAACGCAATTTGGAAGTCGAGATTGCGAATCTTTCTCGGCGTGCGGGCGAAATGGCTCTGAAAATAGGGATGTGCTAATAACATAGTTTTTAATGACTGCTGACATCATTGTCATTCTCATGGTTCATCCTTGTGATAGGTCATATCTGAGTTCTAAAACTACGCGACCTCAGAATGTTTGTCTTCAAGCCAGATAGTGATATAATGTTGAGTCTGCTGGCGACTTTTTTCTGGTTAAACCTGTTGACAAGTAATGGGGCATGTTCACTCACTCAAAGTTTTCCTAGCATGAAGGAGCCTTACGGCAAGCTTCTGTTGTGGCCTAGGTGCTGTAAGCATGAAATTTATGTTTGTAGGGACAACGTGCCCGTGACACTTACGGGGGGCAGATTGGTGCACCATCAATGACCTTTCTGTTCTGTTTTAAAGACCCTGGTGTAATGAGTGTGGGTTGAGTTTGTGCCCAGCCTTGTTAAAGTCATGTCTGTTCCTAAATGCTGTCAACCTTGAGGCCAAGCGTATGCAAACGGTGCAGGAAGTGATGACATGAGGCTCTTCTGGTGGTTGAGGACCAGTTGTGTTTTTGAAAAAGAGCTTTCGTTTCTTATATACTCGCTCGACAAAGTAAGATCCAGTGCTCCTTCTTTGTTGGCCGCTTTGGTGCGTCTGCCTGTCTGAAGGTATAGTTGTGGTGCTTTTTTCTTGTTGTAGCTCTGGAGAACAATTCTGTCACTGGGTCGGCTTTCAGATGATGTTATGGCTGTCGTTTTTGTGCAGCATAATTAGTAAATAGTGCACTGCTCTGGGTTGAAAGGTTAGTATTAAATGCAGCAGAAATGGTGTGCATGCTACAACAAAAGGCAGCTTTTGCTTGCACGTCATTCTTGTTGAAAAAGGCCGTGGGTGACATTCTGGAGTAAAGTTATCGTATTTACTTGAATCTAGGCCGACCCTGATTTTAAGACGACCCCCAAAAGTCCGAAGCTCGAAAAAAAGAATGATGATAATAAAGAACTTACCTCGAATGTAGGCCAAACAAAACAGCGTTCACAAAAAGAAAACATTTATTGAACATGAAAATAAAACAAAGCAGTTGGTTGATGATGCAAATAACTCGAGAAACATACAGCCACTAGTCCTGTTGATGATGATGGCCTAAAAGCATGGCTGTGTGTGTTTTTTTGTTGTTGTTTCTTTTGCGCTGCTTGTAGTTATTTGCATCATAAAGATGCTGGGCTTGGCTCATTCAGAGTCATCGTCGCTGATTTTTTTGTTACTGTTTTCAAACGATACGCAATCCTCGGTGCCATTAAGCACAGTGGATATGCCGCACTACTTGAAAAAGCGCACAATCAAAGTTCCCAATTTGTCGTCTCACGCTGCAACCTCTCAAGCGACGCACTTTTTTTTTTGTACATTTTAAAGTTCAACTCAGCTTGAACGTTGCACAGCGACTCCGTGGCTGGGACAACTTTCATTTTATAAGCGGCACTATAATGACACCGCCTGTATGGCACCATTGAGCTACGCCACACACAGAGCACTTGAAGTTAGACTCTAAATGACCAACAGCTCGCCTCAACACTCACCACAAAAATCGAAATGGCAACTTCACGTGCGTACTTAAGCCTGGTGTTGGCTTGGCTACTAACAGCTATATCCTGTGTAGGTAGCGCTAGTTGTGCACCACTTTTCTCAGTGAAAAATGGCGCGTTTGTTAAAATCCTCAAATCTAAGCCGACCCTGGAATTTTATGCCAAAAAATTTGAAAAAAAAAGTTATCGGTCTAGATTTGAATAAATAGGGTAGGTGCTACGCGTTCTTTATTAGACATGCGATCTGGAAATTCTGAAACACCTTTCGAGCAAGTTGTCATATGCCAATGAGTGCAAACATGAGCCATTGCAATATTTTTGTTTCAATGTTGTTGTCTAGTTTTTCTCGCCTCTACATGGTAGCGGCTTGAAAGTGAAGCTTATATGATGCAACTAATGTTCAAGCCTGAGCCAAGTCCACAACTATTCTGGGTTTTATGTTTGTCTGTTTTGTTCACGAGGAGTCCATTTCAGAGCATGCCGAAAACTGGGCAGTTTGCCGAAAACTAGACGGTTTTCTTCTTTTAGCTTTTGTGGGAATTCTGTATTGCCTTACTTGCATAGATGTTTCTAGCTTCCGAGAGCTTATGCCGTGTTGCATAATAGGATATGTTGAGGTGTGCCCTTTACATTATAGCTTTGCGTTTCCGAGTCAGGCCCACCGCAGTTCTTTTGTAGAGGTTTTCTTTGCAGATTTCTGCTCAGATTTCTTGTATACTCATTTATTGCTTGTGCCTTGCGCTTGTCTTCACTTTTTAATGTAAGTTGTGCTTTTAATTACTTACTGGTTCTCCGCTATGTATTGTGAGGACGCGTCAGCACAAAGACGTTTGGTGCGCACAAGAAACTTTTTTATAGTAGTTATGCAGACTGTAGCATGAGAGGCTTATTTTATGGTTTCACTGGCGGCTGGAAGTGAAAGTTGTAAGCTCATAATCACCGAGGAACACACCAAGGCCATCCGCCATCACCCGACAGTTCGGAACACATTCACAACAAGTCCTGATCTCGTACATCGCATACAGCTTGGCACTAGTTACGGTGATTTTTTCAGCTTTTTCACACCTTCATGTAACTCTGGCTTTAAGCACCCTCTTGACGTGCACGGAAGATAATAGATTCACCACTGTCGAGATATTTATCTTTCATACTTTCATCCACCAATGCTGCTGGTTCTTCGAAGTTTACTTCAAAAATTAGTATAAAGCGAATTCTACGGTCGATCTTGACCATTTTGCAAATATACTTGGTTTTATGGCTATAGTATAAAATAGCATACCATATTGTATCAAAGTGAAAGGTTGTCGTGCCAGGCCACGCTTTAGTCATTTTTTTTTTTGTTTTATCAAATTTGCTGCGCAAGAATATTCATTGCTATGGTTTGTATAGTCATCGAGTGGCATGCTCACGATGTTATGAGACATAAGGTGGTGAAGACCTTTACGGGAAATGGTTACAAATGCATAGTCAAAACTTCAGCGCATGCTCCAAGAAAGCCACCGTAAAATGAAATCCCGCAGTCTAGGTCGAAATGCTTTTCTTTTGCCTTCTGCATTTAAAGGAAGCTAGAGAAATGTCACCATACAGCCTGCGTGTGCATGTCATCGTGTCACAGAACTTGAGGTGCATTGTAAAGTTTGGTTGACTTGGTGCAACAGACGTAGCAGTGTGTGCATGTTTCCATTGGCATAACTTTTATCACATATTTGTTAGGGTGCACACATGTTTTTGCATGTCGCAGACCCGCATGCCAAGGCTTGTCACCGTTATGTGATGCATGCTTATAGCTGCTCTTGTGAAACATTCATCTTGAACATTCTTGGGGACATTTGTTGGGTCACCGAACTGTGTTGCAAACATCGATCTTTTTGCCATTTATGTTGGCTTTAGAGATCCCATGCACCATTCCCACTTTGGTGGGCAAGGAACGACACTTGACAGTGTGATCCCCCTCCTCTTGAGAAGTACACGCACAAAAATATGCTCATTCCAGCGTTTTGTCGACAATGTGTTTTGTTTGAAGTGTTATTGGTGATGCCTTTTCTATGTGTTGTGTGCGTTGATTTGTGTACAACATATATGCATGTGTTTTGTTTATATTTATACTGAAGAGGTAATTTTTTTCGTGTGTACATATTTGTTTTTGCAAATACGCACATGTGAGGTGGAGAAGCTTCGTTAAACAATTACAAAGATTGTCACGACTGAAGATAAGTTTCGATTCAGCATGAGCCACTAGGTGTTTATTTTAACTAGTGGTAGTTTGCAACGGAAGCTTGACTGTTTAAAGAAACTGCACTTGACCAAGCTGCAACTATTTGTAAATGGTGAGCGCTTGTAAAACAGAAGATTTATTCCTTTCAAGTGGGATTTTATAAGTTTGTTAAAATTGTATTTAGAGCTTCATGTTTGTTTATAATCGTTTATAGTGAGTTTGAATGATGTGAGTGGCTTGCTAATTTTTCCTGACATTCACACTTTAGTTTTCGGTATCTTTGTGCATCAGTATGTTTAGAGCTTAATGTGTTGCACCGCACTTGCATTGCCTGAGTGCAGACATGTTGAGATGTCGTACCTGACAATTATTTCACACCTCAGTGTTCTGGGCTGAGTAGGGGCAGAACATAGTTATGACACATCTGGATTTGAAGGGTCTCCAAATGGTCTCGCGTTGCTTTGGTTTCTACGGCAACACACTGCTACCACTCACTGTCCGTGCTCGTGACACGGCCGAGGCACCCGCGAGTATCAGTGTTTGAAGGATTTTTGTTTTGTTGTTTAGACACGGTTTCAACTTTGGCGTTTGTAAGAACTGAATTCATTCAGTTGCTGCTTACCACCACTTCACCCCACCTCACTGTCATATCTACCAACCACTAAATGTGCACAGACTGCTTAGGTATTTTGAGAAAAGTTACTGAAGAAACTAGACAAATGCCAGACACAGGGCTTTACCAAGATGGCTTCAAGGATGTATTATAACTAAAGTGATGAAATTTGTACCAATTGAGAGGAGGTGAATATTTTCACAGGTGGTATTTGTTACTCTTAGTGTTGACTGCAGCTCTTCTAGTTAATTTAGATTTTTTTTGGCAGTAGTATAACTATGACTATATAATTAAATATATCTTTTTAATGATTTTATGATGAAGAACTATGTTCTTAATAGAGTAATGCATGGCGTGTGGCTGTGGGTGACCATCAAATTCGACACATCATTTCATGATGGTATTAGATTTGATGTACTTGATTTCTTAAGTCTTGTATAAACAGTGCTGTTATTGTAAAATGCTATAATAGGACAGTCCTAGCATTGTACTTGAGATTTATTTACATGTAAAGCAATAGCAGTTAGGCCCTTGTATGTGGTAGCAATATGTACAGTTATAGCGTAACAAAATGTATACCACACTGCGTGCCTGCTAGTTTTGTCTAATCAAACGCATGTGCCTTATTACCCACATTTTAGCCAACACTGAAAAACTTGTGATGAGCAATTCTAGTGATGCTATAGACACAGTGTGTCTTGAGATGTGCGAGTGTAAAATTAAATGGTCTTTAGGGCTTTACATTCTTTACATAAAGGTTGCTAGTGTACACCTTACGTTAACGCTGACTTTAGAGGTTGAGAGATTGATTGTTAGTCACATGCGTCAGTAGCTATTTCACTTGCAATATATGTGTACATAAATATGCCTCCATACAGTCTGAATAGACATGTTGACTTGCCTTCATTTAGGGCAATAGCAAACTGCTCACAATATAAATGAATGAGATTAATGCTGTTTCCTATCATGAGGCTCCAAGCGACACATATCCTACGCCAGCGGTGTTTTAGACATAGTATTCCTTGTGCACAAAAGAAAAATGCGAGGTGATTGAAATATGAGCGTGTCTGCCTTGGCACTGGTGTAGTTGCATGCGTATAACTTGTCTTGCATCAGCAGAAAGCTTCAGCCTGGCCTGTACGTATTGTTGATGTAATGCTGCAATACTAGTTGTGCAGATATAAACATTTATTGGTCATGTTTAGTGTTGCCTTTCCCGCACAACAAACACTAGAAGTTCAGAACTATAATGCTAGTGTGTACATAAGCATTAATTATGACAGCTCAGCTGAACTTGGGAACCATAGCTAGTAAGTATATGTGCATGACTAAATATTCATTTGATTCATATGACTTTGAGAGGTCACTCATTTACACCTTTCTATGAAACATTCTGTCGTAATCATAACATTGCACAAAGTTTAAGCACATGCACCTGACTTCCTGCCCTCATGTCTTTGAAAAAGAATGCAGGAACATCAGGCAAATACATTTACTACCCAAGATTCCCATCACAGCTCAAGAGTACAACAGTTTTGTCTACTAATTGACCTTCAAGCGGAACCCCATAGCTGTTTTCAACGAAAGTGTGTGAAAGCTACTCTCCTCTGTGATTGACTAGTTACGGTGCTAAAGAGAGGACAGAGGATCGCAACACTGGCACTGACTTGCAACTCAGTTCATCTGAAGAAACACCATGAATGTATACAAACTCCAATGTGGCTACAATAAGATGTGCACAGCAGAGGCAATTTGGGTGATGAACAAGCCAATACACATGTAAACATTTCATAGCCAATTATGATTTACTGCTAACTCACCAGAGTTTTGTTTCTATTGCTCCTTACCACTTCTGAGTATGTAAAAGGCATTGGGATTGGCATAACCTTCAAGGTACTCTTGGCTCATCGCCTTATTAACAAGATCATTTTTGTGCACAAAGTTTTGGAATGTATTAGTGTTGAACGAATTACCACTGGCTGCCATCATTGCTGTTAACATCTGCATCTGGTATTCTCGCATTTCAGCAATAATGTGTAGACGCACATTTAGCATCTGCATGTAGCAGTATGTACAAGCCAGGCACATATTTTGTAGCTTCTTTGCAAAGTTTCTTAGGTTGTGTAGGCTGCTCAACATGTCATCTCTTATCGTGGTCAAGGCTGCGTGGAAATTCTGTGCAGTGGAGTTCTATGTATGATCTGAGCCAATTTATCACAAATGCATTTCTGTTGGCTGTTTCTTTACAGAATGGCCAATAAATGTTCTTTCATTGTTACGACTTGCGTCTGCTCCACTTGAACTTCTGCTGCTTGAAAATTCAGGTTTAAAGCTGGCATCTAGTCCTACGCAAAAACTTTTATGGCCAGAACCTTAGCTGCCTCATCATACGTGAATAATGGCTGGTATCCAGTGTCAGCGTCTCCTATCAGCAACGTCAGTATGAGTGATGCAATAAAAATTGTGATGATGTCGCAAATAGTCATAACTTGCAACATTATTATGACTCGGGAATGTCGTGTCAGATGATAATGTCATCACATGTCATCATAACTTTGTCAAAGTTAGGCCAATCAAAGAGGCTGCCCAAGACCAGACGATGCGCCTCTGATCCTGAAAGCTGCATTAGGTGCAGACAGCATTGAGAGGGTGGTGGGGCAAGAAAATTGCAACCGACTGCGAAGAAAGAGATGGCCTTCACCTTCCAGTAGTGTTAGGTTAGTGTCGAGTGAGGCGTGTGATGCACGGTAGCGAGTTAAACGCGGTGTAAACACCGATCTCTCAAAGTTTTGCAACTAGCGTGGCTGAGTGCAGCGTGTTTTCGGGATTTACTGAGCGATTTTTACTTCGACTCTTTGTCCCTTTACAGGGCATTGGAATTTGTGTGTGCTCACAATTTTTCATGAGACTTTAATGGCGTAGGCTATCCTTCCCACACGTTTCACCCTTGAAAGTTGCCGAGTGTTAGGCTGAGGGACCCCTTTCACTGTATTTCTTTAAAGACCCCATGGGGGGGGGGGGGCATTACATAAGGGATGGGATACAAGAATTCATGACACTGGACCAATCAGGATTGGAAATAAGCTCATACAGCTTCAATGAATGCTTCCGGGTTGGTGATGGCAACGATGGCGTAAGGAAGGCCGTTCCAGTCTACAATGGTGCGTGGAAAAAAGGAAGACGAGAAGGTGAGAATACAGGTATGGGGACGAGCAACACTTAAGGAATAGCTTGTACAAGTGGTATATGAGATGGTGGTGAGAAATAAGTTGTCTGACTGAGTGAACTGTGATACATTTTGTGTAATAGAGATAGGCTGGCAATGGGAATTGGCAACAGGAAAGGATGAATAGGCCTGTTTCCACCTTTAGTGAGGATACACTTACATTGTATGAATACGATGTGTGAATGAACCTGATGGCACTGTTCTGCACCATTTCTAGAGCATCTGTGAGGTAACTTTGGTGAGGTTTCCAGATCGCAGATGCGAATTCAAGTTTTGGACGAACTAGGAACTTGTAGGCAATGAGTTAATTATGAGGAGGGGCGTATGGTAGATGACATCTTGGGAAGCCTAAAGTTTTGTTACTGGACAAAATGATGTTGTATATGTGCGGAAACCAGTGAAACCAGAAATTGACACCAAGATATTTGTGCTTATTTAAAAAAACTAGTGGGTATCCGGCAGTAACGTAGATTCAAACTCTCAACCCCCTGCAGCCGAAGCAGACATTTAAACACGAGGCCACTGTATAAGGACCCTGTGAGATTTTTAAATCTGTCGTCCGACTAATGTGTGCTCAAAATGTGTCACTATGTGTAATCGTATTTGCTTACTTACAATACAATGTGCATCGTTATTCATGTAACTGTCTCCAATGTTATGCAAGTTTTCATGACCTAATATATTCTGGGAAATTCGGGGGACCAGTTATCAATCTTTTTTTTTTTCGCCTAGTACCAATCAACAGTGCAGTGTAGAAGAAATAAACACAATTTGAGAAACAGTGTAGGGAAATGAAAAAGCTGGCAAAGTATGCAAAGTAAGTTGCCATGTTATCTGATGAATAACAATCTGTTTTGAGAACAGAAGTTTTTGGCACTTGCCCTACTGTAACAGTTCCGGGCCCCGCAGCAGTGGTCTAGTGGCTAAGGTACTCGGCTGCTGATCCGCAGGTCGCTAGATGGAATCCAAACTGCGGTAGCTGCATTTTCGGTGGAGGGAGAAATGCTGTAGGCCCGTGTGCTCAGATTTGGGTGCACGTTAAAGAACCCGAGATGGTCGAAATTTCTGGAGCCCTTCACTACGGCATTTCTCATAATCATATGGTAGTTTTGGAGCGTTAAAACTCGTATATAAATCAACGATTTTGGGTTCAATGCTTTCAATGGCTCGTAATAATAGGGCAATATACACAGAGCAGTGGATATATTTGCAAAAAGAGACTGTTTGATGCTTCATAGTGGTTACATACGCTGACTTCCGATATTAACCCTGTTTATTTAATAAATTTTCCATCTTTTCATGACAAATATTGTTCATACTACATTGACAGCTAGCTAGTGCAACAAATGCTATATATGCGAACAAGAATTTTTGTTGCACTAACTTAAGTAATTAATGTAGATAGAGAATTTTTCAGAGACTGAGTGGTCAATATTTATCTTGCGACGAGCATATTTGCCCTCAGTTTTGCAGTGCGCTTTGGTCTTTATACATCTTAACTTAGACATGACTTTTATAGTTTTTAATATTTTCCCTGATTCGCAGTCCTCTGAACACGTCTCGCAACCACATTTTGTCATGGGGTTTGATGACATAATGACGTACCTTTCATTGAACTAGCACTTCCTTGAGTCATCAATTTGTTAGCAAAGCAACCTTATCCTGAAGTGGTGTGGACGAGATCTAAGCAGGTACTGTGTCAGTGGGGAGCATAGTGGGGTTGCTGTGCCCCAAGTATTTTGCTCCCCCCCGCCTGTGCTAGAGAATTAAAACAGTATACTAAACGCGCAAAGCAGAAATTCCCTTTCTCTTTGTCCCCTACACCACGAAGGGACTTGCTTGTACCCCCTCCCCCCAAATTGAAATTCTGGCACGGCCCCTGATGAGTGCAAGTCTGTATATATATATATATGCTGAGTTGGTGTAGTCACCATAAGACCAGGGCGTGCTGTATGGGAAGGGTGAGCAAGCAATGGCTTCCTGCTAATTAAAGTCCCTGGTCGAGATGCGACAGCAGCGCCATAACGCACAGGAAATGGTAGTTTATAGGGGGGGGGGGGGCAGTATTTGATCATTGGCCTTAAGGCGAACGCATATGGCGAACGAGACGTGCGTTTCCTGCCTCTGAAGTACGCCCGCCTGTGCAGGGCAAGGCCAGAATATGGTGGCTAGCACCATAGCCGGAACACGAGGTCGTGGGCAAGAGTGCCAGAAGCTACAAACTGGCAGTGAGATGACACACGTCCGATTTTCCCATAGAGATTCCTGGAAACTCTATGTATTTTCTTCGTACACCTAGCGGGCAAAGTCAGAGACATTGGGTCGTTACATGAAGAGATTTTTGGTAGGTGCACCGTAGATATCAGCAGTGAACAAAGGCTGCCGATCCCATCGGCATGTTTCCCTGCGTGCTTCAAGTATAGTGTGTAAACTACAATAAAATTTATTCATGCGCACCCGTTCTCTGCCCAGCATGGAATGAAAATATAGTATTGACAGAGAAAGGCTTGCTGGAACTGGAACTTCAACGTGTGAATAACATTTTATTCGCCGTTCCATTTTTGTAAATCAAATACACAAATAACATTAATGTTGAAAAGAATTTGCATTGCGCAGTTTTTTCCTCGATGACAATAATGCCTGTTTTACAGTACCTGGAACATGAAATCCAAAAAGAAGCAACCTACTTTGGAAAAGGACAACTGCTTGCATATCTCTAGTGCGTGTCACACTTTTTTTTTTTAACCACGTGATTGACAGTAACCAATCGCATGTTGTGGCTTTCCTCGTCGCAAGCAGCCGCGTTCGTCTATGTCGGAGCGGTAGGAGCACATGGTGTGCGTGTGCACTGTGCCGTCAGTCATATGGGAAGCCGAACGTGTCAATCTGCCGACTGATCGCGCGCTTCGTAGGGTTCGCACCCAAATGAACACCCATCGCACTCCCAGCGACGCCTTGAACTAACCGGAATCCTCCTTCGATTAGTACGAAATGGTCCGCAAGAAAGGCGAAACTGTGAAGCCTTCGCCGGTTCAATCGGCTCAGCATGTGCTCGACCGGCTGAATGGTGATCTTAGTTTTACTTTTCGTTATCCATGCTCTATTTGTTCTCCTCGCGAAGTGGCTCGAGCGTTCCATGTAGCTGCTAAGATGAAGAAGCATAGTTTAGTACAGCACGAGGTGTACTTGTTTTGGAACGATGTTTACTCCACCGCGTTCCATGTCCTACCCTCTTGTACAGTAACCTGACTGGTCGCCGTAGGCGGAAGTTTGTCGGTTATTTCCCATTTAGCGCTTGTTTCCTTTAAAATGACGCTGGACATGATACGGAGACGAAACTCCTCTACTTGCGATCAATCGCTGAGTTCCCCTGTCAGAACGCGATGGTACTTCACATTGATCACTAGATTGAACTAAACGCATACGGGATGGTAAGACTTCTGTTGCAGATTTCGCACCGTGAACACCCTCATATGCTTTTCGCGTCACTTGAGCATGGTCACGCTGCGCTCTGTCGCCACGTTGTATAACTGCCAGAATGTTGTTGGAGCCGATGTTTCGACAAGAGTACTTGACCTCGTGAAGGCTTGCAACTGCTTCCTTTAGCGGAGTTTCTCTGTGCGTCTAGCTTACCCTTCCTCACCCTCAGTGAGGGAGGAGAACCCGCATATTCACCACTGCTCACTCAAACATAAACGCTTCTAAGAATGCGCCTGTTGCTCTGACAAAAAGGTCCTTTTGCCAAGGCATTGACTTTGGCAACATTCCTGTCTTCAACGACTTTTCGTCACTCCAGTTGCCTCTATAATCTCCATAGTTTAAAACAATGTTAGCACAAACAAGTAAGGACACAGAGCAAGCGCCGTTCATGTGTCTTTACTTTGTACGAGCACTATATTGTTACAATCTTCATCGCCTTAATATAGCATTCCCTCTTGTTCATCACAATATCTTTACTTAACCATGTTTAGATTGCACTTTTTAACAATGAATTGATTGTGATCTAGGCTCCTTCCTGTATGGGGGGCTGTAACTGTCGTGTAAATTGTGTTCTTTTTTTGGTCTGTGTATCATTTCGCCTTTTACCCAATGAATTGATAACTTGCACGTGACATCATGGACGCACATGGCACCAACGTGGCCGCTTAGGCAGTATAATCATGCAGTGATTAACCTGCTTTAATGTGATAATGACATTGATGGAGTCTTGTGTCTGTGTGCATGAATATCAAACTAATGAGCATGTGATGTACCAATAATGCTAATGTGACATCAAAATGTTCTCATTCTACAATGTTGGTACTCCAACATGGTGATTTTAGTGACATCAGTGCAAGCCATCTAGGCGTACCGACTGCTCCCTGATTGTCTAAGTCAGTATTATGAGTGATATGCATTTCAGTATTTTTACGCACTTTTCACAAGCTGTGCTTGCAATCTCTTTTGTTCCAACAGTAGTACAGTATAATAAAACCAACTGACCATAAACCTGAGAACGTGGAGGGGGCATTACCAGAATTTATGATAATTAAGACACAAAAGAAAGGAATCAAGTCCAGGAAAAGTCAACTTGCCGCGCATAAGGACTGAGTCTACAACCTTGAGATAATGCATCGGATGTGAATGCCAAGTTTATTTTTGCATGCACTTCAATTTCGTTACATTTGGGTCATAATTACTACACTAGGAGTTAAAACATACCATCAACATTCCCTATATCTTACTTAGCTTCACTTTCAGTTAATTTTATTAGGTTATGCCTAACGTCAAGAAACCAGCCCTCGAACAAGCACACCCCCACTTTCATTCAATGATGGAACCGTAGGTTTTTTACTGGTTGCCCTTAAGTGACTCTGTTATCTTTGTCACTGTCCAGATTTTTTGGTACGAAATCCCAGCAGCAGTCTGCTTGGCGAGCTCTATCAGACACTGGTCAGCCCTGATGGCGTGGAGCAAGTGACTGCAATAAAAAAGGTATACTTTCATCTTCTACAAAAAGTTACTCTGCTAATAAAAGAAGCATCATGTTTAACTCTTTGAGACACTGTGTACACAATTGTGTACACCACTCGTTTTTGCTATTTGCATCAAGTAGCGGCTAAGCAAGACCACTATATATCATACATTGGATGAAATGAACCTCCTGCTTAATAAGTCTGTCTTTATTTAACTTTATTTTGCAGTGTACTGATATGTGTGATCACTTTTCTGAAGGCACTACCACGTTCGATGAGCGAGCGTGCAATGTGCCTCTTCGTGCAAGCAATGTCAATAGCAGAACAAGATTGACTTAACCAAAAATGAATTTGTAGTATATTCCTAGCGTGAAATTCGATTCTGTTCATGCAAAAAGTAAGCATCAATGAGTTTAGGATAAATAGATATGTAATTGGAACCTAATTATTAAAGCAGGTTACTATAACACACATATATTCAACTATTATCACATTATTCTTGTTGCAATATAATATTGAGTTCCTTGAAGTAACGTTGTAGTGAATTGACACATTTACAGGACATTTCTTCATAGGCAGCGTCTGAAAGGGTGAAGGCATAGCTGAACAATGCATTTCTACTTCCAGATCGAACAAGAACTCCAGCGGTGCAAGGACGTAGTCCTGCAGGAGCTGACTGTGGAAGTTTTGTCCAATGTTGTCATCACGGCTAGCCATGGGCAACACGTCAAAAAGGCTGCGTTCAGGTCTGCGGAGTTGTTTTGTTGTACAGTTTGCATTTTTTAATTTTTTTTTGAGTGGGGACCATGAAGAGAAGGCCCTGAAGCACCCAACTTAATGAAATGTTGAAAGCTCTTGAAACGCAGTGATACTTGCCTTGGGACCATGCATTCAACCTGCATGTGGCTTTGGCTTTTTGTAATATTGCTGTGACAAGGTTTTGTACTAAAGTCGCCACAAAGAAATAGCAATAATGAGATCAAGAACAGAGGTTAAAGAAAGCGTGGATAAAATGCAAATGCTGATTGTCAACTGGAAAGTTTATTGTACTGTACACTTTAGTAATGCATAGTGCCCAGTATTATTGGAAGATTATAGCTGGATAGCTTGGTCTAATTGGTTCACACTAGAGGAAAAAAAAGGGGGTGGAAAAAAGTGCTGAAAGAAGTTAAAAAAAAAAAAGTGATAACAGCGGGGCTAACTACTTTCACCAGTTTGCATGATTGAAAACAAAGGAGTTATTTTTAATGTAGGGCAGTAGGAAGCTCACTTGCACAACTCGTTCCCAATTACTTGTGGTGTGAGGTGGCGCTTAAGTTTTGTGCTTGAATGTCACTGCTGAGTGATACGAAATTTGTGTCTTTGAAAATTTCACAGTGCACCAACAGATACGTAATAACGTCGTCCTCAACATGTGAAGTCCTGTTTGTTTTGGTTTGGTTACTAGTTGTCTGCATGAGCTCTGCAGGTCTTTACAAAATAACCTTGCAAATATGTTTAGGTCATGTGTTACGACAGAATGCAGGTGTACTTTGTTGCTGGAAATAGTCTTCTGTAAAAAAGACTAGTAAACGTGCAGAGTAGTAAACGTGCAGCAAATGAGCACCTGTTGCAGTGAATGATCAAAGCATCAACACAAAGTAGTGATTAAACTGCAAAGTTTCACTTCTGATGACTGTATCACTACTGCACAAGTTAAGAATGAATTCATGAAGTGTTGCCCTGATATGGCACAACTAGGGATCCACTTGACTGTGTTGGGCCTAGGACATGTCTATCAAAATTAACATCACTTCCTCGTGATTCTAGTGACATTTTCGTGGTACCATTAGAACAAGTATATCAGTGAGGTTCTCACTATTCATTTCCTTGCCATCAGCCAGTTTTAAAAATGCAGTCCTTGGCTGCCATCATTACAGACAACAAGAAGCACCCTTGTAGACTGAGTCGTATAGTGCGAGCTCACATGAAATTGCAGGATTTGGCGTTGGGGCATGGTAACCGACCACAGTTGGTTACGTCATCGTTTGTGTCATTTCATTTAGAGCAGCTCTTAGGCGCCCGCTTCTGAATTGAGTGGCATTGCCATCGCTGTTGGTGGCATAACCGATAAGACAGTACGGAAATAAATTGAGAGAAAAAAAAAATACCTGGGATCTAATGGAATTTGAACGTGAGTTCTCTGCACTGGAGTTCTCTCCCTAGAGCCACGCTGCTGCTTGAAACTCACTTCCAAAAAGACCCTTCACAGATGTCATGTTGGGCAAAGAATCGTGTTAGCCTTTGTAATGTAGCGTGGCAGAAGTGTGAAATGACAACCAACTATCACGCAATGCTGGTCGCTCAACGAGCGTGTGGTTTGATGCTTCCCACCCACTGCAATGAGCTCGGCCATAACTCTGCATCGTTGTCAGCCACATGCACCATCAACGAGTTGCACGTACCTGATATATGTGTAGCGGGTACCTTGCCTATAGGTAGAAAGATGATTAATGGCGTTGTTGGTGCTGTCCTACTTCACAAAAATTATGATTTATGGCATAGTAGATGCCTTGCAGGAAGGCAAAACTTCAAACGCAGTTGACCTTGCCACAACACGAAGTTGCGCTTAAATTTCGTCTTTCTCACAATGCTGCGGCGCATGCGCCCTTTTCTAGCGGAGAAACCGCGAAACGACTCCCAGTCTTGGAAGCCTTCGTTCGGGAGGCCTTCGTGGAGGCCTTCGTTCACCCTTTCAGTTCTCTTGGCCCCTACAAAAACGTCAGAGGGCAGTGCAGGAAAATGGAAAAGGCAGATTATCATTATGCAGTCAGAATCGAAAATTTATATTCTTTTCATTAATTCAAGTTATTGCAATTCATTATTTAGGTGTAGACTAAATTGGGACCTCCTGTGCAGGATAAACATGGAAAAAAATTTGACGTTTTCATCAACAGAAAGGAAGAAAAATCGCAATGTGCATTTTGAGAGCAGCGCTTATAAACAATTCAAATGCATAATATAAGAAACAAGAAAACATGTGATACACTTAAAAGAGAAGACAATGTTTGCACAATGTACAAAAATTTTTAGAAATAGAAAAGTATTCCTTATATTCTTTTCATTAATTCAAGTTATTGCAATTCATTATTTAGGTGTAGACTAAATTGGGACCTCCTGTGCAGGATAAACATGGAAAAAAATTTGACGTTTGCATCAACAGAAAGGAAGAAAAATCGCAATGTGCATTTTGAGAGCAGCGCTTATAAACAATTCAAATGCATAATATAAGAAACAAGAAAACATGTGATACACTTAAAAGAGAAGACAATGTTTGCACAATGTACAAAAATTTTTAGAAATAGAAAAGTATTCCTTGGGGGCTGGGCTGTGTAAACGATATATAATTTGGTGTTATACGAATTGAAAGGGAACTTTATTAATTCCTTGACTGTCAGTAAATTTTTTCCACCCCAGGGTTTTGGGAGCCTGTTTTGCTGCTGCTACTGTGCTGCCTCAGTTGTCTGCAGCATTAAAGGAGTCTCTCATCATGTCGGACACTGATTTGAACAAGATCTCGCACAATGTGGAAAATCTTCTGTACTGCCTGTCGGAACCTCTAGGTAAGGATACTTGTTATACACTCAAACCTCATTATAACAAAGTCACATCTGCCACAAAAATGCTTCATTATACCCGAAAATTTGTTATAAGTGTTTATTCGTAACACTGTATTTATGATCAACCAAAATAATGGTCACTTACTTCGTTATAACCAATAATTCGTTGTATCCAAATTTGTTATATCAAGGTTTGAGTGTACTTCCAACTGTGAACTACAAACATTCACTTTCCGTATATCATTCCATATTTACACACAATGCCCATGACAAAGCTATTCTCAGTTTGTTGTTGGCGGCTGTGATAGAAAAGAAGGTTTTATTAAATGCACATGAAAAAACTGCTCCCAGTTAATGAATAACCTCTTATTTAAATTGAAAATTTTATATCATAGTGACCCCAAGCTCGAACCTATGAAATAAAAGTATCTTGAGGTGTTTTCCATCATTGTCATTTATTAGATTGTTGTAACTGTTAGTAACATGGTGAGACAGTTTTCGCAATCTTGAAAACATGTCAGTTCTCCTTTAATATTTATGGTATTAGCACTAATAAGGCACTTGCAGGTTATCGCAGCTTGAAATCGCCATGCATTTTTACAGATTTTTTTTTTCCCCCGTGCAGATTTATCAGATAGCATCTAAACTCAGTCCATTGCTTTATTTTTGTTAGTACGAGTAAACATCTTGCTCATTACTAGAGACTGGTTATAAACAAATGCCTATTTTGTTTCTTGCATTCCTATCTTGCCACTTTGATATATGAGTATAGGTATAAATTAGGAATTAAGGACTTTTACAGTGTTTTTATAGTACCCGTAAATGCCTATTTTTTACGTTTGTGCCTTAATTTTTACAAGTGCCTATAAATTCCTGTTTTCAATATTGGTGCCTATGTAAACACTGTTTAACCTCTAACTTTGCTTCGGAGTACAGTTGGTGACTGGTATTTATGTTACCGGGCGAAATTGAGCGTTTGGAACTCTACGGGCGTGCAACCTCTACTTCATCTCAGAAGTTCCTTTCAGCACGGTCAACGCTACAAAGCCCCTTAGCCAATAGGAAGGCCGATTAGCCTCTACATATGTAGTCATCTACGCCGCGTCCTCTTTCCTCGGCACCTCTCCGGCTTCTCCGCGACAGGAGGTGCTTCTGTGCAGCCGCAGGACAATGAAAAACGAATGCGAAACCGTGGAGTGTTACTAGGGAAACGTAGAGCGTAGGTAAAAAAAAAAAAAAAGCCTGATGCCCATGTTGTTTTGTTTTGTTTGTCATTTCATTCTTGAAGGACGCTTCACCATAGTCAAGCGAGAAATTTTAGTTAGACACTGGAAGCAGTTGCGTGCCACACCTTTGTACAACAAGAATTTTTTACTAGGTTCTTTACGAGCCGCGCAAGCATGATGCTAGGAGGTGAGCTTGATACCTTTGCCACTCGCCCGGTGTAGACTTCGTAAGCCAAATGCCTTCCCTGCCCTCTTCGCTATCGGAGCAACTCAGAGCCAGAAGATCACATGATGCAGACGCATCAACACATCATGCACACACAAGGTTACATTCGCATGACATGCCCAAGTTGTTTTGGATTTTTTTGGTATTGTACAAACTGTCTGTTTCTGTGGGATGGATTCCTCTATACGGGCACGTTTGGTGAAGCTGGCATGGGTCATGTATTCTTACTACTGTAGACAGCATCGCACGGCTGGAACTTCTCTAAGGAACGATGCACCTAAAAACACGCCAAGCCTGGTCTGGGCTGGCAACGGGGCATGATGCGAGAATGGCAAGAACACCAATGCAAACGAAATTGAGGCAGCTTAGTCTCGCATCTCGCTCGATATGAAGTTAAGGAAAAATAATGCGCACAAATTCTGTTTGTATATTTTAATATTTCCATCATACTTCCTACTTCTATTCAAGCAACGAATTGCACAAATTATAAATGTCCCTTCAAATAATGCTCGCAGTATCACGCACTACTCTGACATACGCCGGACCATTCCTTGTTGTATACATCACGTCCGCCATGTTGCGGTCTGCGTCTGTTAGGTGAAGGGCAAGCGGCGTTCAGTCTTGACATTTCACTTCTTTCCGGGGGCATGTAGCGTTGCAAATCTCGGCCGCTGGGATCGTGAACGCCCAGTGCATGCACTTCTCTTGCTTGCTCGGAACGCTCAAATCTGGTGAGGGGCCCTTTCGCTTTGTGTGATTAGACTCGGTTAATACAAGGCGAAAAGACCCTTTTGGGGCCTATTAGCAGTCTCGCTATTTGCTACTTTGTTGCTGAAATGGAGGAGACCTAGGAGTGTTTGTATTCGAAGGTGGACACTTAGCTCACCATGCTGGACAATAAAAGCAGAAACCGTGTTTGGCAATTCTACTGAAAAAAAAAAAAATGCATGGCTATGCATTTGCATCTTTGTATCATTGGCGTTTGTACCATCGTAAACTAAAACATTTTTGTTGGCTTTCATGTCATAGACACAGATACCACTGGTATTCCCTCAAAAATTTGAATTTTATTGAAGTATATCGTACCTATATTTACGATTTTCGGGGCCTAATAGTGTATTGTCAGCCTATTTAGGGTGCCTAAAACTCAGTTTTTCAGTACCTATAAAACCAGCCTTTACTCATTGCAAAAAAAAAAAAAGAAAGAAAAGAAAGAAAACATATTGGTTGCTTGCCGCAGTATACCTTTAATGTCTGATAATTTATAAATTTGGTCGTGTGCTTGTATTATTGATGCTAGCCTTGACTGTTCAATTTTCATTTTAGGACTACGGTCGGTCGAGCGCTGCTTTTCCAATGGTAAGTAAACTCCCCATGCAATGTTGTGTAGCTAGGTTTTTTTTAAGTGTTATAGATGATTTTGTTCAATTCAATGAACGCCGTACTGTAGGTCAAGTTTAACTCTCTTTTGTAGTCAAGTTCTTTCATGAGTTTCACGACTTCTTTTTCAGTTTGCCTGCCATGAGGTTTTTTTACATTAATTCATGCGTGTATGCTGTATATAGAGAGGAATTAAAGGCCAATACTTAATCACTTTAGGTAAACTATTATTGTCATTAAATTGGTAAAAAATTGTCAGTCTCATTTAGAGAGATGAAAGATGTTTTTCAATCATTCCCTTTTGTTAATTTTCCGATACTTCCACACTGGTTTGCCTAGGATTTCAGAACTACTTTCTCATACCCACAGTATACTGTCACTGAAAGTGTTCCTGAGTTCATGTCCAACTCATTGGCTTTGTCAAGTGCATTTGTCTGTTGTTTTCAGCAAGTGGGCCCTATTTTTCAGTAGCACTGTCAGAGGGCAGCACCGTTATGTTGCTGAGGATCTGAGTGGGCCATTTCAGATCAGTTAAATTGTGCAAGTTAGTTTGAAAAACCACTACTGTGTATTGCATCTGCAGCCCTTCTCTGAAATTGTCACTCATATCCCACTGTGGACTGGTAGAAATTATTTTTTGCAATCTAACTGGTTCGTATGATTAAATGTCGGAACTACCAACTTGAAGTGCTACAGAAGAAGCCTTTCCTTTCATTCATTCATGTATTAATATTGTCAGCCCTGTTTATGGCTATCACAGGAGTGAAAAACACAATGTAAACATACTGGCAATATACGTACAGAAACAGGAAAAACTTGAAAGAATATGGTATAATCTGGTGTATCACACTTTTCAGGATATAAAACATATCTTTATAACATCAGAGTACTAGCAGTATAGTGTACAACGAATGTATGAGACACTTCGGAACAGTTACAAAAGGGGCCCTTTCATGTTCGCATCTGTGTTCTTCTGAGTCATGTAGTCAAACACTCTTGATTTTTTTCTTTCTTTAGGTTTGAAATATCAAGGGCAGCATATGCTCAGCCTTATAAAAACTTAATATAAAGATGTGCTTGCTGATTTTGTGGCTAAATCAATTTTGTCTTTCAGTTTTCGAAAAACGGCTATGAAGTTGAATTTATTTTATAACTTCAATTCTTTTTTTTTTTTCAGTGCTTTCGTACCTGAAGCAAGTGCTCAATTTAGGCATTGAAACTATTACGTAAGTGATCATGTGACCATTTTAATTTCTACCCAAAACGCACCAACCTTAGAACTTTGTTTGGGGTTTTTTTTTTTTTTCCAGGACCTGCTCTGGCGACACACAAGTCGTGGGCGACTGTTACCAACTTCTTGCCAAGGTGGTTAAAGCAGTCGGGCTGCTCGTACAATTTGCGTCGGGCCAGCGCAAAAACAGCCCTGTACAACCATGCGCAGAGGCTCTCATGGTTTGGACAGAGGAGATCTTTCCGTCCCTCCTACATCTACTCAAGTCAGGTTTGTCGTCGGCAACTTGCACGATTGAAAGAACACTAAAGAGGAACAATGACTTGCTTTAGATTTACCAACTGCACGCTGAGAACTCTAATGGCATATGTTTCCTAAGTTGATTATTAGCGGAGAAAGTCGAGGTTGAAGTTTAATTTTTAAATTTGACGCCGAAATCTCCACGCATGACGTAAAAAATTACAAAACGTATTTTCGGCGTTTTTGTGGCATTGCCTCGATAAAATGATCTGAAACTTGGTATGCTAAGTCTATGACGCACACAGATTACATTGTGCTCCATTTTTATCGATTGAAAGCTATGTAGAACATAGTAGACTGCTTCAAAATTTCTTATGTCATGGTTTTTGGCGTGGAAATCTTAAGGTGGCGTCACCACCCTTTTTTTTGCGCGTTTCTTCACTTACTAAGCATCGTGTCGCGGTAAGAATGGTGTTTTCGGGATTGTCAAATTGTTGTCTATTCATATGCGAAAAATCTTTTTGTTATTTAGTTTTAAGGGGAAACGTAGTTTCTAAAGAAATATTTTTTTATTTTCGAGTCATTATAAACTAAACTCGATTGTCTTGATCAGTTTTCATTGTGAGCTCAAATCTTCAATTAGTTAGCGCTTACTTCTTACGGGCTTTTCTGGCAATTTCGCCGTACTAAAACAAGTATTTCATTAAGGGCATGGCCCCAACACCTATGCTATTATATAAGGGGTGATGCTATTTCTATTCATTTTCGAGCTGTGCCTAGGTAAGAAAGCAGGAGAACATTCACTGTTAATATTTTATTTTATTAACTTGTTAATATATTTAATTATAATTTGCAGAAAGACTGCAAGAGTAATACAAATAGCATCACCCCTCAGATTGTTTCAATACGAGTAAATTGATACTAAATTTGTCAAGTTTACTCAAACATGGGAAAAACCCCCACAAGGCTGAGCGCATTGAGCAAGAACATCAATCTGGAAAAATGCATTTGTAGTTTTAGACAGCTGTAACATCTGTGGGAAAACAGGCACAGCACTGCAAATTATATCATTCGATAGGTTTGTCTTTTGCAAGAAGTCATACCTAATATTTGACCATTATTTGTAATGAGTAGCTAACTGACCCACTTATCATGGCTTGGAAGGCTTGTTTGCTTCAGCCCACGAGGGTAATTATTTGGAGACGATTGGCAGCTATAGTTTTGGTTTCAGAGTGTGGTTTTCACATAAACATGGCTGGCTACGTGAGCACCGCGATCTCGGACCCCTTGAGGTTCTGAGAATTTTACGAGGCGTTTCACAAGGTGTTTCACGCTTCTTGCAGACTCTTCCATCCTGACCTGCAAACTGAGCACAGGCACCGTCCTCCCACTCATCCTCAGGGTCAGGAACGAAGGACAGCTTCAGAAGGTATGCTCCCGGCATTCCAAAAATTTCACAATTGGAAGGAGCAATGTTTATGCCTGGCTGATTGCGTCCTCGTTAGTGCAGGACTCACTGCGGTTGTCACTTGCCGCGAAATTAAAAGCAAGGCATTTTATGAACTTAAGTTTTTTATGTGGTGAAAAATTCTGTACCCAATGTTCGCATCTGGCAGCATTGGCGAGGTGGTCACCATGCCATGGAGCTGGCCATAATGCTTCCTAGGTATTCTGGCCTTTAGCTGGAAGTGTTCTGTAAACACTCAAACCTCGTTATAACAAAGTTGCATCTTACATGAAAATAAGTTTGTTATATTAAGAAACCCATTATAAGGTTTATTTCTGACACTATATCTGGTGCAAACTATTTCTCATTTACTTCGTTATAACCAATATTTCTTATATCCGGGTTTGTAATATGAATGGTTGAGTGCATACAGTTGGATGCAACTTCGGAATTCCGTGGCAATTCCTCCTCAAAGGCGGATGCACACAAGCCTGCGACCAACGAGGGTGCACTCAAGACAGGCGTCTTAAGTCGGACAGTTGGTGACTTCGTTTAGGGAAACAAAGTTGAGTGCATGAGCAGGACCTTGTTTAGTCGTCGAAGTGATTGGCTGCTGCGCTTCGGTCCTTGAGCGAGGCCTCTCCAGACTTCAAAGCTTTTTTTCAAGTATAGTTAAGGATATCACATTATTTTGGCAACTAGTCTTCAGGAAATTGAATAAATCAAGGTGTCGTGCCATTAAGTTTTTTCATGGCTGCGTAAACCCGCTTGCTATTTATGTTGATTCCAATGTTTTCTGATGTGCCCGAAGTGACCACTTAGCTCCCCTTTATTCAATCAATGCGCACTGAAATTGATATTATGGCAATGTTCTTAAAGAATGTCATCTTAGAACACAGTCCTTTGTGGGTGCTGGTTAGACTTCTAACTACAGTTAGGAATATCTCAGCATATTGGCAAATACAGTCGATCCCGGATATATCAAACTCGAAGGAGATCATGAAATAGTTCGATATATGAATAATTTGAAATGCTAAATATGCATATTTAAGGCCTGAATTAAAGCATTTTAGGCCTTGGAAATTGTTACAAGTGCTAACATAACGATTCGCTTATAGTGTAATGAAGAAAAAGGTGTGAACTTCAAGTTACCTTACTTTACTTTGCACGAAAATAGTTCGTAAACTTGTCTTGGTTCTTGTGTGCCGTCAAATAGCAATCATCCTCAATATCATTGAAGCTTTTCACATAAGCGCATTCAGCTTCCTCCGGCCACAACAGCATTGATTGACGCAGAACGCCGATGCAAGCTTTGTAGCGCGGAAAAAGGTTGGTTAGCAGCGGCAGCGAAGGCGTTAGCATATTAATAAACGCACGGGTACACCTTCGCGGCTCCAGCAACGGGAGCCATGGTCTCAGCATCGATGCAGTCAGAAAGAGCTACGTCGTTATCTGCACCAATGAAGTCTCTCATTGTCCGAGATGAAGCCCGCAAACGTTGATAAGTTGCAGAATTCACTGAGGCGCCGTATGCAGTGCCATTATGACGCACCCTTAATCGTTACTTGGCTCGCAAGAAAAGTTAATGACGGCGTTTTACTTGACGGCGCTTCATGTGCCAGTAATTGTATTTATCAGGAGCGAGATAAGAAGTACACATGGCGCAAAAGGCAACGCCGAGTTCCCACCGTTGACATGTTGGGGATATCGATGTCACTTGTGGAGGCGAGTTAGACAGTCTTGTATGCACCATTTCACCACATATTACAGCACTGGTATTCTACATAATCGACTGAGGCTGCAACGACCTTTCTTGCTAAACTATTGCGTTGCATTGTCACAAGTACCCATTGCATTAGGGAGAGTTGTGGAAGTTGTGCAGGGAAGATCTACACTGGTGGATGTGAAAAGGACAAACATGCCCAAAGATTTGGCAGGGTGGTCAGTGAGCGATTGATGGTTTTAGGTTTACAGAACTTCATTCACATATTTTTTTAACACAATGTGCATGAGAAAAATTGGGACTACTATATGGCAAAACATGCAATCTGAGTTAACTAAAACATCATGCAGTTTCACATGATAATGACTTTGCAAACATTGGCATTGCGTAATCGTGCAAACCAGAAATGTATCGGAGAGGTTTTGTTATATATTAAGCATCAGGGCTAAGCCTTCACTAGTCATCTGCACTTATCCTCATAGTCCATGCTTATAAGCACCTATCTCTGTCTTTATCCCTTTCAGACGCGAATTATGATCCGTTGTTTGCAAATGTGTCAAATTTGCATGACATAATTGCAAGGCACTCAGTATTTCATTCTATGGGAAAAAAAATGAATGTTGTGTATTTGTGCCAATTCAGTAATTTACAATAATTAGCATCTAATTAAGGTGTCTAATTATTATTCAATCAGTCAGAATCAATTTTTGCATAAAAAGAATGACGTATTAGGCCTCATTGCAAGCACAGGTTGTGTTTTGGTTGCGTTCATTTCAATCAAAGAAAAAAAAAATACTCTTGATGTCAGTCCTGGAACACGGCATGTCAAACGGTCGTCGAGCATGGTAGTGTCGCCAGCAAAGTGATGCTCTGCAGCATCGCGCAGCATAAGAAAGCTAAATTACTGGTATTTGTCCTCTCAGGAAGCACGCACGAATGTGCACATTGCGTTTCAAGCCGTTTTAATAAACACACGGTGCATGAGGTGGCTCTACATTTGATGTATACAATTGTACACGCTGCCGCTGAGGGGGTTATTGTCGCCCTTGTTTGCATCCGCACCGTAGGCCTTTCATGATGCCCATAGAACTGTTTTGGTGTTGCTCACAAATGCCCTTTGTGGTTTCGGTGCCTCGGCGTTAATGCCTTTATTTCTGGCCAGGCATTCGATCCGTGGCCCAAGGACTGGTTTCGGGAGTCTCCCCTGGCTGAAGTCTGTTTCCTAGGTGGCCTCGTTTCTGGGCTCAGCGAAGAGGAACTGCTGCAGACAGACAAAGAAAACCGCACTGTACTGCTCCACGTACTGCTCAAGAGGGCGCTCATTGTTCACGAGAGGCAAGCACATCATTTGTCTATTGTGTGCATAACGAAGGGTGAAGAACCAGAGATGTGCAAATAGTAAATTTCGTTTGGAAGTGGATAGTGATTGGAGTCGAATAATTTCGAATTGAGTATTTAGACTATTAGTTATCACGTGTTACAAAAAAATGAACGCCTTTGTCTTAAGCCCTCAAGTCTCCACAGTATGTTTTGAAATTTGAACGAGGCTTTTGCAAATGTCGTTCTTTTTGGTTCAAACTGTTGTGGAAGCAACTTTCAACATTAGCAAGTTTTGAATTTCAGTAGGATGCTATTGATTTCTGGTAAAATACATTGCGTTTTAAAATTTACAATACTTAGAGCATAGAAGTGCTCGTAAATAACCATCCTCTAAACTTTTGATGTGAAAGTAATGTGGTCATTTAGCCTTGAAGTGGGGCTTTGTGGCAGTGGGAGTTTTTTTTTTTTTTTGTATTGATGTTTTCACAGCACATCGATGCTGCAGTGAAACAACGTTTACAGGAGATGCTTGCAGTGCACATGCTATTTGTTCATTTAAATTACTGTAATATTCGTTCTAATATTCTGCACTAAAATTCACCCATGCCTAGTGAGGACAATAATAATTGAAAGCACAAAGCATCTGTAGGTTTAAGTTGTGGAGCATTCATTATTGTCATTGCGATTGGTTTGTTCATTCTATGCTGTTGGCCTTATTATGCAAATTCTAAGCACTCAGGTGCATGTACTTTTTTTAGACAATGAAGAATAGAAAATATTGGGAAAGTGAATTGTAGCACAGGTTCTCATCGCCAGTTTCTTCTTTTTCTAGGTCTCGGGACTCCGGTTCCTTCTAACCTGCGTCAAAACTGTTCTTCAATTGGTAAACCGTATTGTGTAAGCTGGCCCGTGTTTTGTATTTGCCACCATTTTTGTGTCTACTGTTCGGTTTTGTAGCAGTAATGTGATGTCATAGTTGAGAACTGTGTTATTCTGAAATCCAAGCGCCATTAAAACGAAACCACCTCTCTAAAAAACCATAGATTGGCAAACTCACTCTCAAGTTTGCTCGCTCAGACTTGGGGTCTAGCCATGAATCCGGGTGTGTAATATTTTGATGAGCTTGAGCCTGAGTCAGTCTGACTAAGAAAAATTTTAGTGAGTGTGAGTCAGCCTTAAATGTTTTGCTGACTAATGCTGAAGACGTGAATGAACCTTCAGAAAATTCTCGAAATGTTTGTGCTACTTCTCTCCCTTTCTTTTCTTTTTTCATTGGTAACGTGCATTTTTTATGACTTGACATTTTTTTTTACTTAGCTCATATGTGATAATGTTTAATGTACGATACTTATGCTTCTCGGTTATTCATATATTGAAACTATATTTGAGGTTTAGTGTGACTCATTTGCCTCAAAACAGGAGTGCTTTTAAAGTGAAAAGAATAAACAGTTCGACTAGTAGAGCGTGTGTGCTTGCCAAGAGTTAGAGAGGTTAGTAGACTTCTAGTTTAAATTATTACAAGCGTCTCAACCTTGACAAAGCTTGTAGTGGATGCAGACATGAATGAAGATTGCAAGTGCAGTCTGCTTTAAAAGGTGCCATTTGTGTGTGTAGCTTCTAGCGTTGATTTGCATAATCTGGCTTATAAAGGTGCAACTTTCTCATGCTGCTGTGCCCATTTTTTGTTTTTTTGGCTTTGCACAGCTACAATAAGAAGTGAATATCAAGCAGCCGTAGCTGTGTTATTATGTTTAACATTAATTCACTGTAAGAAAGCGAGGGGATTGGAGAGCAATTGAGGGTAGTTGATGCTCTAGTTCACTTTAAAATGAATAAGCAGGCAGATTGCGCAGTGCACAGAACAGATAGTGGTTTTCTGTACGCAAAAGCAAGGGATGTACATTCATAGTTAGCAGCTGACTAGCCGGGGATCCAATGAAAATTCGGAAACTAGCTTGCATAAGGCAGAGTTGTTTATTCCAGTGAGACGGTCAATTCAACAAAAGATTCTTTCATCCTGCAAAAAATTTTAAATGTGCATATGATAATGTTGAACGAGATGAGCATGCATGGTGTTTCAGCTAGCTTGTACCAAGTGCATATTTTAATTTTGTGGGCTCTAAAGAAAAGCTGAAAGACGTTGAAACAGGGCATTTATCTTAGCACTAATGAAATAATTAGACTTTGCTGGACAAATGCCACAGGTTTTCTATTGAATGTTTTTGTTTGTTCAAGAGTAACTATTTTGCAGGTAAATTTTAAGGTTTTTGCTCAATAACATATTTATTAAGGAGAATAATTAATATATGTTAATTGCACATGTTGGATTGGTTGTTAGCATCGATAAAATATTCAGCAGTTTCAGAACAAGTGCTGCAGCTTTTGTATTCTACATTTCTTTATAAAGCTAATATTTAAAAAGTTGATGAATTGGTGATTGTTAATAATCCAGCTTGGCAGATTGGATTAAATGTTGTGATGTGCTGCTTATGGCTCAGAACATTACTGAGTGCAAACTAATGGGAACTAGTTTTTCTTCAGGGTCTCGTTTCTGCTATGCTTGGAATGAATGTGTGTACATACCAAAACATGCCCACTTAACCACCATTGAGTGGAAGCCTTATGTACACTCAAACCTCGATAATTCGAACCGGGATACATCGTAATATTGATTATAACGAATCAAATGAGAGATACTCTTGCAATAGAGACATTGTTAAGAATATATCTTTATAATGAAACTTTAGATATAACGAACCTGTCTTCGTGCAAGATGTAACTTTGTTATAATGAGACTTGAGTGTTTAATCACTGTTTGTGGGCACTCTCTTTTTCCAGGCAACTGCTCAAATCGCACAACGTACGCCATGTTGCTTTCACGAGGAAGCTGCTCTGTGAAAGGCACGTGGCAACAGAGCCACTTCTTCGCTTTGTGTGGTCCTACTGGGAGCACTATGTTGATGTGAGTCATTGCCTGGCTGCAAACTTTATTGAAAAAAAAAAAAAAAGAATTGGTGCAAATTTAATAAACAACATACGAGATTAAAATATTGTAGTGCTTTTTAAAGTGTTCCTGTGTAACTGTGTTGACAGTGTAAGCAGTGACTTGCTTTTTCCTTCTTTAATGTTGGTATAGCTTGTGTTCCGTATATTTATATTATTCTTGTGAGACTAGTGTGTTTGTAATTGAAACTCAGGTGAGTAAGTGATGAATTTTTTAAAACATGGGAGGGGTTTTCTCTATTCATGTGTCTTGGAGTGTAAATGTATGCACACGTGAGCGCCACTTTTTTTTTCTTATCTCAAGGTAATTTCCAGTGTAGGTTTGTTGTTATTGTGATAGTATATTGTTCCTGCATTATTTCACTGCACGTTATTCCTGCATGCCATACGTAGTAACATATTAATTACTACTGCAGCAGTAATAATAATATTGATTCTGTGATGTGCATGATCATACAGCCGGCGTGTTGCCGCTGGGGTTCAGTCAAAGTGGTTAACATAAGTGTAAATGTCTGTGTGCATGACACGCCAGCATAGACTTATTGAAATTGCATGTGTGTAATTTGCCAGCTCTGCTCGTTATCGAGAGACATTCTTTCATTATCTAGGGTTCATACTTAACTAGTTTAATTTTTGCAATGCCATTATGCTCAACTTAAACACCAGTGGGATGTTCTCGCGATTGAGTGTTTCTGAGAAGACTGTGTTCTTCTTCATTGGTGCTCAGGCGGTAAGCCAACATGCCAGGCTGATCTTCAGAGGAATTGTTGACATGAACATCCTGCTAGCATCAAGTAAGTTTTCCAGACAGCTCTTGTTTTCTGCCGTGCTTTGAATGCTCCAAGACCAATGATGCTCGTTTGACTGTTTTACTAAGCAGTAACTATATCACAGGTATGGTGGCGTACAACATGATCGAGCTTAGTCAATTTTATTGCTTATCGTAGTGTTCACAAAATAGGAAACAGCATATACTGTGATGAGTGTTAAACTGTATTCAGGCACTTACACACTCCATAATGATGTTCTAGACAGCAAAAGCTTACAAGCAGACTAGAAATTCGTCCTGCTGTGGAGTTGGAATCGAGAACCGAGTCATTTCTAGTGTAAGTGCTTTGAATTGTCAAATAATTTGCCCTCACATTGTAATATTACAGCCACCTAATCAGCTCAGATGGTTGAATGACTACCACTGGAAGGTGTTGGTCACGGGTTTGAATCCCGATTCATACATTTTTCATCATCTAGGAAAATTTGGATGACAGAAAGTTGTGCTACTTAGTAGTTATTTATTACAAGAAGAAATCATAGAGACACCAAAGAAGGAGCCGCGCAGCATTTATGTCCTTCTGAAAAGTCTGCGTGGATATCCCTTGTACAGTGGGACCCCTCCAATAGGTTTTCTACGTAGGTCAAGGGGAGAGGAATTCACACTAGCCGTGTAAAGCTTAACGGAACAGGTTACTTAAAGACGCTTCTTTTTTTTTTTTCATATTCACGCTAGAGCATTGAAACTTGAGTTGTAAAACTTTTTATGTTGATTTCAAATATATAGTTTTTTTGCAAGTTGCATACTTTTGGTTCTGCAACATGACAAAGTGACTTTGTTTCATTTTGGTTTTGCCCCCCCACCCCCTCTTTCCATCGTTGTTCAACTTCCGTAATTTTTTACCATTGATAGTTCATAATGTTTCAAATAAAGTGTAGATTGCAGAAAACTAGTTGGGAAGTGCATACAAAATATGTAATAAATGTGGAAAACAATAGATGTGAGAAGGTCTATATTTCTCCTATCCTACTAAAACTTTACAAGTAAATTGTGAATTGTAGTTCAGCAACTCCAACATTGATTTCTGTGACTTAGATTACGGGCAGGATACGGAGTTTGCAAAACCAATGAACTGCACTTACTTGTTTTGTACGTGCTAACTCACCCGTTCTGCCCAGGAGACTCCCAGTTTCTGACCTGTCTTTCTTATTGTATGGCCAGGGTCATAAAGCTCTCAATGAACTGCTTCTACCCAATTAAAAAAGATACAGTTAAACAAAATCTAGTGATTAAAGCAATTTATATGACACACACACAAAAAAAGAGGGTGTGGGGGACTGTTTACACACCCTGAAAGGTTAGCTGCTGGCCACTGTCATTTCCTTTCACCACACAAACACAAAAACACCTCAACCGCTGACACTTGCCGACACAGCCCCCATCTTATGACCCAGTTTGGAGAAGGCACAGTAACTGTAGTAAGGCTGGAGTGCTTTTGTAGTCACATTGCAGGCCTGTTTGAAATGTTTCAAGGCCACAACTCACGATTTTAGAAGTGCCTAGGCTGGCAAGCGTGTTAAAATAATGTCTATTGCAATGGAGTTGGCTTGCAGATGTTGACCATCAAAAACTTGGGAATTGAAAGTAAAACATCTTGTGCATGTCCCGCTCTGTAGTGTGAACAGCCGTAGACATCAAGGAAACTAAAAATGCCCCTTTTTCTATGAATTTTGTAGTGCATGGGAACGCATAAGCGTTGTTGCGTGCTACAAAGTGGCTAGATACCAGGTTCTATAAGAAGGGGACGATAAAACCTTAGGACGGGAAAATCTGCAAGAACTGGAGTTCTGTGCTCAAGTCGGTGTTTTCTCTTCGAGGTTGAAACAAGCCTTGAAGAGAAGTCCACTTGACGAAACGTCGACTCAAACACACAACTCCTGTTTATGTATTTTTTTCATCAAAATGGGGAGGTGGTATTTTTTTCTTTTTTTTTCTTTTGCAAACACAGATTGCTATGCTTGAAGCATGCAGTGACTCAGTAGACTGCTTGCTTTTAAGTTAAGGGAAGCTGCGAAAACCATGCTGTCTTTCGTGTTCTCATTTCCAGGTGAACAGGAGGCGCGTGCCTTCCTGGAAGAGTCGGCCGTCTTCCTGATCGACCTGCCGTGGCACCGCAAGGGCAAGTACGACACGGTCGCCTACCTGGCCGAGGTGATGGGCTGCTCGCCATTGCTGCGGCTGAGGCCAGCGCTGGTCACTAGCCTCCTGTCGGCTGCCGAGGAGCCCACCATGTGCTCATACGTGAGTGTCCTCTGTGCTCGCATTGCTCTTCGAGCTCGCACCACTATTTCCAGAGTGAGATATTAGAAGGCAGTGAGATCCGCCGGGGCTAGTGTGCTCTAGCCTGCTACTCTACACCGGGGTCAAGGGAAGGGGGAAAGACAGAGGGCTGAAGGATGATGATGATGGGGACAAGATGAGGTGGTGCATATGTACAGTAGCCACTTAGCATAGTACCCTAAAGCTTAGTATCCAGTTGAGTGCTTTTGATGCAGTCTAAAACAGCCCTTGTAGCAGTTTCTGACGCTGTTTGGTCACACATTGCTCACAAAATGTGTTGACAGTACCCCTCTCTCTCTGTTTGTGCCCTCTATATTCTTTGTCAGGTTGCTTGTTTGACAGATGATGGGTTAAATTAATGGATTATCTCTTAACAAACATCAACAGTTATGTAGCCGTGAAGGCTGTGCGGTAACAGTAGCCTTGTAGTTCGTCGTGGTGGTGTAACGGTTAACAGTACTGTTGGCCCCAAGGCTGCGGGTTCTATCCTAGTCGTGGCAGTAACATTTCAATAAAGGCGAAATGGTAGAGAGGACCGTGTACTGTGCGATGTCAGAACACCAAATGACCGAAATTTCAGAGTACTCCACTTCGGCGTCCCTCATAATCACATCACGGTATTGGAACGTAAAACCCGAGATATTATATAATAACTTTGTGAAACAGTACTGTGTGATGTCGGTGTATGTAAAAGAACAGCAGATGGCCGGAACTTGAAGAACTCTCCACTACTGCGTCTCTTGATATATTATCCCGCAATAACTTCAAGAGACAAGAGTTGCCCCCTTTCCTGACCCAGTTTTACGTCGAGCAATGCCCCCTTCTCCTGAATCATGCGGCTGGATCTGCTGCTGATGAGCACAGAGGCTTTATAGTTGTTTTGTAGTGCTGTAATGAGCATTTCATTGATAATTGCAATAGCAAGTGCAAACAGCAGCTGAGGATCATGTACACTCAAACCTTATTACAACAAAGTTGCATCTTACACGAAAATAAGTTCGTTATATCCAAAAATTTGTTATAAATGTATATTCCTAACACTGTACTTATCGCAAGACTATTTTCATTTACTTCGTGTTATAACCAATATTTTGTTATACCGTAAAAACCCGCGTATAGCCCGGGGTTTTTTTTCTAAAAATTAGGTTGCGAAATTTCAGCCCCGTACTATATGCGGATCCCAAAAAAAAAGTTTCGGCCCGAATTCAGTTTTGGTTTCGGCATTGGTTGGTGCTATCATCATTATCAGGTGTCTGCGCACTTCTACGTTAGGTGGCGTGGTAGCGTGAGCGGCGTTAGTCCTAGAGACCTACAGGTACAGGCGTGCATCAGGCGAGCAACAGTGGCCATTGCAATCACTTGGCACACATCACGACGGCCACGATTTTACTTCCGTGATTTTAAGCCATGTCGGGACCGCGCAGGCAGTACTCGGCTGCCTTTAAGAGGAAAGTTATTTCTGCTGCCGAAACCATCGGCAACTGTGCCGCGGAGCGGCAGTTCGGCGTGAATGAGCGGAGCATTCGCGGTTGGCGGAAGCAGAAGGAAGCCCTTTTTGCATGCTGCGGCAAGAGAAAAAGTTTCCGGGGAGCGAAAAATGGAGCATTTCCAGACGTGGAACGAGAACTGACGGACTTTGTTCGGGAGCAACAAGCTGCACAACTCGCTGTGCACATCGAGCTGCTGCAGGCAAATAAGTGCATTTTTTCTGTTTTCCTCGAACAATATTCGCGTGAAAATGTTTTTTCTCGCGTTTGCTATCCCCGAGTTATACCTCGAACTATACGCGGGTCCGAACTATACGCGGGTTTTTACGGTATTGCCACGTTTCATTTCCCAAGTTTTTTATCGTCCCAAAACACTGCACAATTCTCAGCGCAAACCGCGCCTGCAGTTTTTGAGAAGCTTCCGGACTGTAATAGATCATTTCGATAAGATCACGCGCACTCTGCAAACGGTACAGATTATTCTGGAACCTACGCCACCACCAGCGATAACGCTAGAACATTCGACGGCAAGAGTATAAATGCCGACGCGCTTCGCCGCTTGTCAGTATTTGATCGACGGCCGACGCTCCGTTCGCTGCTATCAGTCCAAGACTGCTACTGTAATCGGACTTTCCGTTTACCGGGCACAGGTTTGCCCAAATAAACAGTTAAATCCAACGCAAAGTCTTCTGTCTTTGGCCACGTCACGACCCCGTGACAATATCCAGGTCGGTTATATCGAGGTTTGAGTGTATCATCACAAATTCTTGAATCTTCGGAGCTGGAGCATAGTGGGCACGTATCGAGGTTTGAGTGTATTATCACAAATTACTAATCTCTGGAGTTGAAGCACGTTGGGCACATTGACATTTTGGCGGGTTTCCAAAATGTCAATTTGCTTTAAGAATATTTCCAATGGTTTCACAACTTATCACGAGTTCACAGTTGTAGCTGCTCTGAGATATCACTGGAATTATAATGACACATTGCAGTGTTACTTTAGCAATGCTTCAGATTACGAGATCATTTTTTTTTTTTTTTTCATCTTCAAGGTTAAAGACTTGGTGCAGAAGTTAGCGTCGTTACATCGAAAGGAAGTCTGCACAGCTGAGTTTGAGCGTGCCTGGCTGGCGCCATTTTCCATGGCCACCAAGAAGCATTCCAGAGAGCTGCTTGTACCTTTGTTTCAGGTGAGGGTTGCCCTGAATACTTCAGCCTGAATTTCTGCTAAGTTTTGCTACACACATTATCATTGTAAGTAGGCTTGTGCCAGTATTCAAATGAATAATACAGTATTTGAATTCGCTGGAAATTTAATTTAAATGATCGAAAATTTCAAAGTATTCAAGGCAAACTAATATATATACATTAGCTTCCACCTAACTCTTTGGAAAAGTGGTTTCACTGCATCAGAGAAGTGCTAAACCATGCAAATGTCTTTCTAGACGTAAAATAGTTTGCATGTAACTCCCTGTAAAGGTGGTTTTGCTGCAGTGAATTAGTGATAATCCAAGAAAACATTTACTCAGGGGAAATTTGTACTGCCACGAAGCCCCACTTCAAGGTTAAATGAACATATTACTCTTACATCGATTCATCATTTGTGGTGTTTCAAAGCCTCTCACACTAGCCTATAGGTTCTAAGTATAGTAGATATTAAAACATAAGATATTTTACAGGTTATCGCTTGCATTCTACAGAAAGTAAAATGCTGCTTCTATTTAAAGTTGTTTTCACTTCGTTTGAACCGAGAAGAATGGCATTTGCACAAGTACTTTTTTCAATCTTTGAAAAAAATTGTGCCGGTTGGTTGGGTGATGCCAAATGTACTCATTTTTTCTTTATAATATGTTATATCATAGGTTCAAATTTGATTCGAAATTGTTAGACTAAAATCGCCATTCGCTTCAAACCTAAAATTCACTATTTTCACAAGCCTAGTTCTCAAAGTCAAGTATCTTCAAAGCAAGTACTAATTGCTCTTCTGGTGTGTTCTCGTGATCGAATGAAGCTGCGACGCAGTGCCTGCGATGGCCAGCGGGGATCCAAAAGATACGGGCACGATTCTGGCCACAGCAGCTGCATTTCAATGGAGGTGAAACGCTAAAAGCCCCCGCAGTGCACAGTGTCGGTGCACGCTAAAGAACTCCAGGTTGTCGAAATTGTAAGGAGACCTCCGCTGTGGCATCTTTTGTAGCCTGAGTTGCTTTGGAACATTAAATGCAACGAAACCAAACCATTTGTGACAATAGGACGTTACAAATGTGTAAATCCGATTCGAAGCTGATCACAGCATCGGCATGCAAGTGAAAGCTAGCATTGTCCTTATATTTCTTGTTCTGAAAACTATTCATACTGATCTCAACGCTTCAGTAAAATATAATAACAGAAGAGGCTGAGATGTTGAATATATACGTTTGATTTTTCTGACGGAACGATGTGTACCATCCTGGCTAAATTGATGTCACTTCGCAAAAGCTGGCTAGAAAATTTTAAACTAGCTTGATTCAGTTTCTCGTGCATTCAGTTGTTTATCCGAGGCGACGTTGAAAAGGCTGAGCAGAGATTTATTGGCAGTACATTCTTTAGGGGAGGCCTTGGAGTAAATGATTCAACATAAAGCACCATTCTAATGCACAGCAGCGCAAGTTGAGCGAGCCAAGTGTGGCGATGCTGCTAAAAGGGAGACACGTCTTCTCAAGGCCTAGTTTGTTTATAGCGAGACTGGGGAGCTTATGTTACTAGCCTTTTGAAACTTATTGTTTTTGAATATTTTTTGTTCATGTTTTTTTTGCAGCATGTTCTGCCTGTTCTCACTGCCATCCACCCTGGGACTACTCAATATGTATTTGGCAAGCTTTCCGAAGACAGGAGTAAGCATTCATTGCCATTACTCATCTTACCTAACTGAGAAGAATGCTAAGTTGAATTGACTGGTACCGTATCTACTCGAATCTAGGCCAACCGCGACTCCTAAGCCGACCCCCAGAAGTCCAAAGCCCGGAAATAATAAATAAAATTTAAAACTTACCTCGTATGTAGATTGAACAAAACAGCGAAAGGCGGCGTTCACAAAGAGAAAACATTGATTGAACATGAAGATGAAACAAAGTTGGTACATAATGCAAATAACTTAAGAGATACACAGCGCTAATCCTGTTGTGTGCGTTTTTTTTTGTCATAGTTTTTTTCGCGACTGCTTCTAGCTGTTTGCATCATAATGATGCCGCGCTCATTCAGAGTCATTGTTGCTGTCTTCTTTGTCATTGTCTTCAAATGGTGCGCAATCATCGATGCCATCAAGCGCATTAGATTTGCCACTCTTCATAAAAGAACACACAATCAGAGTTCACGGGCTGTCGTCCCACGCTGCAGCCCTTTAGTGACGCACATTTTTTTCTTTTTTTTTTTTTCGCCCACTCCAAAGTCCCGCTCGGCTTAAACATTGGACGATGACTCTGCAGCTAGGACAGCTTCCCTTTTATAAGTGACAGTATAATGACATAGCCTGTTTGGTGCCATTGAGCTATGCCACACGCAGACCTTTCGAAGTGTGACTTGAAATGACTAACGAATCGCCTCAACACTCGCCACGAAAATCGAAATTGTGGCCTCATGTGCGTACTTGGGCTTGGCTACTAATGGCTATAATACAGTCTAGGTCGAGCTAGTTGTGCACCACTTTTCTCAATGAAAAATTGCGCGTTTTTCGAAATCCTAAAATCTAAGCCGACCCTGGAGTTTGATGCAAATAAATTTGAAAAAAACATCGGCCTAGATTCGAATAAATACAGTAAATGTTACAGTTAGTGTTTACCTGAGCACACAACAGCAACAGTACACCTTCAGTAAACCGAATATTTTAAACAGAACTGCTGCTTTAGTAGTGGGACAACTGCCTCTAACATGATTGGTTTCATATTTGAATTCTACACCCCCGTTCATATCCCAGTTAACAAAATTCATGTTAATTGGAACATATCTTTCCTAATCCCTTTAGGCTCTTTAATGAGGTTCAGTTATACATTCACGTGAGGTAAGTCTGATGTTTTGTTTCTCAATAAGAACCTCATAATGTGTGATTTCGCTGAGGCATAGCTTAAATAAAATTCTTCCTTGTGTATATACCATGCAGCTATTGTTTACACAATGAAGTGTTATTCACAAGTGCACAACTTCTTGTTTTTTTTATATTGTCATGTCATGTATAACAAGCATTCGCAGGTGAATTGGCACTAATGTTTTTCAAGACTTTGCCTTTTTTTATATACCATTTGATTACGGAGACAGAAATTTATTTTTTTTTTCGTAATATGAAGCTGCGTGCCAACAACACTGCGTGTCATCTAGTTACTGCAAAGGACCAGTAGTTATATCGTTGAGTGTGTGATGCGTGAAGACAATAGGTTGGCAAAAAAATTACAGCATATTCTCGTGGTGAATGATGGAGAGCTGAGCGAAACTGGGTCCTAAAGCTGCTGCTGCGCAGCTTCGCAGCGTCATGCCCGCATATCGAGGTTCCTTCTTCCAGTGCCAGCCGCCGCCGCCCTGCGCACGCGCCGCTCAGCAGCCTTGTCCATTCTCCATCGCCGAGCCTCTTAATGCGTGCATGCGCCAAAACGGCACTTTTATTGTATTATAGAGCGCCCCCTGGCGTACGGCGTCGCTGAAGAACACGTGATCGTAATCGTGCGATCGTCTCTTTCTCCTTCCGTACGTGTAACGTCAATCCTTCTTTGCTACAAGTAACGCCCTCTAGTGTCGTACCATTTGCATTTTTATGTGTATAGTACAAGTACCGCCCTCTATGGCCGGTTCAAGAATTAACGAGGGGTGGTTACCCACCACGTGGACTCAAGCCTTGCCATAAGGAGCTTCGCCCCTGAAAAAAGCAAGACTGGACAAGCAGGGTGAAAACTTGACATGCAGTAGGCTCTTACTAAATAGAAATCTTTAAACAAAATCACTGCATTATTGGAACAACAATGTAACTTTGATGTGATTGGTGTTCTACTCCAAATGTTCACCTCTCTTCATCTCTTACTAAATGGCACTCCTGTCAAACAGAAAACTTATTTTGCTTACCGTTTTAGGTTAGTCTATGGTATAAACTATGCAGAAGCCAAAAGCGGCCACATACTGCCACACTAACCCAGTTGAGTCATCACAAGGGCTGTCCCTAAAATTACTTCGAGTGCATTTAGCTGTGCTTTTGCATAGCACAGTGTTGTTTTCGAAAACCAGTAAGCAGTTACATAAATTGCCAAAAAGAAGTGTTTGTCATATTGCAGACATGTTCACATGATTTATCATTTATATCTCTTTTTTTGTTTCTATTGCTACCTGTCAAAACATGTTACGCCAGTTGGGTCATGCATGATGCAAATGTTTACAGAGCAATTGAAGGCAAAACAAAAGTACGGATATGGGATGGCCTCTGTTAGTGTTGTCATTTACACCCTCAAAAATGTGTCGTCCTAGCAACCACTTTACATGGTTAGAACAACTAAATGTGACTGCAGGTGACTTTGTCCCGGCCACACTGAAGTGTCTCCTGCTTGACAAGGCACTAATCGAGTCCGGCAAGCTTGAGCGATGGCGTCATGTCCTTCTGCAAGGGATGTCCCACAGGGACGTCCAGGTAAAATGGAAACTCTGTTACTGCTTCATTAGTTGTTTTTCTTTAAAGAAGGTAGTTAGTAGTGCTAATTAATTTATGCCACACATTAGTCAAAATCACTTCAAGTTCGCCTGCCACCACAATCTTGTGCAGTAAAATCTCGGCGATATGAATGTCATGTTGTGATGTTAAAGCATGTGGGTGGAACATTGGAAGCTAACTATCAAACTGATAGCTTTAAAGGACCCCATTGCTGGGCTCTAAGCTTGCTCATTACAGGGAGTTTAAGAGCAAAAATTAAGTGTGGACACACATTGCAGCACAAGCACTAGCTTGCAACTGCCTGATATGCGGATTACCATGTAGCCAGTGTTGAATCAGAAAATTATATTGCAAATGAAATGTTGCTTATGAAAGGGAAAGATTGTCATGAATTATGCAGCTTTTCACAGAACTGAGGTGCAAACATCAATATTCAGATGTTGCATATGATCATCATGTTGGTTTAGGTTGGCCGGTTAGTCTAATTAATAAGAGGCAATTTTAGCGTAGAACTAAGATTGCAGGTTTCTGACTGGACCAGATGAGCCCCTACTTGGTGGGTACTTGAATTGCGCATCCCAGTTCATTTGTTAGTAAACAAAACTCCTGTTAAAGGGAACATGTTTTCCTGGTCACATCAGGTTCCTTAGTAAGTATGGTCTACTGTAATTGATTGAAAGCTTGCGCTTCGGTTTCATTGGTTCTTGTTTTTGGCTTAGGTGCGTCTTGACACCCTGCAACTGCTCACGGAACATCCCAAATCCTGCGAGCCCGTGAAACCACTGTGCCTGCAGCTGTTGCGCTCCTTCCTGCATCTCAACATAAACATGCAAGGCGCGCCATTCCGGCAGCAGATGATCTCCTGCTTCAAGAAGGTTGGTCCACTACTTCATAGCTTGTGCAAGTGCTATCTGTCATCCCTGTTCCGTTGCAAAGCAAACTAAAATTGAATAATATCATTTCTTGCACATACAGATTAAAAAATAAATTGGTAAGTGCTGATACTGCATTCTTTTCAAATTATAAGATGAGTCACGACATGCCCAATGCATTTCCCTGAGACGACTCAAAGATGAGTCATCTTCTCTTTAGATGCGAAGCAGCTTAGGGTCGAGCTCAGTCAGTTGTGCGGTGTAACCTCCCTTACTGCGCATGCGCATCTGCTCCCCCCTCTCCTCTCTGACACTGCCCCCTCTCTCCCCTTTAACACCGACGCAAGCAGCGTCTGCAAGCGAGTTTCTTGATTGAAAAAAAAAAAAAAAAAAACAACTTCTCAGTTCTCGCGTTGCACGACCGTTCCATTCACTGGTCGCTACGTATACAGTCGACGTCCGATTTTCCACTCACTCAAAGGAACACGAAAATGTATAGAAAATTGGGTAGTCCGGAAAAACGAATGCACGTGAAAGGGCACCTTTTTTTGCAGGTATTTTTCGCAGATGGAGAGATTCATGGCAGGAGGACGAGATTCTTGTTGCAATCCAGTGAACGCATCATTTAGGTGGCCTGAAAATAGCCATATATTAAATAAAAAAAGAACAATAAAAGGAAAAAAAAATTTGACGTGGCCGGCACTACCTCAATGTGAAGTCCTTGGCCCAAAAAGTGGCTTATTTTCCTTTGCACAGCGTTCTGCTTGCCCACAATGATATCTGCCTCAAATTCAGCTAAGGTCATGCTGTCGATGTGCACCGATGACAGTGTCGTCCGTGCTTGCGTCCACTCCAAGCTCGTTGGCCACGTAGGCACTGCCTCTTCGATCTCGGTGTCGAAGTTGTTGGCATCGGTCAATTCCGCACACAGTTCGAGGTCTTTGTCAGTGTCGGCAAAGCCCTTAAAGGTTACCCTGGCTGGAATAAAAATTCCGGCAGCTTGCAGATCATTGAAGGCAACGTTCCTGGATAGAAGTTCGTCACACACAGACTGTCCACTCTGGTCAAGGCTGCTTTCTCAGCTATTGAGCTAGAAACTCAGTGACTTCTGAAGATTGGGAAATGTCAACGCTGAAGATAGTGCTTAGCAGCACACCATCTACCGCATAGCTGACAATAATACATGAACGAATGCAGCATGGAGGAAGGAAAGCTGATAAGAGGCCCTCGTAATGGGAGCTGCAGAGCGAAAAGTGTGCTGGAATTCACGTGCTTTTGCAGGGAAGTTGAGGGATTTCGTGGTCACACCGGCTTCTCGTGTCTGCATCACCCCTCGTATAACCGCGTGGTTGATAACCGGCTGGAGTTTTGAATGTGCATTTTTATGCAGCTGTTGCACTTCAAAGATGTTACAATGTGTTGGAAGCCTACAGTGAGCACTGGTTTTCACGGTTGCGAGTTTAGTTTATACCACTTGAGGTTGAAAGCAGTCGTTTTCAATGCTTGCGAGCACTTCTTCGTAAATGGTTGGTGCCGCAGCTTCGCTGTTTTCCTTCGGCACTGTGCTGATTCGTACCTCAACAAAGCAAGCCTAAAATTCTAAAACAGAAGCGGCAGCGCCTACGGCTCTTAATGGGGAATGCGGCGGTGAGCCGTTCTCGTGTACGACGGTCACAACTATTGTAAAGCAGTACGGGGCCCACTGTTGTCACTGGAGCTTGCCGAGTCAAAAATTAGACATGCCTGACACAGTAAGGTGATTTATTGTTTGAATTATTGCATTATGTTTATGCTTTGTGTGCGGTAACCTAATCTATGGCCAAGTTTTTTTTTTTTTTTTTTTCGATATGGTCGCAGCCGACCGACCTGTGCTGCTGCGAACGATACTTGTGTGCACGTATCGTGGCACACATGGGCAAAGAATGATTCGGAGGTGCTTCATCTGGCTAAATATCAAGACAAATCAAATGCAAATTCATTGTTACATTATGTTCTGTACCCCGAACTTATTGAAACAGCCTGTCGTGGGAAGTATCTGGCCGATTCGCACTGTTGCTCTCTTCCATTCAACGCATTAAACACGAAGTGAAAAGCCGCAAGTTTATTGTAGATTCACAATATGAGCCGTAATGAGGCTGCGAATGGCACACAGGCACTCCACAAGTGAGTATCACAGCACGTTAGCTCATAATCAGCACAAAAGTTTCACTTTTTCATCTCGTCAGTGCCACCTGGCTCTTCCGAAATCAGCTTGCCTCTCTGCTTCTGGCGCACGTTCTTGAGCCGCTGAAGCGCGACCAACATTGTGAGGAGGAGTCCCCTAATCTTCTCTCCTACCGGCTTCACAAAGTGTGACGTAAGATTGACCAAAGACTTCACTAAGCTATGGCCGGCAACGGATTGGTATGCGCTAGATCGCGTCAATTGCGGTTTCGAGGGTACGACAGCCGCGACCAATGCATTGCCATGACGCATGCGTGCAATGTGAGTATAGTGGGTTAGACTGTATGAAAACAACTAAAATGACGGCATTGATAATAATAATAATAATAAGTGATTTATTTCAGACACAGAGTAAATGTTGTATGGCAAGGCAAAGGCAGAAAATTGTTTGCCTAACTAAGGCCTCGCCACTCATACATTGCTCCAACAGTGCGGCAGCAAAGAATGATGGTGACTTTGAGTCTGCCGTTAGTGGCAAAAGTCCGGAAATTTCTGACTTTTTTAATAGATTGACTTTATGGAGAACTTGATGGGGGCGGAGATGAGTACGGGATATTATGCTTGTCTGGAACTTCGGTCATTTGGGAAATTGGATATTGACTGTATATGGGCTCTGGATCTCGATATCCAAGGTGGTGCTCCTGGGAGATTTCTCCTGTGCATTGTTGAACAATAAAAATCCACAGCTTGCGCTATTAACTAAAAGCGGACTTCCGGTCTCTGTGTCTAGTCGGAGTCTTCTGTCTTCCATTGCCCATTAGCAGCAACTGGCATGTTCTATGGTAGGAAACTCCGGTGCATAACTGGGTGCTTTGTGCGACCCCTGGTTTCTCTTCTGTGTAACGTCGCAATGAGCGTCAATGTCGCCATCAGTGTAAGTACTAGCACCCGCTGCTTTGCATGTGCACATGGTTCTTTTTAGCGAAAGGTGGTGTCATTTTTATTCTTCGTTGATTCTTTGATCTCCCACATTCCCTAAGCTTTTTGCATCTCATGTTGTTTTGCAGTGTCTTTGGGATCGACCAACCTTTGACGTACAGATGACTTAATATGATGTCATGTGATTTCATGATTATATCCCTAATTTTGGCAAGCTGTGCTGGGATCACATTACTTCTTTGCATCCCTCGTGTTGATTCCAATAGTCACTTTTTCGATTCGATAAGCCATTTATGTCCATTAAAATTGACCAGTACCTTTAAAGCACCGAGTGGGCCCTTGTCGTGATGAACTTATGTCTAATTCATCTATTTGGAGATGACAAAAAGTTATCAAGTATGGTAACTCAAAAAGCTGTAAACAGACTGCTGAAAACCAATCTTAGTTATGTAATCAGCAGAACAAAATTGTATCTGTGTGCCATATTTGGTCAGTTTATCCCAATAAATGTCAAAAATTGTTATTCTCAATTCTTCGTCATGTAAGCAGCCAACGACCGCTACGCTTTCTTTCTTGCAACTGCTGCAGGTGTTGAGCAGGGTCTTTGACAGCAGCACGCTGCTCAACCGGCAGCTGAGGAAAGGAGAGTTGCCCGAGGAGCAAGCACAGCTCGTTCCACCACAACTGGAGGCTCATAAGGTGGGTGAGATTGACGGCGCCATTTTCTCTAGGTGGCAAACAATGGGGACCCACAGGGGAGGCAACCTCTGACAACAGTAGGTTTGTGCGAGCACAATATAGTCGCATAGTTGAACGGTTATCACAGTGCAGTAATACCTCGTTAACTCAAAGGTGTAAGAACTAGGGAAAATCTTGAGATAAATGGATTTTTGAGGTGAGCAAGGTTGCGCTAAATGCTGGGGAAGATGAGTGCTTTTCAGAAAAATCACTACTACTTACCGACTCTCCAACGGCAGTTTTTAATCTTTCTGCTTGTGCAGGTTTCAAAAAGCAAAATATAGCATACGAGAGACTTGAGCCGGCTATGTTTCGCCAGTTCAATTTACAAGGCCTGAGAGTCTGTCTTCTCCATCATTCTTGCTGTGGTGACGGGAAGGTTGGCCACTCTGTCATTTCTAGGAACTTCCACCCTCACACCCGCTTCCGCTGGCTGGAGGAGCTCCGCTGGAATCCATCCAGCACCTTCTGCTTGTTTTTGAGCACTGTCAAAAGCGTTGATAAAGGGATGCCGAATTCCTGCACAATGATTAATTTCGTTTGGCCTCCTTTCTCCACCTCCTTAATTAGGGCAATCTTTTTCTTTAGTGTTAGTGACTTGCACTGCTTTGACGCTTATGCTTGCCACTTTCACGCTAAGTTGACGCAAGGAAACTGTCAGGCCCTACATTTTTAGGTTCGCTGTTGTGTTCCATTAAGCTGCTATGTAACGTAAATAAAGTTTTTGCTGAAAGCGAGTGCTGTACGTCATCGCATGCCTCCTTTCCTGTGTGTCCTCACCTATGAGCCTACATTGGAACGCTTACTGATCTACTGTGTCCACCACTTCAACCATTTGACTTCCGTCTCTGTTTCCACAGGAGTTTGTGACCTGGCTGCATGGAATGTGCATGGAGCAGCTTTTCCCAGGAGCCAACTTTGGCCGCCGTTTTACAGCACTCGCGATCCTGGAAGTCCTGGTCACTGTTCATGCTTCAAAAGGTCAGCCGGCTTCGGCTTCGTAATGTTGAAATTTTGAGTACCGCAGCGCCTGGTGTCATGCAAGTTAGTTACAGTGTAATCATTCAGTTAAGCCCACGTAAGCATAAGGATGGGATGGTGTGCATACTGTAAACGTTCTCAACGCATGACCAGTGTCATTCCACCTGAAAGTGCTCAACCATTGTACTTTGCTAGTTCTCACATGAGGCAGCAGCCTAGAGAACAGTAAAGAAACTTGGTCAGCTATGAACCATCCAGCATTAATTAAGTTTTACTAAGAGATAGGAGAACAATAGAAGGAATTGGGGAAGAAACAGGGATAGCTGATATTCTGGTAATAAGATGAAAATACTAAAACGGACCTGGGCAGGTCCTGTCATGTGAAGGACAGCTAGCCAGTGGTCAGTCAGGAAGTGGATACCAAGAGATGAGAACCATGGCTGTGGACAACAAAGGGTTAGGTGGAGTGAAAAAATTAAGAAAACTTGAAGGCGTAAAAAAGTAGAATCAGTTTGCACCAAACAAGGTGGATTAGAGATCACTGGGAGAGGCTGCAGTGGACAAAGATGATGAATTTGGAATGACAATAATGATATATGAGTGGCTGTTTTGCATTCTGGTGTTCTTCGTAGTATACTAATTAAGACCATAATTTAGCTGCAAAGTAAAACACACGCAGGGAGGAACACAATGACAAAATGAATGGTGTGTGTTCTAGTTTGTGGCTGAATTGTGTCCTGCTATGCCAGAAAACATTCTTGATACTTCCATATTTTTGGGTGGGGTATGGGGTTTTTAGTACTCATTTAAAGGTTTCCTGAAAATATACGGCAGTAATTGGAAGTTGGTGCTCTGTTACATGTACCTCTGCTACATATTTCCTCTATGCGTACATGTTTCTAAACATAGCTGGCCAATATCATTTGTATGCACAGGTGTAGTCATTGCGATTTGGAACTTCTTAAACTGCTGGCAAAACCTGTATTCATGCCATCATATTATACAGTCAAAGTTGTATAACATTGAAAAACGCATACTCTAAATTATTGTGTTAATAATCGAAAAGTTGTAAAATGACTTCAAATATATCTTTCATATAGATAACATTTCATATACACTCAAACCTCATGATAACAAAGTTTCATCGAACATAAAAATAAGTTTGTTATGTCCGAAAACTCGTTATAAAGGTTTATGCCTAACACTATATGTATTGCAAGGCTATTTTTCATTTACTTCGTTATAACCGACATGTTGTTATATCCAGGTTTGTTATATTGAGGTCTGAATGTAAATAAAAAAACTTGTCTTGCAATAAATAGTGTTCAAAATATACTTTTATAACAAATTTTCGGATATAACAAACTTATTGTCATGTAAAATACAATTTTAATATGATGAGGTTTGAGTGTATATAATTGCCTTTATAAAGAACTACATTATGATCCCCTTGAGATTCTACATACTATGTTACGAGTGTCACGTATGCTGTTAGTAAAGAAATTGTATTCAGCGTTGGCTGTTCTGCAATGCATGATTCTGCTGCAGGGGAGAGTGCTCAGCTGTCGGTGCAGTGGTCATGGGAAGCGGTGCTTACGCTGATGCAGTGTCTTAAGGACCCCTACGAGGCCAACAAGACTTCAGTGCTCCAGGTGCTTCTCGCCATTCTGCCTGAAACGCAGGGGAGACCTCAGGTACGTTTCCGTGCTTCCCTCTGGTAGTGCCATATCAAGGTATTTGAATTAGTGACACACGTGGCTTAAAGGGACACCTGGGGGAAACGGCGGATAGGTCTAGATTGATGAACTATACGCTAAAAACTGGAACATTGCTAATTTCAAAGTGATAGGCTTGTTAAGGGAGTAGAAGATCAAGGTCAAAGGTTCGTCTTTAAATTTGGGGCTGCAATCTTCGCACACGTTGTCACAGATTTTGAAGTGTATTTTGCGAATATTGCTCACATTGACTCCGCGAAATTTTCTGAAACGTGGTCTGTTAAAGGAGTACTGACACATGTTTTGCAGCCGAGATAGCCTGCGCGATTAATTCTCGTGAACATCTGTATATCACCTGCAAAATATTAACAGCAAACGTAGCTTGGAAGCTATTTTACACGAATTTCAAAGTCTGAATGCACGATCAGGCATCACCTCCTCATAAGTGACCTATGGTGGCCACCCTACTTCCCTCACGTTACACGTTACCACGCTACAGTCAATACAACAAGTTATAATGACGTAATAGCTGCCATTTCCCTTTTTGCCATATTTGCTCCAGCAGGCTACTACGTGGCTACTTCTCTAGAGTCCGTGGCCACGGCGCACAGGTTGAAAGTTTTGTGTTTGGCGACACTGCAGTCCCATTTCCTATTCGAAAAGAATTATTGATGGGGACCGTGCAGAAGCGCATCACAGTTCTCTCTGCTCACGTGCTCAAGAGCTGCACATGCTTGGTGGCGATAGCTGCACCCAGTGGCTTGTCGTTTTTGGAGCTCTTTCAAACCAGTACTGAAACTGGTTGGTAATGAGTGGCCTACAATTAATTATCTGTCATGTGCCACAGCTAACGATGTGCCGTTTTATGACTCACAGCCCCCTAGAAACATGAAGCCAAAATTGTTATGTCAGTGCCCCTTTAAGACTATGACAAAGAACAACGTGCTTCATTTTTACTGATTAGGAACTGCAGTGAAACCTTGTCAGTTTGACCTACCGGGAACGTGGCATAACTATCACATTTACTTGCATAATAGGCACACCCCTAGTGTGGCTGCGAGAAATCAGATCATCTTATATTTTCGCATAATAGGTGCACTCCAAACTTTGTTGTGATTAGTAGATCAGCACCATATTTGCAAGACTGCCATTTGACACCCTCTTTCGTTAACTTAAGCGAGAAAAAGGAAAAGAAAAAAAGACCGCGGCAGCGCTGCGCCAGCTGCATGGGCTCGCTTAGTAAGGAAAGGGGGAGTAGTTGCCGGGGCATTGAAATAACCTTTGCACTGGCGCTGGTGTGGCTCCGGCAGCGCGCACTTCGCATGGAACTTGTGATCGCGTCCTCATCAACTGTGCACTTTGAGTTTCCTGTCGGGGAAAAACGGCATCTTATTCGCATTTGCCACCTTGTCCACAAGTTTAAGAGTTTTCCGTATTTTCGATGCAAGCTCTCACCTTTGCTGCCACTGCACGGACTTGCACAAGCTCGGCGAACTTTTGTCACTGTTGATTTCCCGGACAAGAACCTAAATATTGTATCACGTGCTCTACTTTTGGATCAGTGCATGAGTGTGATTGTTTCTACACTCAATCTTCAAGTTGTCTTGTACAAACTTCCCACAAAAACATGCCCTACCGTGCCTCGCCGCGGTGGTCTAGTGGCTAAGGTACTCGGCTGCTGACCCGCAGGTTGCGGGATCAAATCCCGGCTGCGGCGGCTGCATTTTCGATTTCCGATGGAGGCGGAAATGTTGTAGGCCCGTGTGCTCAGATTTGGGTGCATGTTAAAGAACCCTAGGGGGTCGAAATTTCTGGAGCCCTCTACAACGGCGTCTCTTATTATCATATGGTGGTTTTGGGACGTTAAACCCCACATATTAATCAATCAAACATGCCGAATCATAGGCCTAGGCCTGTAGTGTTGTGGTGTACACGTATCCCGAAGGAGTACGGCCACCAGCGTGGGTCCGGTCTTAGCGAGCCGCAGGGCACGCGTTAACCGTCGCCGTGGCGGGAAACACGATACTGCTCAAGTCGCAACACTTTATTGTGGCAACACCAAACGCAGTACAGCCCGTTGCAAATAGGCGCGGCGGGAAAGCAAGTAGGCTTATCCACGCCACGGGCACAAAGTACTACACAGGGGTGCCACGAGCACGTCTCCGCGGTAAAGGTGATCCACGGAGACACCGGAGCAAAGGCCCGGTTGCTCGAGCGAGGGCAAAGGCGCTCGCGTTGGCTTCGAAGGGAGACGGGTCGGCGTAGCGAGGCCACGCACTAGGACACCGTACCGCCCTTCGGCCGTGCGTACGCAGCGGAGCAACAGCGGGTGAGCGTTCGCCTTCGGCGCGAGGCGCCGTCAGCGAAGTCCGACGAGCCCCGACTGACGGGGGTCGACGGACGAAAAGATAGCGTGGCTCACCGTTTGCCGTCCCGGAGAGTATCTGACCGCTCCCGACGCAGCGCGCGAAAACCTCTCGGGGGTCCCCGCACGCGGCGCCACAGTCCACATCCGCTTCCGGGTGAGGGAGTTAAACGTCACTCCGCCCTTCCCAGCGCGGCAGACAGCAAGGAGGGCAGACATGTCGGGACATGAGAACGGCAGAAAAGGCGGGAAAGCCCGCTCAAAGGCAGCGGGCGAGCCTCAATTCCCACATCCCCCTCTCCTAAATTTGCCCTTTACCGGTCTGCAAAAGGCAGCCGGACGTCACCCATGCAGTTAAAATGACACTGCTATGAGCGACAGCTAACCTCAGTCCAGCCCTGCTACTGCTGCTAAAAAAAATGATTACAAGGAGAAACAAAACATAAATAACAAAATAAACACATGACACTATACAAATAACTGCGGAAGGGAGCACAGAAACGTGGCACTAGTGTTCGTGGTGCTGAAGGGGGATAGCGTCCACTGCGCGGAGGGGCGGAAAGGCGTGACAGTGTCCGGTGCGATGCCCGAGTGCGAGGTCAGAGGTACCGGAAGGGGGGGGCTCACTGATGGCTCGTTGCTGGTCTTGATAAGCAGCGAGTCCGACGAACGCTGCCTCGGCTGTGCTTCGGAGGCCCCGCATTTCTGGCTCGATGATGAAGCTGGAACGTTGCGCGAAGCCGGGCCTCTCCAGTGCTCAGGGAGGCCGACCCAAATTGGCTGCGAATGGCGTTGGCCGGCAGCATATAGCTGCTTTCAGCTGGCCTCGCGCAGGAGCCATGGTGGTAAAGGCAGCGGGGCTTCTTCGACGACGGCCGAGAGCAGAGCACAGCCAGATGGTCAGACGTCAGTGGGTCAATGCCCCCCAGCACCTCCAGCGTCCGCATCGATGGGGGGAAGCCATGACGCACTCTTCGCGGGCTCGCACTGAAGCGTCACGCACTTACACACGCACACACACCGCCGACGGCTGCGCGAGCGTAGGCGCAAAGCGTCCTTCGTCTCTCTCCCCCGGCAAGCACCGACACTCAAGGTCACACACAGCTCCCTTCGCGGTAGACGAAACGAACACGAAAAAAAAAGTAAACACAGAGCATACTGACACTAAACATCTGGCAAAAAAAAAAAACAAAATACAAATAACACTTAATATTAGACAAAAGAAACATAAAATACACATGAACACTTAAAAAAAAAACTGGCAGCAGACAGGGCGGGGTTAACTGCTTTACGAGAAAAGGCCGTAAAGAAGCTAACCTATACTGAGGCTAGACAGTAAACTGAGGGCCTTCGGTTGCGGAGAAGTCCGCCGTCCGGCGCGAAATCACAAAGGTGACCGCTTCCTCAGATTATACCGGTGCGGGGTCCGAATGCGGTCCGCCGCTCCGGGTGTGCCTCGTTGCTGGCGCGAAGTGCCGCAGGGCTCTGGCGCGAGCTCGTCAGACCGTGAAACAAAGGGTTTCAGGTCTGCGATATGGGCACGGCTGAGTTTTCCCGTATGGGGATCTTTCAGCAAGTACGCGAGTGGAGAGCAAGCTTTCTCCACTCGGTACGGACCAAGCCACTTAGGAGCGAGCGAGGTTGAGAACCCCTTACTGGCATCGCTAAGGGCGTGGTTGCGCTTCAGGACAAGATCGCCCACCTCAAAAACTAGGTCGCGATGCTTGCGGTCATATTGGGCCTTCTGCTGAGCCCTGGCCGACGCCAAACTTTGCCTTGCTTTGCAGAAAGCTCGACAAAGCCTGTCCCGAAGTGCCGACGCATAAGCAGAGCAGTCTGCCGGCGCCTCCTCGTCCTCGAGCTGGCATTGAGTGACGCTGGTCACCGGATTTGCCAACTCCCTTCCAAAATTTAAGAAGGCGGGCGAGAAACCAGTTGAGCGACTCTCGGATGTTCGAATAGCGAACGCGAGCTCACTCAAATGGTCTGCCCAGTCCCTTTGACTTTCGGCAAAGGCCGCCAACATCGGTTTGAGCGTACGATTGACACGCTCCGTCAAATTGGACTGGGGATGGTAGGGTGAAGTGGTGCAGTGATCGATTCCGACGGAACGGCACGTGACACCAAACACCCGAGCGGTGAAATACGAAGCATTGTCAGTGATGAGCCTTTCCGGGAAGCCGAACCGGCAAAACACTTCCTGCAGCTTCTCAAGCACCGCTCGCGCTGTCACCTTTCGAAGTGGGAAAAGTTCCACCCATTTCGAAAAGTGATCAACGACTACCATCAGGTGAATGAACCCCTGCTTACTTCTGGGAAATGGTCCCATTAGATCGCAGGTGGCCACTTGCCACGGACGCTCACTGACAATCGGTTTCATCAGACCGGGCGGTTTGCCACCCCTTAATTTCACCGTTTGACAGACGGGGCAAGAACGGCAATAGCGAAAAATGTCTCGCTTCATGCCGGGCCAGGTCACGACGCGGCTCAGTTTGGCGAAAACTTTCGAGCCACTCAGGTGACCGGCCATGGGTTCGTCGTGAGAGGATCGCAACAGTGCGGCTCTCAGACGTTTGGGCATAACCACCTTAAACGGGTCTATGGACTCGTCGTC